AGTTGCGAAAAAGGTAATAAACTCCATCCCGTTCTCGGTCAGCAAATTGTTATTCGATCACGCTGTCGAGCTAAACAAAAATTTGAATAATCATTTAGTGCGCTTGGACCAAGCTATCGTCGATATCATGGGTGAAAAATTGATCGTTCACTCGGGCTGTAATTCGGGGAGGACTTATCTCGTACGAACGATTGGAAAAGACTTATCGCGAGAAAGCGCGCGGAAGAGAGAGAGGGAAAGAAAGAGCGAGAGACACGACTTATCGCTCGAGGAGAAAAGCTGTTAGAAGAGATTCATTTTAAAATGTTTTTCCAGTAGTTTTATCTCTCGGACCCACGGGGGGGGGGGGGCAAAAAAAACCGATATCGGTCCGTTTTCTCGAATGTTATTCACGCTCATCCGGGGCGAGGGAAATTCGCAAGACGCGCACCGGCGAATAAAAAAAAAAAAAAAATCGCGTGCACGCACACGCGTCTCTCCGGGGTAATCGTGTATCGATTCAGCCTCGCGCGCTCGGAAGCCAGTCCGTCTCTCCAAAAAAGGCACCTTGGCCCCTATGGATCGCCGAATTCCGGCGAGCGTTCGCCTACGGCGAAATAAAAAAAGGGCGGGTGTTCGTGTTCCAACGGAGCGTAATTCTGCTTTGGCTGTCACCGTAATAACTCTCACCTCGACCAATCTGTCAGCCCCGTGTTTTCTTAAGCTCGTCGCTCTCCCGCCCCGCTGTCTCGTTCTGTTTTGTTTGTTCGTTAAGCTTGTCGCGCCCAAAGAGTTACATCGGCGAGTCGAGAGCAGAGAATACTCATTACCCGAGACGATCGATCGGGGGCGCGCTCACGGCTCGACGAGAACGGAGGACGCCAAGTCCCGGTGTCGGTTCATTAGCGAGACAAGGAAAAGCGCGGCGGCGCTAAACGCACACGCGCAGTGCGCGAATTACACATGCCGCTCGTAATTAAAGCTCGCCGGCGAGGCGCGTTTCCTTCGTAACCTGCCCCGCTCGGCCACTTTTGCCCGCCTCCTCTTTTCGTCGCGGGCCACTGCATCTTTCGCCGCTCTTCCGCTCGCGACGGCCCTATTCATCGCTCGCCGCCCGCCGATCGCCCCTCCTCCCGTTCTCATCGCGCCTCTTCGCGCGGCTCGCCCGTAAGCGAAAGACCCCGGCCCGCTCGACCTGAAAATGCACGCGTCCTCGCCGCGGCACTACCGGTTGGATGAAATTACTCTGATACTCTGAGATTCTCAATCTCGCGGTAAATTTCGCGAATACTAATGTACTTTTCGCGAAAGGAGGCACTTAAGGTACTTTGCATTTTCAATTCTGGAAGAAGAAACATGAAAAGTATTCTCCGAGGCGAGCTTCGCTCGGCTTGGCTGGCTGCCTTTTTCTTTTTCGAGAGAGGGAGAGAGCTCGCGCGCGCGACGAGAGTCGAAACGTCGAGTTGACCCCCGTTCATCAGGATAAAAACAAGAGGAATTTGGAAAAAGTAAGTTGCCGCGCGACAAATCTCATCTAACTTTGCTCTCTCGCCTCTTCCCGAGCATATTTCGGAATAAATGCAGTTCCAGCCAGCGCCGAGGAGACGGAAGAAAAAAAAGGACGCCCGTATGTTTCTCTTCTGATTAAAAGACAAAAACAACGCGGGGAGAATTTGGCGAAACGGCGAGATGCTTTATAATTTGCGCTTTGTCGAATTGACGCGGCGCAGCGTTACGTTCGCGTTGAAAACAGCGGCGGCGGCAGTTTGTTTTTTAATCCTCCCTCATTCCAGAAATAATCCGTCCGCATTACGATCGCTGCTTTTGTCGATTCCGACGATTGGCCGCGTTAGCACAACGCCGCGTGCCCATTGAAATTTGCCCCCGTCGGCCGTGCTCCTTTCATTTTTCATCTCCTTCGTCGCTTTTCACCCTGTTTTTCGGAAAGGCGCGCGACTCGCGGGCGATGCAGACGAGGGATTCCACGGGAACGCGAGGCCGCGGCACGGCTGTTCGCGCAACGAGAGCGCGCGAAAAATTTGCCGGCCGAGCGGCCGGGTGACGTACTTTGCGCGCTCGGGGGAGCCTCGTGGATTTACGGGCGCACGGAGAATCGCCGTTTATCGCAAATTACGAGGCGAGCGGCCACCGGACTACACTGCGACTACAGCGTACGCGTTTTAATGCGCGAGCGCGGACGCCGCTTGGTTTATTTTCGCGACGGATTATTACGCTTTTCGGCCTATTGTGCCTCGGCTTCTCTTCGCGTGGGTCGCTTTGATTGATGCGATCGCCTTGATTACCGACTGATCCATTACGCAAACGACAACTGATGAAATAAGTTCCGTTGTTGCTTTTTCTTTCTTTCCTCTCTTCTCTCGCCCTTCGTAACTTTTTTACGGATCGCCGCTATACGAGTATATTTCGTATTCTACGTTCAAACGGAAAGCACGTCACTTCTGGTATGCACCGAGAAGAGATGATAATGGGCTGCGGCCTTTGCTACATCAGGTTGAACGTCGCGGTTATCAGATTATTAATGAAAGATAAGCTCCAAGATTTCTCTCGCGGGGCGGAGCGAAATTTCTTTATCCTCACCTTAATCCGCAATCTAATGGATTGACGTTTCTCTGCCGCCACCGCGGGAAAACTTGATTAATATTTCCATCCTGATATTATTATTATAGCTAGTTTGAGAGCCTTTTGTAATTAGCTCGGCAGATCTTCTGGGAACCGAGCGAAAAGTTACTCTGCAAGCTCGCCGTATTTTTTATTCGGTAAGAGCTTTTTCCCTTTTGTGGCCAAACAGCGGTTACGAATGGACAGATCTCGGACTGTGTAATGAGATGTACAGTTGCTGAAAAAAGCCGTCTATTCGACCGCAAAATAAAAAAATAGTGTATAATTTCAGTGAAGAGCTTGCGGAACTCGGAACGAGCGAATAGCAGAAACTAAGTAATCCACGGACAAACTTTCAATTAATATTTCATTAAGAAAAATATACTGCCGAGAAAACCTCTTAATTATCGTCTTTCATTCTGTCTCGTTGGTTTATTTATTGAAAGACGCGAGTCCTCGAAAGATTTTTTCGATTACCATACGATGAATAATCAAAGAAAAAAGGACTTCCTTTTTATCGGCCGAGTGGAAGGGAAGGGGGGCGCAAACTTTATGCAAAAATATGTAAAGTTCGGCTTTTCTCTTTTTTTTTTATCGCCGGCTACTTTGAAAGTTGGAGCAAAAAGCTTCATCGAGACAGCCACCTCGGGTAAGTAATTTGGCTTGGGATCCGCGATAAACAAGTGAAGTCAGCGAGTGGCTGCCCACAAAGAAAACGCAAGGCCGTCAAATTATCCCGAGGCAGCAAGCTCGCCGCCGCGAAAAATGGACCAACCAATCTTCGGTCCGTCGCGCGAACTCTCCGCGTATCCCGCGTCTCTCAGAGCCGGCGCTCTGTTTATCCCACTCGATATCGCGACGTTGCTAACCAAGTCGAGCGCTCGGCGTCGATTATCCACGGCGTTTTATTAGCGCCGGAAATTTACCCGTCGCGAGTTCCTTCGGCGGCATTCAAGTGACGTGCGCGCGCTCGCGTCGGCATTCATCTCCGCGGAGGCTCGCTCGGCCCGCAACTCGCACGGGCATTGCCGCGCGCGCTTGTAAAACTTCTCCGTTTTGACGAGAACTTGACGCGAGAGTCGCGCCCGAAATAGCGACCGACTGATGTATTTTCTCTCTGCGCGCGCATATTCCGCTACGATTTTCGACCCGATAACGCCAAACACTGGGTTTCCCGCTCCTTCGCTGCTCCTTCTCTTTTCTTCTTCTACTTTTTTTACGCTCGTTTGCAACATTTACGCGACGCTTTTGTTTGACTTCGCTGCACCTTCATTACGGCACAGCACTGAAATCGACAACTTGTCTTTCGATACGGATGAAATAACGGAAAAGTCCCTCCCTTTTTTTACCTATCCAAGCCTCGAATGCGAGACGTGCGTAAATCGAGATTGAAAGAAAGTCGATGAATCACCCAACGCCAACAAGCAATCCGCCGATAACGGCTCCATAAAATACACGCTAAACTCGTCATCGATAGCAATGAAGTCCTTGTAGCATTGGCACTTGAATTAACGCAACAAATAACCGGGCGAACGAGGATCGTTAGCCAGCCGCACAGAGCCGCGTCGCGCGTATCGCGGTGTGACGCGCGAGCTTTCGGCGAATATCTGCGCCGGTCGGAGCGGTGAAAAAGCCGCAACTAAGAGGGGGTGTGCGTCGTCGGGTGCAATAAAATAATCGCGCGACAGGGGAACGGAGACAAAATAACGCGGCCGGAGGATTTTTCGCGCGACGTGGACGTTCCAGTTAGTGCGGCTCGAACGATAAGAGCCTTCAAACACTCTTCGAGCCGGGAGAATCGAATGACATAATGCCCACTGAATAATGAACAGAATCAATTTCCCGAGTTTCGCTTTTCCTCTGGACGCCGGCCAAGAATTCTCGAGGCGGCGGACGCCTCGCGCGCGTAATATGCGTGTTTACTCTCGCTCCGACGCGGGCTATTCATTTTTTCTTCTTTCTGTTCTCTGTTGTTGCTTGTTTCTACCGCTCGATATAAATTTCCGAGCTTTCGCGCGGACGAATCCATTCTCAAGTCACTCGTGACGAATAAAGATGCGTCGGGACACGTTCACTTTTGCGAGACAAATGAAGCTTATCTGTATTTACATAGTCGACGCAGTCTGCGAACATTGTGCGCGTCACTTCTTGTTGAAAACGCTTACGGGCCATTCGTAGACAGTTGAGAGAAAGGTCAAGCTCTAAACGTGTCTCGTAGTGAACGTATGTAATTAATAATTGACAACTCATACCATTATCACCTCGGTAACTTGAGCGTAGAAAAGAACACCAAAAGAAAAAGAAAAAGAAAAAAATCAATTAACCGAGCAACGTATCCAGGAATAAACACTTTTCGCAACGTAATTAGGTATAGAAGCGAAATTGAGAGTTGAAGTACTCACCTTGGCAAAGTCAATTTTTAATGTGCAGCAGCCCGAATATATGTCTGCACCATGGAGGGCCTCTTTCGCTCTGGTTGCCGACTCGACCGAGTCAAATGTGCATATCAAACATTCAGAGTTAAGGACTTTTTTTCGCTTTAACATTAACAGAGAGAGAGAGAGAGAGAAAGAGAGAGAGTATAAAGCGTGTGGCAACCGTTTGATTTATGTACACGCGAAGGCGGAGTAAGTGTATTCCGGGGCAGTCTACCGCGAGCAAAAAACGGGGACCTTTGGCCTATAAATTTTATGAATGGGATGAGTGTCTTGTCCAACTGGAAAATTTCGAAATTCGTGGCTTACAGTTTCTTCTCTATCTCTTGAGCTTTCATGAATATTTCATGATGCGCTCCTCTTGAATTCTCTGTGATAGGTATAATTATTCCATCTTTCGAATTTTTAGCGAACTCGCGGACAGGATATTCGAGCGAAAATGTATTAACGAGTCTCGATTTAATAAAAATGGGTAAAGCTACTTTTGCGTTTCGCGAACTCTCTTGGTGCGATAATCTGTCTATCGAATCCGAGGATCGGCATCGGTGCGGAGAATCACGCTGCGATGCAAACAAATGGAAAACAGCTTCGTCGTTCCGCGCGAGGAGCTTGCGACCTTTGCGATTGCAACACGACGCCTGCGCGCGCGCCGCGAGCGGCGACGCTGCATTGAAAAGGATATTCAACCATGGCCTGAACGCCGTTCTTCTTGAAGATGACGATTCGCTGCACCTGTCCGCTCTGATGGCTGATCGCGTGTAGAACTTCCTGCAAAACCAAAAATGCCAGCTTTCAGTTTGCGCTGAATTTTCGCGAAACAGCTGCCCGACGAGTGGATAGATGCGCGACGCGCTCCGAAAGCGAAAATCCATTACGGTGCTCTCTAGGATTCTCGGCTGGTTTGCTTTTGTTCGCGGCGTCGACCGAAAATAAACATCTCGCCATGTCAATTTAATTTAAAAAGCTCGCCAATGCGACGAGGCATCTTCGGACGTCAGCGAGAAGTTTTCCAATCTTTCGGAAGTCAATGACTCGAAGAATCGTTGCGATAATTACGACTTAATTTTTTCTACTACTATTCATCGCCGATAGCTGTACATAGCATAGTTATAAGCTGTTGTATGTATGCACGTTGTATCGATCCCCCTTCTCTCGCGTCAGTCTGCCCCCCCCCCCCGCCTCTCACTCACTCTCTCACTCACTCTCTCTCTCTCTCTTGAACATTTTTTGACAATAGAGAAGTCTGACAATAGACGCGTTATCAGTGGGTTCTTTCAACAACGAAAAATAATAGCCTCCTTTTCGACGGGGCTAACGGTAGCAACAATGAAGAGGAAAAAAGTTTTCGGAGCGCTTTAAAGGAGATGTTTGCTGGCGAGCGGTGCGCGCGCGTGCCTCCACGCGACCGTGGACCCGCCGACCTTCCGCGGCAAATTCGACCAGTTGCAGCTGGATGCGCATCAACGTTGCCCCTCGCCCGCGAACGGCCTTGGTCGCGAGAGACAGAGATTCATGCTTCAACACCCGTAGGGTGAAAAAAGCCGAGCGAGCGAGCGAGCGAGAGTGAGAGAGAGAGAGAGAAAGAGAAAGAGAGCTATAGTTAGCCGAGCAACAAAAGACTCGTGGAAAAGCAGCAACGCAGCGGCGTGTTTACCTGGAGGCAGCAGTCAGCACACGAGCGATGACACGCCGGGTGGCTTGCGGCCAAAACCGCTTTTAGAGCTTCAATGGCTGCCTGATTGACTCGACTTGCTGTGCACGCGTCTCTCTCTCTCTCTTTCTCTCTTGCGCAACTCTCTCTCTTTCAATTAGAGTGCGCGCGTACGGCCGACTAATGTTGGCTTATTCATCGGGTGATATTTCCATTTTACCGGATGGTGCATTGTCGCTAACCGATCGTCCCCGAGGGAAATAAGCGGCGCAATGTGGGGTAATTCTCGGGGCCTCATCACTTTTTCAGCGGCACGCGAGTGCAGTGCGCCAGCCGTTTCGACGCAGCGGTGAGAAAAGCGCGGAATTCCCCCTCCTTCCGTCGATTCCTGGATTCCAGATTTGCCGTAGTCCCGAGGGCCCTGCGTTAATGGTTGCCGGGAGAGACGCTGCCAGCTCCGCACGGCTCACAGTAGCGACTCCTCAGCCCGACCGATCAAAGCTCGGGCGCGAACTCGAAGCTCACTTTCTCGCGTCAACTTGGGTCCCGTCTGCAATCCCTCATCGCCGAGGGGGGCTCATTCTCTCGCGCGGCTAATTATCGCGCGCGAAGAGACGACGAGCCCCCCCCCCCCTGCAAATAACAAAAGCGGAACGAAATGTTCTTCGCGCTAGCGTCGACGTCGCCGGCTCTTGAAAAATGCATCCGCGAGCGAGAAAGGATCGCGCCTCCATTTCATTCGTGCAATATTGACCCTCGAAAAAGGCACTCCGCTCGCGCTCGACTATTCCTTTGAACGGGATCCAAGCCCTCTTACCTACGACCTTCCGGAAGACAGAGACTGCACTCGACTCTCAGCGTTCGTCTTTCGAAAGCACAGTCGAACGTCAAGTCGCACGATCGCCGATTGGTGACGACGACGACGACGAAATGTGTCTCCTCGCCTAACCAAAGACCCGCGCGTATCCTAAAACTCGGACGATACGAATATTGTAATTAGCCCAGTAACTCTCGATGAACTCCCCGCTGCACTTGTCGAGCGATCCCGCGAACGGCATCGAAGGTCGGGGAAAAGGAGGCAAAGATAAAACAAAAGCGCGAAAAAAAAAAATGGAATAGAGCGGTTTGCGCGCAGACGGGTCTTTCCAGACTGATTCAAGAAAAAATTGCTCTCAGCGGCTGCGCATCGGCACAGTGCTTGCCATTCATCCGTTTCAACGGGAGAGAAAGCGCGTGTTCTCTCGATCACGACGACGACGACGACAGCTCGTCGTGATCTTGAAACGATCGCAGCGAGAAAACGAAAGCTCCGAGTCTGGGAGAATGAGAAATTGCATTTTGCATTGCAGCTCCCGAAGGCCCGTAAATCCGGTGCCGCGAGGACGAACGCCGCGGGAGCATGAATTCCAGTGCGCTCGGCCATTTTCGGTGGCGCCCGTCTTTTCTCTCGCGCGGCCGACGAAAGTCACGGCGTCCGCTTTCAATTTGCGCGTTTTGCCGCGACGCGAGCGCGACCGCGGCGCGCCCTCGTCCGCGCCTCGCGGGCAGGAGGCCGACGCCGCGAGCGACGCTGCAATTTAATTAAATTGCGAGCGCGCGCGCGAGACAGAGGCTGCGCTCGGGGCCACGAGTGGTAGCAGACGTCGCCGCAGTCCGGCGCTCCGCGGCTCTGCCCTGGCTCGCCGCGGAGAGATAAGGCGCAAGAGCCGAGCCGCGGGTGCATCGACGGCACCTCTCCCACTCGCGATCGATCCGTCATCCGTCGGCCGGCAGTCCGAGGCGACAATCTCGCGGCAAGCAGCTCGGCAACAGATTGGCGCGCGCCAAACTGCCAGCTGTCGACGTAATTATTCGCGGAATTCGCTGTGCCTTTGCTCGCGCGTTAATAGCGTTGAGCTTTCGAGCGGTGAGAATGAGAGAGAGAGAGAGCGCGAGGAGGGGGAGGGGAGAGGGGGGTCGAGGGAGAGCGAGCGAGAGGCGATAGGATTATTTCGGAGCTGCGCGGGCTATCGCGGCTAGACCTCGACTGTGGCCGTCGTTACGCGCGCGGGAGCCCGCTCGTGGTCCGTTGTCCGCGAGCCCGTTTCGGCCGCGGAGAACGAATGGCCGCTCGCCTCGGGGCGGGATCCACGCCGAGTTGACGGGCGCCGGCTATCCCCGAGTGCTAGAGGCCGGCACGACGGTGTATTCCGAGGCCGCGCGCCATCGCCCGTCATGATTTAGACGCTGTTCAGCTGCCCCTCGGCTTTCCACGAACGCGGCGATAAGTAAAATTGGCACGAACCGCGCGGCATCGCTCGATTCTTCGCTCTCGCCGCTGTCCGGCGAACGAGTCGAGCGCACGCATAGGCCGAAGAGGACGCTCGGCGGGAACCAACGAGACGATCCTCGGTGCGCTGCCGTCGCGCACTTGGCGGCGAGCTCTCGCGAGCGACGGCCCTGAGCGAGGTTCACCGAAACGGGAAGCGACGCGAAGTGCGACCGGGCGCTGAGAGCCGAATCGCCGACGCGCCAGCCCACTCGCCGCGGGCACTCGGGCGGCATGTGATTCGCTCGGGCGGGGCAGCGCGAGTGCGAACGATTCCTCCGACGAGCGAGACTCGCTGATAAGCGACGAGGCGCGCGCGCACGCTTTATCGGCGAGCCTTTAAGCTCTCCATCGATAGCGCCGGCGATAAGGCGGCGGCCGAGGGATCGGGCTTGCCGCGTCGCGAGAGGTAAAAATAATCCCGACCGTCGGCGTCGCGGAGTAATATTCGCGCGAGCTTCTCGTCGCGGCACCGCCGTCCTCGGCGCAGCTGGCTCGCGGCAAGCTCTCGAGAACCGACCGACGGCTCGACCGCGCGAGTAAGAAAAAGAGAGAGAGAGAGAGAAGAGTAAGGGGAGGACGTGCCGATGTAAATGGCTGGCGCGTCAGCCAACGGCAATTGGAAGCGCAGGCGCGCGCGTGCGGCTCGCGCGACGACAACTATTACGAAAATATACTCTCGGGCGCCTGCCCGCGCGCCATCGAGACGCACGTCGGACGCGCGCACGTGCGCTCGCGTTTGCTGCCCTTTCGGGTCGGCCGATTCGCTCGAGTAGCCGTGGGCCGCTGTCGCGTCGAGCGGACGAGTTGGAGTCCCGTATGGAGATCGCCGAATGACAACGTGTCGTCGGGCGCCCGCGACTCCGTGCGCCTCGAGCGTATATAACTTTACACGGGCGATCCGTGTACGCGCGCTATTTCGAGAGCCGCTCCGCTAATAAAGCTTTCATCTGATTCATTAAACTCTATAATTACGCGGCTCGAGCGCGAAAACTACGCTACCTTGCGAACCGGACGCGCGCTTTTTTTCCTTTGTTTTTCCATTGCGTCATCTCGCGAGCCTGAGTCGCAACGCGAACTTTGCGTATCTCGAGGTTTAAAGACTCTCCGACTCGGCTCTGGAAACTTCCTTTTTTTCCACGAGTGCAAAGGTGACGCCGCCGCAGTTGGAAGCGTAATACCCTGCTGCTGTACTCCTCGAGTGCGCGACTCTCTTTCTCTCTTCGAGTCATCGTAGTCTAACGTCGCGCTAAGTCTAATTTTAGAGATAAAACTTAAGGCACTGACGAATTCTCAAAATGATTCTTCAGACTATTTTCGCTTAGACCAGACTTCGCTCCCTGATTTTCGATCGCACTTCGTTCGCAATTCTCACGATTGAGATGTGCTTTCACAAATTTCTGGCAGTCGAGATAAACGATTGCCCGATAAACGACGCTCGCTTCTAGCGTCGTGACAGTTGTTTACCTTTGCTTCTTCGCGCTTTCATTTACTTGCGAAGCGTACAACGGCTTTAAAAAGTCGGAACGGAGCTTGGATTACCAACGAAAAAAAAAAAGTAAATAAATAAAATAAAAAGAAAAATAAAATAAAATCACAAAACATTAGTCACCCGTGTAAAAGGAAAACAACAATACCCACGCGCACGTCCACTCGAATTAATGCGAACAAGCGAGAGAATAACAAACGATTTCACCGTTGACCGACTCGATTCAACGCGAAAACGGAAAATAAAACGGAAAAAGAAAATGCCTCCCTTCAGAAAATCAACGTCCGTTTCGCATCGCGGGCGCGCGCGCAGTGCGCGTGTCGGCGAACGGCGGTTTTTAAGAAAAGTCCCGAGACATTTTCTACCATTGTTCGAGCTCTCGTATTTTTGTCTCTCTCTCTCTTTTGTATTCCGCGCTCGGACTCGCGCGAATACGTACGCGCTCGTAGAAAAAGTTGAAGCGCCGTCCAAGGTCGCGCCGACGCTCGCGTAATTAGTTTTCGCGCGCGAGGCTAGCGCGATAGCGACGACGCTCCGCGCGACGGTAGGCGGGCGCGAGAGCTCTGGATGGAAAAATGTCGGTGGGACCGTTGCCTCGTCTCCCCTTCGCCTCGGGACGAACGTAGGCTGGCCGCCCCCGTATCGGCAAACAGCCGACGAGACTCGATTATCGCTTCTCAGCGCTACGAAGCCCATTGAATCGCGGCCGAGTCGATGCGCAAGTTGAACGGCCGCGGAGGGTCGATCAAGAGGGCCGCCGCGCTTTCGCGGGCGTCGCGCCGCGCAAATCCACTCTCAGAAGTGAAATTCGGCAAGCGGCAACTTACCACGGTGATGGGGTAGACTGGATTGATGATGGTGAAGAGTAGCACGTGATTTGGCTTGTTGTTGTCTTCCCTGCAAGATAAAGAGAATTCGCAATCAATCGAAGGTGCGCGCGCGCGCGGCGACAAGCAAAGTCCAGGCCAAGTTCTAATAATAAGAGAGGCTCTCGTGCGATTTGGGACGAACGACGACAACGACGATAGAAGGGAAGGATATATAGCTATCCTCCTCCTCCTCCTCCTCCTCCGCCTCCTCTTCTTCGTCTCGCCATCGATTGTTCGTCGCCGCCGAGCGATACGTTTCTCGAGAGCACAATCTTGCAACGACCTGCTTACCTCTTACGCCTCGGCTCCTCGCCGTAACCGTACTCGTGATTCTGTAACAGATCGTAAAAGCTCGGATCAGTTTATGCGCTACGGGATGGCTATTATGCCGACAATGCCTTGGAAATGAAGGAAAACTCCAGATGTGTAAGAACGCTTGGGACGGAAGACACTTTTAGTACGTTACGCTACCCGGGGGTACTTATAGGTGGCGTACTCGCTTTTTTCCAAAAGCCCCGCAGAGGACGCACAAGCGCTTCTGTGTTACCTGCTAGGAGGCCGAGCACAGTCGCCGAGCTTCGCGCGCAGAGCGGAGAAAAAACTCGTTTCTGCGCGTGGCCCCGCCAATGAGCGAGCGAATTCAAGCGCTGGCTTTAGGCGATGCGCCAGTAAATTGATCATTCGGACGCAGAGTTTTACGATGACTTTTGGGCTGGAATAAATGTTGCACGACGAGACAGCACGGCCAGATTTATCGTGGATGATTAACTGATGAACGTCCACATTCGCAAGATTTAGCTGTGCGCGTTTCAATTGTCGCAGAGAATGTTTGCGTTCCTACAATCACGTCGTGCTTAACTTCTCACTTAAAAAGACGGAAAACGAAAGCAAAAAAAGATGAGTTTTTTTTAAATGGAAAGTGTTTGAAAAAGTTAAAACTTTGATAGATGACGTGCTTCCGTTTAGAAATGGCTAATATTAGTATAGGACTCGAACAAAATGTGTAATTAGAGCAAATCTAGAGACGCGGGTGGAGGAAGGAGGGGGGATGGAAGAACTGAGAATGCTCTTGAAAAAAGTCAAGTGTAATCAATTAACCTACTTTCGGGAAAATTTTAGCGGTGTGCGTTTGTGTTGTACGTTATATTTACGTTTCTTTTTATAAAACCTCGTCACGCATCAGCTTTTGACAGGCGAGAAGAAAAAACATTGTGTTCGCCGTAACCTAACGCTGATCTCCTATACCCGGCCAATCGCGGGCGAAAAAAAAACCACGCACACACACACACACACACACACACACACACACACACACACACACACACACACACACACACACACACACACACACACACAAAAATGGCAATTGCGTAAGATCGCGTGTGGCCCCATAACCTGTCGAGAACAACTATTATTAGAAGTTTTCGCGGACTCTAATGTGCCATCTTTGGCACGGAATTGTTCGTTCTCCTCTCTGCGGCCGATTAGTTTCACGAGCTGGGCTTTTCAATTTCGAGAGAGATCGGACGACTTTATGCATGCATTAGCGAACTTTCTACGGCGCGGTCGCCGCCGCACGTCGTTAAAACCTTACTCACTCCCCTTTCACTCTTGCGCTGTGTTCTAAAGCCGCAAATTTTGAGCTAAAATATAACTGACATTATATATATATATACACGTCGAATGATCGAGCTTGCGTAATTTGCGAAATTTTGAGAAACATTTCCGAAAAAGATATTGGTTGGGCAAAATTAATTTTGAGTTTTTATTACTCAATAAGGGAACCAAAGTGAACTTTTACGCGCAGATTGTCATCGCAGAGACATAGATTCAGTTTTGAGCATTTCTGCAAATGTCGAGTTCGTTCTATGAGATTCGTTTTGTTGAGAATGAATTGGACATCCGATACTAATGAAATTGAGATTGAGCGTTTTTATTGCAGCTGATTTAGAGTGATTACATCGAGATTCCCCTAATTACACAAGCATTTTGTCGCAATTTGAAAATCGTCACTCCAAAACACGCACCAGTAGGCAAGAAAGTGTATGGGCAATCAAAGTATTTCTCCCGAACTACAAGCTACCTACCCGTTCATTAACGTCTTGTGTATTCCGTTCGCTCATCGTTGACGATTGTGAAGGCAAATCCGCTCGCTAAATAGCCAACGTCTCGAATATCGCGGCGTTTATATCGCGAAATTTCTTGATTAAAGACGAGTCCCGTGAAAAAGGCCGAGTGACGACGGCAGCGGCAGCTCTCTTGACGCGAGCGCAAGCTCGGCAAGAGTAAATATTTCCAGAAGGCATGTACGAAAACGGCCGGCGGCTCTTCATCTTCCACCTCTCAAATATTTAGGTCCAACGTGGCGCTTGTGTGCGTACGCGATAAGCCCCACGGCTAGATTACCGCGGCTCTCTCGTTTTCTCTCTCTGTCTCTCTCTCTCTCTCTCTTTTCACGGCGCTAATTTGATTTTTCGCGCGCCGCTCGTACGCTCGCCGTTGAATGTTTCCGCGACCGCTGGACTCCGAACGCCGCGTGTGTCTTCACTCTTCTAGAGAGGACTCTTTTCATCTGGCTTACTCGGGAAAGCGAAGCGCCACAAAGTGCTCCTCCAACATTTCCACAGTTTTGTTTTTCTCTCTTTGGTGCGTAACTCGAGACACGGGTGCTTCGCGAACGAGAAAACGGAAAAATAAATGCCACGCGCGCGCGCGACTGTCGATGAGTTGGTCGCGCGGCCAAGTCCCCGACGATTCAATCCAGCCGTGAACCTCTCCGAGCGATCGGCGATCACGGCCATAAGGGCGAAATCGCTGGAGCGTGCTTGCGTCAAGCCGTCCCGTTCGCTCGCCGATCCATCGTTCGCCGCTGGCCAAGCGGAATCGGAGCTGCCTCGGCGGCGCAGCGGCCCGGCAACGACTTGCACCGATAAACATCCAATTGCACGTCGATCGAGCAAAATGACGAGGGCGCCCGAGCGATCAGCAATCGAACGGTGTCGCCCCCGCGGTTGGCGTATAAAGCGCGCGTCTCCCGCAGTGGGGGACGCGCGAGATATACGCACTTGTTACCCGCAATAAATATAATGGTCACCCTCCCTAGGCTTGCATTACGCGGCGCAACTTGTTGCCAAGTCAGATAGCGAGCCCTTCGTATCGTGTTTCTTAAACCCAACAGTCGCGTCTGCTGGCCCACTTTGCGGATCTGCCAAAATTACTTTGCGACTATTTGCGGCAAGCTGACAAATCACCCGTCCATCCTCTCTCTCTCTCTCGCTCGCAGGTATTTTAATGAAAATCCCTACTTTCGCGCGTGGGCTCGATCGATCGACCGACTCGCCGCGGGACAGTTCTGAATATTTCGATTGCGCCACGCTCGCGCGCGCGATGCCTCATTCTTCGAGCTCTCGATATAAACCGCGAGGCGCGCTCTCGACGCTTGGAGCGCGGCCAACCACGTGCTCGCTCGAGCTTTTCAATGGCTCGCCCCGCCTGAGGACGGCAATTTGGGCTCGCGAAAAATACATTCGCGCGTAGCGGCGCGGTCGCGCCGCCAGCCCATGGCGCCGTGCAATGACTCCGAGTTGCGGACCCAGACAGCGCGATGTCGACGCTCTAAACCCCCCCCCCCCCCCCGGCGACGAAAGACTCGATCGTCGAGATCGTCCCGCGCGATCCCCCTCTGACTCTGCCGCTCTCCTCTCTGACTTGTCCGCGAGCTCGGTGGTCGCGCTGATCGAGGTGCGCGCGCGACACTCGTGCGGCTTCTGACGCGCCTCGCGCGCAGTTGGCGAAACGTCACAACAAGGAGACGCGCGCGACAGCAGCGCCGGGGTCTCCCGAGGACAAGATCCACGACGGGTCTGACTTAATCCCGTCACCCGAGACAACGCTCTATAATCGCTCGTACACTTGTCGCGGTCCGCTGAGTTTGCGCGAAGCCAAACTCTTTGACTCGATATCACTGCCGCGATACGCGACAGCTGGATGTCTTTCTCGGCTCTCGAGCCGCGGGCCAACGCGGTGGCGAGCGCACTTGGGAGCGGTCTGGCGCGCGAGTATCCCGAAGAGAGAGAGAGAGAGGGAGGGAGTCGTCGTCACGGACAAACAAAGCCCGCGGGCGCAGCGTCAGCGCGGGACGATAAATCGCCAAAGGGAGAGAGACACGAGGACGCGCCGCGCGACTGGCGCGCTTCCAGCGCCACGTGCTTGCGCTCTGATAAAGAGATTAGACCGGCAGGGGACAACGTTGCGCGCCTCGAACGCCGACCAGTTTGGCAAAAACGCCGTGTCGACGATTAGCCCGGCAAACTGTCGATCTCTCTCTCTCTCTCTCTCTCTCTCTTTCTCTCTCTTTCTCTTACTCGAAAAGCGTTGCCCGCTACGGGTAATAACTTACGCGCGAGCTCCAAGTCAGAATAGCCTTAGGCGAACGCTCGACGTCGGCTCCCGTTGAAAAATCACACTCGGAAAGCTCGAGTAAGTTGCGCTCCTTCCACGCTGCGTTACTGAATTTTTACTTCTTTTTGCCACATTCAGAGGGTCACGCCGAGGAGATGCAAAGCCGACGATTGATGGCAACGGAGCTTGGCAATTCGCGCGTGCAATCATATTTTGACGTTGCGAGTACGCCTGTGCATGGCTCTCTCTCTCACTCTCTCTCTCTCTCTCTCGCTCTCTCTCTCTCTCTCTCTCTTCGTATGCTTCAAGCAATTCTATGGAGGCTCTACTCCGCATCCGATTAGACTTCAAACGACCGAGCCTCGACGAACGGCAACGTCGAGCGCGCGCTACGTTCATTAATTACCGAGGCTGCGCGAACTGTTCGTCGACGTCGACTCGCAAGGAAAATGAATCGATGTCGAACTCTCGATCGGACGAAAAAAATAAAGAAAAAAAAAACCAAAAATGAGCGTTCGTTGCGAGAGCGCGAACTTGCAGCATATATTGGAGTGCATTTACCAAACTCGCAATCGCAATTTGTCAAAGCGACATTCGCCTTTTAATTGGCAGAAATTGGCAGACGACACAGTCGTGCGTCTTCGTTAGTCCAGCGAATCGACAAATCACGCGGCGAACAAAGAGCAAGAAACAAAAAGAAAAACAAAAAAAAATCGTTCCAAATATATATGTACATCCGAGGCGCATGTATAGGCGAGCCTAGACAGTAAGCGAGCGAGTGCATCTAATCGTGACCAAATTGCAGCCCGTACTGTGCGCGTCGCGCGCGCTCCCACATGATTCACGGCGGACAAGTTAATTGGTCTATGGTCTTGTACGTCCGATAAACGCGAACGCACGGCTGCTTCCGTTTCGACGACAAGGCGGAGAAAAACCGGTGGGAGTCCGAAGACGCTTCCGAATCACGCGTCGCAATACTATTTCGATTCGATTGCAATACGATGGTCGCTGGATCCCTTCGATTCCGAACGTAAACGGGGATTCAGTTCAGCGCCTGTCGATTAGAAGGAAAAAAGAAACAAAGGGGTCAATGAAGCCTTCGTCTAACGAACTAGATGAGAAAATTCCGCAGCACAGTGACACGCGAAAGAAAAAGTATTTCTCCGGCAGCGGAAAAAAGAGAGAATTGCCGGAGCGCCGACGTCGAGATTATAAGAGAGGCTAATGCTCTCGATCATCTCCCCCCTCCCTCGCCTCACGCGTCGGATTAACTTTCGGTACACGCGGAACGATATTCAACCTCGAGTGCTTTTTCGTGAACTGCGATAGAAGCAGTCCATCGTTCTTCTCGCTCTTCCGCATGAAAAAGTAATTCGAGCGGCGCGTATCAGAGAGCGAAAGGCCCGACACTGCGTTGCGCGGCGGTAGCAACTCGAAGCAGCTGGCACCTCCTCGGTATACACGGCCACTCGGCATAGGCCGTCGTACCAAGTCGGTCTAAGGGGGAAGCCCAAAGTATCGCTTTAATTCGATCAGTTCACTGTTGGGGAGAGTACGTAGTGGCGCTACGAGGGGAGGGCGGGCAGTTTGTTGTATTTTTTTATTTTCCTTTTACTTCGTCTTTTTCTTTTCCCTTGAACCGAACGCGTGCGCCGGCGGGCGGAGAGGCGGATGGGGGGAGGGGGGGGTCCATCCTCGAAAGGAGGAAACGGTAAGCCGAAGCGCCACGTGCGCTCGCGTGTTGGTGGGCAGATATTCGGGCTTCGTGAAAACGGGGCGCCGCGCCGGGATAGCTAATTAGCGGAGCCGCCCCCCCTCCCCCTCCAGCGAAATCAATCACTCGTTGGACGACGCCTAACGACCCTCTGTCAGTGCCGACGACGCGCCGCTGCTTCTCTAATCAGCTGATTATCGCCTCGCGGAGGCTAACCGGAAGCTGCGCGCCGCCGACAATCGCGGCCCGTTAACATTGTGCCTCTCTCGTGCGCGCTCTCTCTCTCTCTCTCTCTTTCTCTCTCTCTCTCCTCTGTCTCGCGCGCTGTCGCCACGACCCAGATGCGCGCCTGGCCATTATTTATAGGAATGTCGATTTGCGCCTGTTGCCCGGCCGTCGCTCGTCTCCGGATATTTTCGCCCTGCGCGCGGCTCCTGTCGGCCGCGCGCGTTTCTTGTGCGTGAAAGTCGTTGACCTTCGGAGCTTCCCTTTTTTTTTTCCTCTTTTTCCCGTGCGATTCGTCGCGCACCGTAACGACGAATCAATGCAACTCGCGCCTTGTTTTCCTTTCCTTGCCTCTTCTCCTTGCGCGTACCTTTTGTTTATTTGTTTTTCCTTTTTTTTTGTTACCGATTCTAGCGGTGAAGATGCGTAGGATCGCTTGTCGAGGTATTGGAACTATAATTCATATACGCTAATTTCAGGCTTGTTATGGGTGCATTATTTATTTGCCTATACCCTCTAGCGGTTGATTTATTCATTTTCGAATTATCGATTGCGCGATTGTACAAGGATAGTTTTGTTTAGTTTGGCTCAAAAATACTGTTGCGGGTGTTCGATAATCGTGAATAAAATCGACGTTCTTTAACTACATGCAAGTCAAAAACAAATCTTTCGAGCGTGAAAGCTCACGGAATTCATTTCAACTGCCCGTTTCGAGCATTTTCCCAACGAAAGAGTTGATCCGTATTAAACCAGAAAAAAAAAGAAACCTTTTTTCGGTCGTTATTAAAAAGCCAGAAAAATTCATAAGCACGATGAAAAGCCAATCGCGAGACGCACGCCCCATAACAAAAGAGAGCGAATGAAAAAGTCGATCAATTGTCGACAAGTCGATGTCAATACCCCTTACAAATAACTAAAGATAGAAGACCTGAACGCGAAAAAAAAAGAAAGAAACGACACATCGATCGTTTACTCGCGCGCGCTCAGCTATTAATACAATTTTATCAATAATCAGTGGGCAACGTACGACAAGCCAATGCCTATATATGCGCGTGCGACTTATCGGGAAAAAAGGCCTGCGCGTCTCTCTCTCTCTCTCCTTTCCCCCCGCGAATTCAAAGTTTTGCGAATTGGCATTGATGCTTTCGTACAAAGGGCTTTATCGATCGGGCAGCGCACGCTTGCATTTGCCATTCGGCGCGCGCGCGTCGTGCCGCGAGCCTCGTTGATGTCCGCATAATTTTCGATGAATAGCCGACCGGCGCACTTCGTCCCGTGCGCCGAATTTGCAATTCGAGAGAGAATAGGTAAACAAGCTTTTAAGGAATCACCAACGCTCGCGCGAAACGAAGCTCGGCCTGCGATAAAAGAATCGTTCGTCACAAAAGTGAGATTTGTTTTTTTTTTCTCGCTGATAGAGTGAAAAGTTCACGACGATGATGTCGAAGTGAGTTGTAAAGGAAACGGGGGAAAATAGCGTGTGAAACATAGTCTCGTGAAAAATAAATGGGCAATTAAGACGCATCGATCTCTCGAGCTACGAACTGGAAGTGTCAAAAGCACACGAAGAAAAGGAAACCACTGTCTGGTCTCGGTCTCGGTGTCTCTCTCTCTTTCTCTCTCTCTCTCTCTCTCTCTCTCTCTCTCTCTCTCTCTCTCTCTCTCTCTCTCTCTCTCTCTCTCTCTCTCTCTCTCTCTCTCCCGCCCTTCGTTCGTCGATAGCAATGCTTGCTCCTCCTCGCACGTGAAAAAAGGGAGGGAGGAAGGAATCTCTCTCGCGCGAAAATCGAGCGAAAGAGAAGAAAAAAAGGCATGGCGCTCGGCTCCGGCAAATCGATAGTATCCGGCTACGGATAATCCCGTAATACACACTCGCATAGACGTACGTATATATACTCAAACGGTAAACGTAGGAAGGAAGGAACAATTGAAAGAGTCGCGAATGATCGATCGCGAGCTCGCGCCTGGAAAAAAAAGTATAACGGAGTAAGAGCGAGCGAGCAAGCGAGAGAGAGCGCACGAATAATCAATATATTTCGCGGTACACGGCAACCTGTTATCGGCTCTCTCTCTCTCCTCCCACCTAAACTTGGGCGTCTCTTTCACACACACACGCGCACACACAAACGCGCGCGCCCCACACACACATGTATACGAACAGACGGCGAGAGCGCGAGAGAGCAAAGCAAAGCCGGTCGCGGCAGCACTTTATAGGTTAATACTCACCCTGTGGCCAGACTCTTCGAGTCGCTGCCGCTTCGAGTGGGGCCCGTCCCCGTTGAAAGCCATTTCCTCCAGCTTGCCTATCCGTCGACGAGACGATGACGACGAGCCCGAACGATGAACGAAGCTCTAAACGTTGAACTTGACTTCTCCGTTTCTCACTCTCTTCTCTTCTCTCCCTCTCTCTCTCTTTTTCTTTCTCTCTCTCTCTCTCTCTCTCTCTCTCTCTCTGTCTCGCGCGCGTGTGTGCTCTAGAAAAGCTTCAACAACCGAACATGTGCCAAAGCTACACTAGATCCGGAAATGCCGTCTACTTGGATTGTTACTGACTGACTGCTCTATCTGTCGCTGTGCACCAAGTTTTTAGATGTCTTCGCACGTATATTGTATCGGCTATTGAGAGTGAGAGGGATTTAGTTGTTTAAGCGCGGCGTTCAGGGCTCAGTTGCGGCGGTGACTACTCTGGCTCTGTCACACGACGACGATCCTTTGCTCGCGATGCTCCGACTGCAACTCGGATCGCTGCTGCCACTGCTGCTGCTGCTGCTGCTGCTGCTGCTGCTGCTCAAGCTTGCTCGCCTGACCACCGCGCTAGGCGCGCGCATCCATTGCAATATGGCAACCCGACGAGAAAGATAGCCATAGCGATCCCAGCGACACCTCCAACTCGAGACTCAGGTCAATCATCCCCTCGTTGCTTTCTCTCTTTCTCACTCACTCCTCGCGAGAAGATATCTTGACGACGTGGATACGAGCAGCCGGAGAGAAAAAAGAGAGGACTACACATTTGTATGCAGAGGCACGTGGGATTTAGCGATGGGTTTCTCCTTTTCTCTTTCTCCGCTAATTTACATTTTTATTTTATTACCTGCAAAGTGCATTCCTTTCAAGACAATTGAATGAATTTCTTTTTCGGCTATTTTTGATGCATAGTTAAAGAATTACAATTATTTATGGTAGCTAGTTGAATAAAAGATAATGAAGTATCTAATTAAAATATAGTTGAATGAGAATTTCAATATTTTCTTATTATTACCGGATTCTTAAAACTTAGCTTTAATTTCATAATAAGTACAGCATATAATTAGTCAGAAACCAATTGTGATTCAATTATTTGGAAATACCAAGTTTTTATGAATTTCCCGCTAGGGCGAAAAGGCGCATTTCCACGAAAAAAGCTTGTAATACGCATGCGCATTGAGTCTGGACCAAAAAAGAAACCTCCACGCGAAGCCGATTGGCTGTTGGAGTGCGTGGCACGCAACACGACTGACGACAATGACAAAATACAATGCTCTGCTTGACACCAGGGAGAGCTGTAGCAGGCTGTAGTGACGCCACTAGAGCTCTTACTCATCTCAAGCTAAAAAGAAGGGGCAAAAAAGAGAGAAACGCGAAGAAAGTAAGAGATAAACAACAATCGAGAAAGAATATTCTAGCTTCGAGTTCGTATTAGTGCGATATATAGCGTTGATGTGAAAGAGACTCGATGCAGTTGATACATTGTATTTCGTAGTTGAGTGCGCGGGCGCAAGTCGATATTTCACAGTTCCGTTTCGTGTGTAGCTGCTGCTGACTCCGTGAACCACGCGCAAGATATTTGCAATGAGTCAAATTGACATATACTGCGTGAGAGCTGACATATAAAGAGATATCCTCTTTTGTCTGAGTAACGAATTTGCTAGAGTTCTCTGTTGTGTTATAAACAGCATCCAAAAATGTGCGACGACGATTATCAACCTCTGCAGCTTATCAACCTCCCAGAAATCGTCTTGGAAATGATATTGTCGAACCTGTCGTATGATGAAATCGCGAAAAACAGAATCGTAAGTTGCTTAGATGTTTATTTCAATCTACATATATTCTTTCCATTGTTTTCATCTTGATTTTAGTGCCATGGTATTTGCTTTTTTTAGAATGTTAAAAATACACGTGCTTAACAATCATGTGCCTTGATCCTGGTTAATTGAATTATGTTCTTTTGTGAATAGGTTTGCAAAACATTTGATGACATATGCAGAAAACTGCTCAATCGAGGTTTCAATTTGATGGAGAAATATCATGCGCAATGCCTCAAATCTGTCAAAAGCAAATTGCCACGCAGAGAGTCAGAAAGAAGGTGTCATCCTCTTGCACGTCATTGCGATATATTGACAGCAATAGAAACACGAATCTCCATGTTGTCCATGACATTCACCAAATATGTGGATTTGAATTTGTGCTGTTTCATTCCTGGAAAAGTAAGTTATAATTAAAAAAAATACTTGGATTTTGTAATGTGCATTTTATCAGTGACCCATTTCACTTTAGGTAATCGATGAGATATTTAGAGTATTACGTCTTGTCAAGGACTCAAAAACACCACCAAGAACACCTGAAATACTTCAAGAATTAAGAGATATTAGTAGTATGGCAATGGAACATTTTGATGAAAAAATCCTGCCAGATTTCAAACATAGTCTTAGCAACTCAGTTGTTGCAAATGTTGGCACATACGAAAATTTAGTATTATCACATCATGGTAATAGTTCAAAGGTCATTACACCACTACCTTTCAGTCCAGATAAGTTAAGTCAAACATTTAAGAAGATCTATAATCGAACTAAGAAAAATAAGATGACAGTCCTTTGTGTGAAGGGACAGATAGGTAAAATGAAGTTAAGATTGAACAGGCAGTCCTTTCAAATGAGAGTTCAAAATTTGAAGTTACAAGAACATGCGAAAAAAATTCAAGATCAAGAGATACAGATGGCAGAAATGAGAAAACATTTGGAAGAGTGGGAACAGAAATTGGGAGATATGACTGCTGAATTGAGTCGTGCAAGGGAAGAAACTCAAAAACCAGATTCTCTAGAAACTTGCAAAATAAAAATTGCCGATATTTCTCATCCAAGAGAACCTAGTTTATTGAAAACTAAAGAACTTCAAGTAAAAAAGCGTAAACTAATAGTTGAACGAAAATCTTCGGTTGATGCTCAAGATGTTAAATTTAAAAAATTCATGTCAGAGCTTCTTGGTGACAATTCTGTTGAAGAGCTTAATTCTGCTCCAAGTTAAAGAGTTATTTTGATACTATAAAACCTAAGCTCTACAACTATATATTGAAATACTCCTATAAACTTTTAAATATAAATTTTTAAATATAAACCTGTACAGTTAACATATAAAAAATAATGTTAATACTGGTCATATTAAAGCATATTGTTTGAGCATGTTAAGTACTTTGCGTTGAGCTCTTGATTACATGCAACATATAAATTTCGTGACAATGTTTTCAATACTGACTGAGAAGTTTTTATAAGTTAAGATCAATACTTTTAAGCTATCTTACTTATATAATGATCTAAAAAAACGTGTAGAAGTGAGTTTATATCTTTGTAAATAAGTAATTTTTGTAAAATATAATACTTTTAAGTTAGAGAAAAGAAAAAAAAGAATTGGATTATTAGATATAGAGGTAATCGATTTCTTCTAAAATTTATCTTTTTACAGTGATTTCTAGAGTATTTTTCTTTGTTGAACAGTTTCAAAGTATATTAGTAAATACGACTGAAATAATTTTTTTTTTATTTTTAAAATCTATTTATAATCTTATGTTTTTATTTATTAAAAAAAAAATATTTATCAATAAATGATATTATAATTTATTAATAAATATTTATTAAGAGAATATTTAGTTTTGCAAAAAAAATTTCTATAGAGAATGTTTATGTTTGTTCTGACAAAAAAGATTCCTAATATACGAAATAATTTTCATTTTTTTTATTTAAACATTAAAAGGTAGCTTGAATTAGCAGAAAATCGCCATACAGATTTAGGCTCATTCAGCCATTGGCTCTTAAATCAATAAATCTGTAATAAATAAATGATTTCATTTTATTATTTGTATTTGAAAGTGTTTACAGCAGTTGTATGAACTCCAATCAAAAATGAAACAAATTGATTTTTAGTTACATTAGAATTGCGATGGCAGTAACTAATTGTGACAGTTACAATATCGATCTAATCTTACTTTGAGGAAAGAATAACTCGAGTTTTATTAAGAAATGCACAAAACAATTGTTTTGACAATTTTTCCTCTTGCAATGAGAAGCTCTAATATATCTTTACCGATTGGCAGTATACAAAAAAGAATACTAATAATTAAAACGTAATAATCGTGACTGAGATAAAATTACTAGTAAGACACGAATATTAACAATTCGATTGATTTTTTTTATTCACTTTGAAAAAAGTTACTATTATTTAGACTTATATTTTAAGTAAATTAGTTATTTTTAAAATCATGGCATTACTCATGGTTATGCTCATAACTTTTGTAGTGCTGTAGAGATAAATAGTTCGTATATATAAATGCGATTATCAAGTTATCAGCAATGTAAAATACATGGTTGCGTAATTAGTAAAACTGTCTTATGTTATTTATATTTAAAAAATAAACTTACCATTTAATTGGGAATTCTCTTTTTTTTTCTGCGTATCTCTAAACATATCCCTCAAAACACCATGCATCTGTGATCTGATTTGTTCTACAAACATTATGCGTATTATGCGTCGAATGAAATGTTTGCGTTATTTCAAGATTTACTGCTACAAATATAGTTCGAGCATCTACCAACAAATAGAATTTTCGTCAAATCAGTCAAAATATACGGTTTAAACTAAAGTCAACATTATTATCAGCGAAACATGATCCAAGCTCAGTCGACGGAACTCGCGCCAGAGTCTCGACCGATTGTCCCAGTTGACGATGCATCCAGCCATTGGCGGGCGCAAAAAGACTCGCGCGAACAGTCGCAACCGTTGAAACGACGGGCGCGTTTTATACCGTTAAGAAATCGGCGTGGCGTCGTAGACGGACGCGCGAGCCGCGCGCAAATAGCCCTGCTGAATCTCGCGCAGTCCGCGTCTCGCCGACTCCTTTTCCACTTCGCGCAGCAGCGAGCCGTAAAGCATGTCGGCCACCAGGCCTTCGCCGTCGAAGCCTCGCGCGCTGCAAGGAAATCAGCGAGCGTCAGTGCGGATCGCGAGGGCGCGCGAGCGCGCGGGCACTCACTGCCGCTGCCGCCACTGGCTCGCGAGCTCGTCCGCCTCGTCGGCCAGTCGAACCACGTGGTCTTCGGCCGCCTTGGCCGAGGACCACTCGACGCCCCGGTTGAAAATCTCCTCGAGGTACGGCTCGACCGACTCCTGGCCGATCTTCAAGATCTGCCGGTACATCTCGTCGAGCTCGTCGCGCCGATTCAGCTGCAGCCGCTCGTCACTCGCACGCGCGATCCACCGCATCGTCGCCTCCCTCTCGGCCAGAACAGCCGCGGCGTGAGCTCGCTTCTCGGCCAGCAGTCTCGTCAGCTCCTGGACGGAACGGGCTGTGAGTGCGCCGTGCGCTCGCGGCCAGCCGCGGGTCTGCGTGCGTACGTCCGTCAGGAAGACGAGCGTCGTCGCCACGGTCTTGCCCTCGATCGCCGCCAGTATCTCGCGAGCGCGCTCCGGGTTCGAGTCCCGCGAGGGACGCGCCGCCGGGCCCGCGTCCGCGGCTGCTCTCTCGAGCGCCCGCGCCGACCGCAACTCCTCGATCAGCTCCTTGCAGCGACTCCGCCCCTCCAGGATCTAGACGGCCTCGGCGGTCAAGCGCAACGCGTGCCGCGGGCAGCGACCGCGAGAGAGAGAGAGAGGGCTCACCTCCGACTGCAGGGCGCGCCCTTTGACGAGTCTTCGCAGCAAGCTCGCCGAGCGATCGGCCTCGTCGTCGGCGTCGCCGGCCTCCTGCGAGCGCTCGGGCGGCGACGGCGTCGGCGGCAGCGACGGCAGCCTCGGCTTGCGCCTGAGCAGGCCGCAAGCCGCCGCGGCCGCCTCGTCGCGCTCGGCTGCGATCGCCTCCAGGGCCCGAGAGAGCTGCGCGAAGTTGCTCTCGTTGCGACGCTGCACTCGCGGGCACAGCTTGACGGACGACTCGGCGGGCGCGCTCTGCTTGCGCACCGACGACAGCGACAGCCAGCGGCGGTACTGCTCCTCCACCTCGGAATCCGTCGAAGGGAGCGGTTGCCCCTTGTCTCGAGCCGATTCCGAACGTGGCTCACCGCGCGGCCGCGACTCGGCTGCGCTCGGCCACTTGCGGCGCGCCTGGTGCTTCCACCGCGAGCAGGCGCGGAACTCGGCCTCGTCTCGCTTGCCGGGTCGCGCTTTGGCCGAGCGCTGCCTCAGCTTGCGCAGCTCTCGCGAGCACTTGGTCCTTGCGGCCTTGACTTCGCGCTGCTTGCGTTCGCTCAGCTGCTCGTCGAGCCACGCGAGTCTCGCATCGCGGATTCGCTGCTTCTCGCTCTCTCGGGACTCCATGAACTCTTGCGCGAGCTTCATGCGCAGGTCCATGACCACTTGTATTTCCTGCGAGCACACGGTGGTCGTCGAGTCGCGCGCTCCCAACGGGCAATGGGGGCGCGGGGCCAACTCACCGCCTCCCTGAAAGCCCATTCCTCGGCCTCGAGGGCCGACAGAATCTCGACGCGGGTCTTCGCGTTGGCCGGCGTATCCATCGGGGGCAGCAAGCGCTCCCATGCGCGCCTCATCCGCATCCTGTTGATTAGCTCGATCTCGTGCGCACCCGCCGGCAGACCCTTGCCCCACGTCAAGTGGGTCAACGTCAACACTTCCGGCTCGTGGCCTGCGAACAACCGTTTACGCGATGCGTTATGCGCGTCGTCTACCGGTGAGTTAGGACACGTGGGGCAGAACAACCGCGAATAAGGATGGTGCTGTCTACGTAGCATGATTATTGCGCGCGCTCATTTTGTTTTTTTTTTTTTTGTTTTAAGCCACCTCCGCAATCGCGAGGCTCGGTCGCCTAGCGCGCCCTTTCACCGCACGCTCATATCGCCTTCGTATTTTTATACGAGCAATGCACCGACGACGCGAAAATTGAAAATTTTATCCACAATCGGAGCTCGATATTTTCATCAAACTTTCTTCGAGATAAAAACAAACTTTGCACGCGTCAGCTAGTTCTACGATAAGAAACGTACCAGGTTTGATCGTGTAAGGCGGTTCCCACGGTAGCGTCTGACAATCGCTATCCCTATAATCCATCTGCATCGCCTTATTCTTGAATTTCTTTAGTCCGTAATATTGCTTATGCAAGCTCTTCCATGCACCTCCCAACATGCTATCGTCGAAGTTAATTGACAGTCGATCGCTCGACATCGTTGACTTGGCCGATGATTCTGGAGTCATTGAATGGACGTCGCAACTTTCATCGATGTCATTTCCTTCAGAGATGACTTCCCTAATTTTTTGCAGATACTTATTAGTGTTTCATTCGACAGTGTTTATTCGCGATTGTACTTACTCCGGACTTTCCGATGCATCGTATTCTTTGTAGCTGCCTATAGGCGAGTTGAGCTCTTCCACGAATTGATTGTTCTGAGAGAAATAAATCACACCCGTTCATATTTATTATAGCGCATAAATTTGTGAGATATAATATTTCAAATGAGAAATTACGTAACGCCGTCTAATTTTGACTTCACACATTGTCAATGGTTGTTTATGTCGCTGTTACCTAAGAGCACACTATTATTGGTTATAAAGTCGTATCGAGGCTCAACGCGTGTTGAACGCGTATACTTACAAAAAAATGACGATCTCATCCGTAACAGAAGGAAAGAAATTTTGTCATCGTGTATTGTTTATTCAGCAAGAATAAGAAAAATTAACCAAACAATATAAGCTTACTAGTAAAAAAACAATTTTCCAACTGAACGGAGCTTTTACGTACTATACTGCGCGAGAGAGCTTTCGACACACAGTAGAACATATTGATCAAACTTAAGATCTTTAGATATGAAATTTCAGGACGAAGCTTTTGGTGTAATTGTTAAAGGTAAATCACATGACGTATTTTGTATTCACAAGACTTTCAATATTTATTGTTTTTGTACACCTTACATCGTTTTTCTTTATACTTGTATGATTTTTTTTCTTTTCGTTTGTATTATTTTTATAAATTCTCCAAATAATTAACATCAAATAGATTAAACTGTCGTTAACAAAAAAGTAGTATAATCAAAGCTACGTTTTTAATACTTTCAATGATTAGCAACAATTTATTGATTTTGTCACACTATTTTGTCGTTTCTTTTTAATTATACTATGTTAATTTTAAATATGCTTGATATTATATCATGATCTGAAAAATAAAATACAACGTTTCCAAATTTTCATACACATTCGATTTCACGTCGATTTTTCGTCTGCAAAATGAGATTTTTAAACATATAATTATACATGAATCTGTATCCTCGGAATCTATATCTACGTGTACATACAGAAATATGCATAATTATGTGCTCAAATAAAAAAGAAGAAATACAGATTTCATTCGGTTATTTATACAATAACTTGCTTATTCATCATACATATAGAAAAATCGTATGAGGATAGTACGTAATACAAAATTCGTATGAATTTCTAGCTTTTTCACACTGATATCGATACACATTTGATGATTGATGATGACTTGGAATATAATACTTTTAAAACATTTTGCATTCATGCACAAAAGTTCATTCAATCCTTCATTGGTTCAAAATATCCATTACCGGTAGGACCAAGAAATTCGGGCCAGTTTTGCTGCTTCGAGATATCCCTACATTTTTGTCCAGCCAACATATCCTCAGGACAGTTGCATTGTAGTCTCATCCGGTAAACCGTCATTTGACCCAAAGTGATTCGCGAATTTTCCTTGTCAGTAGCTTCTTGGAAAGACTGATAATCGATGCCACGTTTGGTCAGGCATTCGCTAACAACAACTTCTCGTTCTGCTGGTGATAGTTTTTTACTCGACTTGTCCTCGGCTTCCTTGATGCATTCTAAATCTTGCGGTAAAAGAAGGAACGGCGTGGAAGATGGTGGAAGCCAGAAAGTAGAAAAGACTAGATCAACTGCACTTTTTCCTTCAGTTGTTAATGACGGTACGAGAATTCCAGTTGGCGGTTGTCTCTGCATACCAACTGGTTTTACCCACGCACTCGTTTCTTCTCGCTTCAATCGTTTATTGAACATCGCTTCTAAACGATACTCGCTAACGATTTTTGCGATAGAATTGCGAAATTTAACAATCTGTTTTTTTCGAACGCGCTGATTACTCTTCGAGGCGTCTCTTCTAATTCTACTTTCTCGTTTCTTTCTGTCGTCCAAAGCTTCAGCATCTTTAATGTTATCCACAAAATCGATATCGGGAATCATGTAATCGACGTTCTCTTCGGCATTATTCGATCTATTAATATTCGTATAATAATTGTTATTTTTACTCTGACCGTTGGTGTAATCCATACTAGGATCCAATTGATTCTCGACATCGTTTGTATCATTGTTGATGTACCTTCCAGTAGAGAAATTCTTTTCGCTACGTTGAAATCGAATTTCGTTTAATTGGGACTGTGATGCTAACATTCTCTTCTCTACGTCGTCGTAATTGTAGTCGTAATTCACGTCCGACTGTACATCATTGTCACGTGGCTTCTCGTTCTCCCACTTGTTATTCCGAGCGTCGTCTTCACTCATCTCATCCAATTCTTTGTCTAAGAAACCTTGACGATCTTGTTGCTCCTCGTTTGCATCACCGTACTTAATGTTTCCTCGAGGATAAAAGTTTTCTGACTGTTGAATGTGTTGAATTGTTTTACGACGATCATCGCTGTATTTATTTACCTGATCGCCAGCATTTTCAAAGTTTGCGTGAGAATTAGCGTATTCTTCGGCTACTTTTTTAGGATCGATGGAATTATTAAATTCTACTTTTTGCCAATCTTGGGAATTATAAAGTGCTAATCCAGGTGGCTGAACGTGCTGACTGAACGCTAGTAGAGACGTCACCATTGTGCTGTTGAAACGAAGCTTGCATAAATCAGCCTCAGTACTGGCTTCCTTTATGAATTCATACTTGTCTTTTGACACCTCTTTACCTAAACAGTTGGCAGACCAATGTAAGAACCAATCGTTGCCATAGCCGTCAACAGTCACCGACAAGCCTGACATTTGTGCACTCAAAGTATCTTCCATTGGAGATTCCAGTATGGGTTTGCCTGTTTTGCCATCCAATATAGTAGCCGTTGTGTAATAATAGACTGGAAAACCTGGACCAATCTGATGTTTCACCATGAAATCTGGTACTTTATCGTCGTTGTAGTAGCCAGGTACTGGAATACTGATTATTTCAGAGTTAGCAATGGTAAAGTTCCAAATTTCCTTGAATGTTAAGCCATCAAATGCCATGACGGACGAATTAAAAAAAGCAACTATAATGTCTTCAGTTCCATCAGAATTTATATCAATCAGTAATGGTGGTAAGCTTACTCCTCTTCCTTTTCCATGGTGAAGTTTCTTCAATTTCTGAAAAGTTAGATTATGATTAGTATAATTATTCTTTCTAAAATTAGAAACTTTGAACAATAATTGCACTTACAAATTGTTTATTCAGTAAATTGGAATGTGATATAACATAAAGACCACCAGACTTGTCTTGATCGCTAGAGGCTAATATAAAATAAGTCTCACCATCAGGATGCACAAGTACTTCTGGTGCTACAAATAATCGCTCATTATCAGGAAAATCCATGCTTTTAATTTTTGTCCCAGTTTTGCCTGAGACTAGAACCACCTCAGACTGCGATTTGTCATTCTGCCAAGTGTGTGAAGCTATTATATCACCAATCCCATCGTCATCTACATCAGCTATATATCTGGCATCATATACATCATAATATCTCTGTTGCTCTAGCATGGATAAATCTCTATATGGTAATTCCCATATCGAAGCTCCATCTTGACCATTAATTGCATGCAAGATCCCACCTCTTCCTGCAATTATACAATCCTTTGTCTTATCACCTGTCAAGTCAAGACCACAATCAACTGAGAATATAGCATGAGGAGCCCAATGAGTCCAGATCGTTTCTCCAGTTTTCCCATCTAATGCTAATACACCTCCTAGGCAAGGTGATGCTTGGTCAAAGTACAGTGTGCATACATAGTCAGGAACATCAGTCTTGTCCAGACCTGGGAAAAATACATTTGTTATTATAATCAAATGTAACTTGTAAAATAGAGCATATGGTTTAAGCTGAATACAAAATATTTCAAAAGATAAAGCATGAATAATAAGAAAATAAGAAATTTCAAAATATTTGATGTAAAAGGAAAGAAGCATAATACCTTAAACTATATAAAATAAAATAAAAACCAAAGAAAATTCTGTAAAAAAACAAAATCAATACAAATTAATCATACTACAATATAAAAAACAAAATCTTTCAATCTAAAACTATTTCAAGATACCTGTACTAAATCCCACAATGATATCCTCAAAATTATCTCCATTAACATCGTTACTTTTCAATGGCGCTTCAGATGTAAGCTTAGGCAACGTACGTGTCCACTGAACTTTGGAATTCAAGGAAGTACAAGGAACAATATGCTGTTTATCAAAAGTTTTTGGCTTATTGTGCAACAGCCAATTTTTCAGTACATTCATAGGCATAGGAAATCTAGTTATAATAATTATACACAGTATAATTATTCCCAGAATAATGGCAAAACCTATTAAGGTGTAGCAAAATGGTGCAAAAAGAGTCTTATATGATATCTGAGGTGTCTCAGTAAAGTGTGCCTTGCACTTTCTACGAGGAGCCATGAGAGGCCTTTTAACACCACAGTCATCGTCTATTTTTAAAATGCCATTTTTGCCATCACGAATGAATACCTCATCATCAACATCGCTCAAGTCTTCTTCATCAAAGCTGTCTCTAACAGCAGCACGAGGTAATTTTGGATATCCATCTGACATCTGTAACATAGTAATGGCAATGATGAAGGAATTTTCTTAAAAAATCTATTCGAGTTTACCACAGAACAAACACATTAAAAATGCTGGCTGCTCACAAAGCTAACCTGTAAAGCTTTTAATTATAAGAATGTTAAAGCTTGAGATGATAATAGATAGCAATAATTGGTGTAAACCTAAATACTAGATACACCTTTATAGTCTGTGACTTAACTATATTCATAAAAAAGTTATTATTTCTAAGAACTGTACATATCATAAATAATAAAAATATACTTCAATAAAATATAAATATCATATAATTTGATATAATTTTCAAGTAAAATCTGAATAAATTTAACCATTGGCTCAGCTAGGATATTATTGCATTATTTTTTAATACAAGAAATAAAACGTCTGTTGATTACGAATTCTGATTCGATTCTCACGCAATCTAACTGGCATGAAAATCAATCAACTCGTCATATCAGAGCAAGCTCAAAAACGAAACCCGTTACCCGATCAAGTAAACACCCACATATGTTGACTTACTTTTGAGAGCTCCAAAAAAATTTATTTGTGCGATACTACGAGAAATTATCACAACAAGCAAATTGGTTAATCTGTCGTAAGTCCATTTGTCAAAACATGGTGCTAATCTACTTTAGAGAACGACACTGCTGCTGCTGCTGCTGCTGCTGCTGCTGCAAGCTGCCCGTGTCTAAGCGCATAATTCTAACGATCTTCCTCTGTGCGCTAAATACACTACGACAACTCCCAACTCGCCGCGTACACGAGCACGGGTGAGACGGGGGAGAGTGGGAGGCAAAAAAATGATCCCACCCGCTGCGAATACACATCTATGCCGTCCTACGCCCTAAAGTCTTGAATAGAACTTACGTTGCCAATCGTAATCCTGCAAGCGCGTCCCTGCGCGCGCATCTCTCGCGGGCTTCAAGCAACTTTCGCTCGGCGCCAATTTCGAATGCCAGCTACGCCCGATCGATCGCGCCTCTGGAACATTCCTCCGATTATGAATATTAGTAGCGTTGATAAAGCGAAACGCCTTGCTCGCTTTACTGACTCTGACAATCGACGCGAGGGTGTTCGGAATAAAACTAATTTTTGACGAATGAAATCATTCGATTCATCCGGCGTATCTCAAAAGTCACGGTTTCAGCACAAAAGTCAACGAACGAAAATCTCGGTGTGACTATATATCGTCAAAACTCGTGCGCGCAATAATTCACACTCGCTTATTGTGACACTACGTACGCTCGCCCTCACGCAATGGCATTGACTCGCTCAAAAGTCAAGGGTCGCGATTAGGGAATCACGCATCCGCAAGGGGAATAAACGCTTAAGGCGGTTTCTTTTTTTAGCGACGAAAATTTCCGCGCGTGTGCTACTCGAGTTCTACACACGGATGTCGAGTAGTTTATCGACGCGCCGTACGCTAGAGTGGAACCCGTGAGCGTGATAAAGAAAAAGGAAAAAAAACTATCTACGATCGATCATTTCAACGAGGCCTCTATCGACTCACAACACTTTATATTAATGAAATTGTTTATGCGCGAGCTTATCGAACATTGCAGGCTGGAAAATAGCGCAGTGCGCGAATTGATGACGATGATGATGTCGAATTGTTATCGCTGTGTCGGCATTTGCAAGCTTTTTTGTTATTAATCTTCGTTATTAATTTTATGGAAGTGCCGGTGACTGCCCTGTATCTATCACGTGATTCGCGCTTGCTCGACGACTGCAAAAATCTGCGGTCGATCGTATAAGCGAAGCGAGCGATTTGCGTTTTCGCTCGGAATGCAATAATACCAACGGAATCGTCGGTCGCGTACCGACAAAGCGACAGAGTGGGCGAGACGAGAGAGCGAAATCCGCGGCTCGCCGCGCGATCAGCAAGCCAAAAGAAGAAGCTTCTCGGCCGTAGCGATAGCGATAAACGAAGAACTCGTCGGAGGAGGAAAAAAGTGGTCGACTCGCTCCCTCTCTCTCTGCCGCGGCATTAACAGGCGATAACAGCGTCGAAATGAGATTCAATTGCGTGCTACGGCGAAAGCTCTCGTCCATCCGTACACACGACATTGCGGAGCACGTATCGCTCGGGGCGATCGCGTCGAGTAACAAAGGGCAATTATAAGCAGCGCGCTGGCGTGCGCGCGCGCGAGAGTAGGGTCGGTTCGTCGTCGCTCGCGGCTCGCTCGGCGTTGCGGTCGGGTCGCTCCGGTCTCGGCGCGTCTTATCGACGTTGTTTACTCGGCGCGCTCGCACGTGTGTCCACCGCGGCGATGCGTCCGCTCGTCGTCGCGCCAGAAGGCTAACGGGACGGGGCACCGAGCGCATCGTCCTTCGCCGAGCTCGCGCGCAGTCGATCTCGCCTCGCCTCGCTGGTCGAGCCCAACCGTCTGTCCCCGTCGCCCTGCCGCCGTGATCGGCGGCGATGCCGCGGCTCAGCTGAGAGCCCGCGCGACAACTGCCAGCCAGCCGACGCAGTGGACATGCATCGGGTGCTGCTGTTCCTGTCGCTCGTCGCCGGCGCGCTCGCCGAGGCCGCGCCGGCCGCCAGGTAAGTGTGACTCGTTCGCGAGGCTGCGTCCTCTCTCGTCGGAAGGCGCGTCCGACCGAGAGAGAAAGAAAATCGCTCGATCGCTCGATCGCTCAGGAACCGGGGCTACGTGTTCACGGCGCCGAAGCGCCTGATCGCCGGCGAGCCGGAGAACGTGTGCCTGTCGCTGCACAACTTGGAGGGCCCGGCGCACGTGAGCGTGGACCTGCTGGCGCTGACGCACGCGGCCAGCGGCAACGCCACCACGGCACCGGAGGAGGACGTGCTCGCGAGCGTCAAGAGCACCCTGAAATCAGGTGAGCGCGCCAAGAGTGCACGCGTCGTCGTCGTCGTGCCAGCGCCATTATCTTCGTTACTCGCTCCTCGTGATCGTCGTCATATCAGCAATAAATTGAAATTGCCGTCTCTTCCGGCCTCCGGGAGAGGAGAGAGAGAGAGAGAGAGAGAGAGAGAGAGCGAGCGAGCGAGAGAACGAGAGAGAATATCAAGGGAAGCGTCAATTGTTTCGGGTCGATCACCCGTCAGCGTGTAAATCGTTTGATTGCTCTCGCGTACGTCCACGCAGGCATAGAGACGTGCCTGGAGCTTAGGGTCACCAGCAACACCAAGCACCAAGCCGCGAGGCTGCGGCTGCGAGTGCGCTTCGACAGGCATCCCGACTACCGGGTCGATCAGGAGAAGAAGGTGCTGATCGAGCACGACGCGCTCATCACCTTCGTCGAGACGGACAAGCCCATTTACAAGCCCGGACAGGACGTCAACGTCAGAGTGCTCACCCTCAAGCACGACCTGAAGCCGTGGCTGAAACCGGTCGGGCCCATTCGCCTCTCGCCTCTTTCTCCCGTCCTTCTTCGCTTCGGCTCGGAAGGCGACGCGCAGCGCGCGAACCCGCTCGAAGGCTGGACGCGCCTGCCCGTCGTTATCTCGCCAACGAAGCGAGAAGGACGCGCGCCGCGCGACCCACCATTCAGGCTCATTCACGCGAAATTATTTTCATTCGAAGATTGCCAAAGTGTGGATTGAAAATCCATCCGAGGTGCGGGTCGCTCAATGGACCAACGTCAGCACGGACAATGGCATGGCGCAGCTCTCGTTCTCGCTCTCGGACGAGCCGAGCTCCGTGAGTTTTTTCTCCTTTCCCCTTTTGATGAATCCTCTGCGCCGAACGATCATTCATCGACGCCCTCGTGCGTCCTCCTTCCAAGGGAATTTGGAGGATCAAGGTGGAGAAAGCGCGTCCTCAGCTGATTCACGCGGCCAGCTTCGAGGTGCGCAAGTACGTTCTGCCGAGATTCCAAGTGACGATCGGAGCCCCGAGCTACATCCTCGCCGACGCCAAAGACGCCACTTGGAAAGTTTGCGTGAGGTTGGTCCAATCGAGCGTTTTCGCGGACTTGGCTTTCCAACTAATTAGCGCGATTACGTCGAATGCAGGTACAGCTACGGGAAGCCAGTGAAGGGTACGCTGCTGTTGAGCTTGCGCCCGCAAACTCCAATCTGGAAGAGGAAGCAAACTATCGCCGAGATTAATTACGAGGAGAAGGTGAGCTTCCAGAGACTTTTTGTTCGCTCAAGTTGAGCACGCGGAAGATGAGGGCTGCGCTGTCGAGAACTAGAGCGGATTTATTAAGGCCATTTGTTTTAGCTTTGTCGGCTTGTGCATCAAAGAAATTTGCTCAACGAATGCTCGCAAATATTTCCGAGTATTTGCGGTAGCACGGCGGTACTGGCAATGTCCGCGTTGACTGGACGACGCGATAATTTCCTTCTTTTTCTTTTTCCAAGATGGAACAACGCTCACGGAATAACGCGCTTAGAAGCTTCGTTGACCGGCCAAATGACCTCGCATTTTAAACGAATCCAATAATAATAAAGAGCAAATGCCGATTGACAGCGGAAGAGACGTTCTCTCGTTGATTCAGAGCCTCTACTTGGCAAATCGATCCCGAGCTCCAAACGATCGTCGCAATAATATAATTTTGCAGCTCGACGGTGCATCCCCGGACGGTTGTATGAATTACACCGTGACGTCGCAAGCTCTCGGTCTGCCGCACTGGAAAGTCGCACCGAACAACGTAGTTCTGCTGGCCAACTTCACGGAGGCGAAGAGCGGCGCCGTCGAGACGGCCAGCAGTCGCACTCTGGTCGTGCACCAGCCTCTGAAGTTGGAATTCTCGCCGCACACGCCGAAACACTTCAAGCCCGGCCTGCCGTACCACGGCAAGCTCCGCGTCCTGAGACCCGACGCCAAGACGCCTGCGAGCGGCGAGAAAATCCAGCTCTGCCTGAGGATCCGAAGGAAGGACGAGTGGCAAAGGTCCGTGGTCGAGTGCAAGAACTTCAGCTCGCCGAATCCACAGGGCTATCTCGACTTCGTCGTTCCGCCGCAGCACAAGAGCATCGTGCTGCTGAGCTTCGTCGCCACGGCCGTGGACTACCCCACCAAGTACTACTCGCCGGACAAGCGATGGAGGGTAAGGCGCGCACGAAGTTACCGAAACCACGGGTCAACGGCCGACCGACGTGCCGCAGGTGTTCGTCGACCAGCCGTCGGCGTACATCGACGTGGAGCCGTGGTACTCGCCGACCTCCAGCTACCTGTCGCTGAGCCGCGGCTACCAGCCGCTCGACTGCAACGAGAAGTACTCGTTCAACGTGATGTACACCAGCGGACCGAGCTCAGACGCGGGCGAGCCCGTGACCTTCCACTACTCGATCAACTCGAAGGGCGACCTGCTGGTCTTCGGCCACGTCAAGTACAAACCTCGAAAGGACACTCTGCTGGACTACTCCGAGTTCCCCAACGTCCTCGGCCAACGTGCCAGGGCCAACACGAGCGTGCCCGTGCACCGGTTCCCGCTGAGCGTCAAGCTCACCCCGAGCATGGCCCCGCTGTCCGAGCTGCTGCTCTACTACGTGCGCGCCGACGGCGAGGTGGTCAGCGCGAGCCACGGCATCGAGCTGCTCGGCGGGCAGGCCTGCTTCGACAACCAGGTGAAGAGCGTCTGGCACAGCGAGCAGCTCGGCCCCGGCGCCGTGGCCAGGCTGCACCTCGAGGCCGCGCCCGACTCGCTGTGCGGGCTCTCGGCCACCGACCGGGCCAGCCGGTTCCTGAGGCCCGCGGCGGCCGGCCCGCACGAGCCCGCGGCGGCCGGCCTGCTCGAGCCCGAGGCGGCCTTCGCCAGGCTGCGGCCGTTCCACCTTGCCGCCGACAGCGTGCCCGTGCAGGCCGCCTGGGCCCACTGCGACAGTGGGTGTCACGCCCCAGCGGCCCGCGGCTCGCCGGCCGAGTGGCGCGGAGAGCGAGGTTCCCGCGCGGGCGGCGCTCTCCGTCCCGCTCGCGTCGCCGAGTCGCCGAGTCGCCGAGACGACGAGACTCAGCGAGACGTCGTGTTGCCAGAGTCGCGGACGCCCGGCGTGGACGACGAGCCCGAGACCGCCGAGGAGGAGATCGACCATCTGCCGAAGCCCGAGGCAGCGGCGACGGCTGCGGCCCAGCCGCGAGCCGAGTCGCGCAGGAAGCGCCACTCCGTCACCTACAACGTCGCTGCCAACTACGTCGACGCCGTGCAGGCTTTCGATGTGCGTATCCGCTTCCTCGGCGAACCCCCGCGCGCCGCGATCATCCCCCCCCCCCCCCATCCAAAGCTCGAACGCTCGGTCTGCTTCAGGACTTCGGGGTGATCGTCATGAGCGACTTGATTCTGGAATCGCGACCCTGCCCGCCGTGGCGCTCGGACTTTGGGCTGCGCGACCCTCTGATGTCGCAGGAAGAGGTCGACGAGCCAGGTAGGTCGAGCCAGATAGCAACGCGCCAACCTCCACGGGCGACGACCGCGTTCACCTTGGATTTCGTCTCCTCAGACAGGATGCTGAAGGCAGTGAAGGCCATGCCCCTGGCATTCCAGTTCAGTGGTCCTGGCAGCAGCGCGGGCAGCGAGGCTTCGGCCATGAATCAGGACATCGGCTACGCTGATCCGAGCTCCGTCGAGCTGCAGAATCCAAATACCGTCAGGTCCTATTTTCCCGAGACGTGGATTTGGGAGCTCGTTCCCACGGGGTGCGCTTTCTCTCGTTTCTCCGTGTCTCGCGATTCTCTCTAATCTGACTCTGCAGGCCAGAAGGCAAGACGGTGCTCGAGCGCAAGCTGCCCGACGCCATAACGGAGTGGATCGGCAACGCGGTCTGCGTCTCGTCCAAGTACGGTCTCGGCATCGGCAACCCGGTGCAGCTCACGGCATTCCAGCCGTTCTTCCTCGACTGCAACATACCCTACAGCGTGAAGCGTGGCGAGCGTTTCCGCCTGAAGGTCTCCGTCTTCAACTACATGCCGCACGGTCTGCCGGTGCAGCTTCGTCTCGCCGACCACGAAGGTCTCGAGCTCGCCTTCAACGTCTCCCACGAGGCCTCGTACTGCATCGACGCTAGGGACAGCGTCGTTCACGAGTTCCCGCTGGTGCCGCAGCAGCTGGGCGAGCTCAACCTTACCGTTGTGGCGGAGTTAGCGGAAAACGGTTTGCCCGGCTGTGGCCCGGAAAACCTGCTCTTCGCCAGGGACGAGTTGATCAAGCCGCTGTTGGTGCAGCCCGAAGGCTTCCCCGTGGAGATCACGCGCTCGGCATTTCTGTGCCCCAAAGACTTCAGCGACGACTCGTCGCTGGTCTGGGAATTGGAGTTGCCCAGCGATGACCAGCAGCTTGTAGAGGGCAGTGCTCGCGCCTACGTTTCTCTCGTCGGAGACGTGCTCGGACCGGCACTCGACAACTTGGAACAGTTGGTTAGGTTACCCATGGGATGTGGCGAGCAAAACATGATCCTGTTCGTGCCAAACATACACGCCATTGCTTACCTCGATGCCATCAACCGGCAGACTGGATCGGAGATGAGGGCCAAAGCACTTAAAAACATGCAAAAGGGTGAGTACTTTTTTTCCTCGTTACAATCTACTCGATAGATCTTCAGTCGCGTGCAAAACATCGTCTAGTCGAATCGACAGAGAAATTATCATGCGAAAATTCGGGAATGAATGAAACCTATGTAGGTATTTTCAGAGCAATGCAAATAGATGCTTTGTATAAAATGCAACTCGCGAAAGAGCGAGTTACTGTTAATTTATGAGGACTGGAAGATGGCAAAAACAGGTCTTTCATTATGTAAGACACGCTATGATTTTTACATGAAACTTGTAGGGAATTAAAAAAAGCTCAAATTTGATCCGCGGCGTGATTTTTTTTTTTTCAATTAGATATTGCAAAAAAATACTCGAAAATCGATATTTTTAACATATCGAACATTTGTTGCAAAAATTACTTTTTTAATTTTCATTCGTATTCAAAGAAAACTCTTGTGTTCTAATAAGTTGATTGAGAGGTGCCTAAAGTACGGGGCTGTAATTTTTTTTAATTTTTGGTCAATGGTATTGAGTTACAAAACGATTTGATCTCTTCGTCAAAACGTCAATTTTGATGTTTTATTATGGGCGAAGGAAAAAATTGATTTCCAATCCCTTCTCTATCTTCGTTATTCACAATAAAAGCAATAATAAAAGACATAACGCTCCACAGATCGTTTATTGTTGGCCGACCAACTATGCACATGAAAAAAAAACTTCACTCTTTCTCCCTATTGATTGGCCTAATTTCACGACGCTAACTTCCAAGTTGCACCTGTACCGCGAAAAAAAAACATTTCTTCACTCGTCGAAAAGACTCTTTGGAAAAACTGCTTAGTCTCTTACAACAAGTCTTTGTGCACAGCGAAATAAACTGTCTCTACGCATTCTTGTAGCATTGTAAATGGTGTGGGTGTAGACATATTTATGTTTTGTCTCTACATTATTTCTCTTTTTAAATTTATTTGAATAATATTTTACACAAAGCATGTTTATAAACGTGAAATTACAATGATCCTTATATTTTTTTGCTCGTCATTTATTATCGCGAGAAGATTTCTCAAATATTTTCGTAAACCTTCGAACATTCTATCATACTTCATGTAAGCCTGGGCTTGAGAATTTTTCGATTTAATAAACTTTTGACTGAAAATTCATAAGATTGATGAAATTGCAATGGAATCACCACATAAATCGTGATTTGTTAACATTTTTACAGAAACTGTTAGGCGCAGTGCCACAATCTCTCAATGAATAGAATAAATATTTTAAATACATTCTTTGTTAAACAGATGAATTTTCTAAATATTGCATTGCTTTGCCTATTGTACTACTGTGTTTGCTAAACAAGCTTATACTTTGCTTGATAAAGTATTCTAAAGTTTTGAACAATTTAAGCTGCAAATTTTCCATTCGCTGTTCGTTTACTAGCTTTTTACTGTCATTACATTTCCAATAAATTAATAATTTATGGTCTCAAAGTCCATTTATATGTATATATAACATACCAAGATATAAAAAATTAGCCTTATTGGTTTCGTCGTGAATAAGTATAACAATACTTAGAAAGTGTACGATTTGATAATATGGTATTGTACAATTGCATTGATTTTACTGCAACTCGGTGAGTTATGCCAGTTATTTAAAAATAATCTTCAAAAATTCGCTCTCATAACGTCAACCTGTCGGTTTGGCTAAACAATTAAAAGTCAATATTTGTAATAAAGAGTGAATTTTTAAAAACTTTTTCTAAATAATCAGCTGGACCAACCAAGCTGCAATTAAATCACTGCAATTTTACAATACTATGGATTATGGATATTTTTTTCACCTTATAGAACATAGAACATAGATCATAGACATGGCGGGACTAAGTGGGCAAATGTTCTTTATCTTTGAGTGCTATATATACATGCAGAAGGCGCTTGCAAGATAAGTTGTTTGACGAGTAGAACCTTAATGATATCGTATAATCTAGGGATATTTGTAGCATAAGACTTCTGCATATAATATTTATTGATATTATTTTTTTATAACTTGATTAATCCCGAAAATTCATATAAGAATGAATATTCGTCACTCAATAAACTCGCAACGATACAAGTAAAAATTTTTAAAATGATCACAGAACAAAAGCTTCGTTTTAATACGTTATGATTGAAATACATTAGTCCGTATTCTAGGCTCATATTTTACCGATGACAATACAAAATAAAAATTCTAAAACTTGCAAGTCTGCAAAAAATCTCTTTCTAATCTCCAATTTTATTGTGATTCTCTCAGTAAGTTTTTATGATTTTATACTCTTTAACTTTATTTCACATATTATAGAGCCTCATTTCTGGTTATTAAAACAATTTTTCATGTTATCTTTAATAATAGCAACTAAAATTTTCATATTACATCATACATAATCGCTAAACGTGAGTCCAAACTGTATCAGCAATAAAACGTATGTATAATTACCTGATAAACAGTTTCGCTGTTAGCAATACTGTTGGACCGATCACTGTTCTATATCGATATGTGACATAACATCGACAATGAATGTTGATTGTCGATGTTACATACATCATAAACATTGATATTTTTCAATGTTGAGACTGGATTATCATTTCTAATGGCAAATAAATGTTTTGTTAACATCGATATTACGCAGTATTGCAAAACCACGACACTAAGGCATTACAATATATTCCAGTTCGTATTCGTTGTATTTATCTAAACATGTAATTATCATAAATTCTAACGTTATCGATGCGTTTCCGAAAAAAACGAAGTAAAAATTTCAAATAAATATTTGCCGAAAATATTTGCGTTTCAAATTCCTTTTGCGTATAATCATATTCATGGTTTTTATTTGGTCAAATAAGAAAAGTTTTTCAATTCTTTTAATGCAAAAGTTAACAATAACACGTTGTACAGTTATAAATGATTGCACTTTTCGCATTTAGTTTGTGCGAATTCCCATTAATAAAAAAAGTAAACTAAATGAAAATGAAACATATAATTAACAACAAAATGTAAATGATGCTAGCAGTAGTAGTAGTTTATTTTTCCATTAATATTCATGATCTTATGGGTAAAACTGATCGGGATCGTGCGATAAATTTTCTAATAATAGAATAACTATCTCGAGTGTGACGATTGCGCGAGCGATACAGAACTTTCAAAGTACTCTATTAATTTGTAAGTGATTACACTGTTATCTTGGATGCATTAACATGAATCCTCTTCAAAAGGTTTGCAACTAATGTTACAAAGTACTGTATTCGTGTCAACTGACACGAATTTACCGAACAGTGGGCAGTTACGCTATCGCCTATATTGACCATGTTTCCGAGCAGTCAATAATTTCGGTATTCAAAAATTAATTACCTTGTTGTCGTTGCAAGCTCACTGTACGTCATTCATAGCGAGCTTAGTAAAATTGATTCTCTCATGATATTCAAATTCATTTATGATTATACGTACAACATTTCTGAACATTCTTCAGAACTGTGTTTTTCGTTCTCATTTTAATGTTTATTGTAAAAGTAATTGTCACTTGTCATGCAATAAATTTGCATATTAAGGATAAAAACTGACGTGGCCAAAAGCTTGGATTTTGAATGCTGTAATTATAACATTTCTGAATGCCACTTTAGAGATCACAATTCATTGTCAAATTTTGTTGCAATAGTATTATTATTAATTACAGCAATGTAAACAATTTTGTAATTGACATCGAGAACTTTTTTTAATCTCGTAAAATTCTTAGTCAGAAAGTATTTTCTAAATAAACATGTTTTTGAATATTTATACAATTTAGAATAATGTAACGTTTCTACTTTGGACACTCCTGCTTTTGCTTGTATATTCACAATCACAATTCACAAAGTTACACAATCATGAGGTACACACATGTATGCTAAATACAATTAGCGTACTCCAGGGTTGAAATTGTAATAATATCATCAAGCAAGTCGACATTAAACCTGTAATCTACGCAAACAATTGTATACACTTAACAAGTAATATGGTCCATATGATTTGCATAACTTTTTATAAATTACACAAGTAATACGCCATCCAAAAAAAAAAAGTCATTTATTGTAAACTCGATGCTTTTCAGTGATAAATACGAGCATAGTTCATATTTCTAAAATAGTTCAATTATTCAACAAAACAATACTCTACGATGGCAATACTGGTACGATGTGCTCATTTTATTTTTTAATCCTTGAATTTGAGTTTTTCGTAAATACTCAAACATAATTTCACGGGTTCTTTCACTCTAATTTAACGGGATAATTCGTTCGTTAAAATAAGAAAAATTTTCTAATATTTATCAATAGTGGTGAAGAAAGAAAAAATGGCTTACATCATCGTTCATTTCGCATTTCACACTGAAGTTGTCAATAATATTAAAGGGAATGCATAGTTTATGATGTACATTAATAAATTAATACATTCAATTACCTGTCAAAAGATCCTTTGATAACAATAGGTTTGACTATAAAGTAAATTTCTGTTATTGTGGTTGATAAATCATTGTATAGGCATAGAAGTACAGAGAGAGAGAGAGAGAGAGAGAGAGAGAGAGAGAGAGAGAGAGAGAGAGAGAGAGACAGAGTAAAAATTCGATATAACTTTATCGATTTTACTCAAAGGGTTACATGATTTGTTTGTATGTACCAATTTCCTGATATTTGATACAGTTTTACTTAATTCATTGAAATTATTTGTCGAACCAAGCAAATCTTCATTTATGGATCATTTACGTTTAGCATTTTGATCAATGATCAAATATGGTAGTTGTCGTATTCGAGATATGCTTACTGATAAATCGTTTGAAAATTGTTTATTGCGAATCAAACAAACCCATGTAGTTTTGAGCTTCCAAAAGTATGAACTGACCGACAATCCATGGGCTCTTGACTCCAGTGCGGTCATTAAATCAATAACAGAATAACTATTTTTTAACAGCAAAACAAGCATGTTGTCACTTACGTCTGAAACAAAGGAAATAATTGAATCCATTTATTTGTCTGAAAACACGATCATTAATATTGAAAGAAATACTTATCGTATTTCATAAACTAGTCAATTTGAATGCATCCACAATCGAGTGACATTTATCCATGGCAAAGTTTAACTGATTTTTTTATGATAGTTGAATTAAATATGAGGAATTTAGTGAAAGTCAAAAATTTATACTTTTTACCGCCCATGAATTAGAAAATTAGACCAAATAAGTGATATGGAGTCACGAATAGTAAGTGGATAGGTGTTGCTGCCACATGCCAGATGGCCAAAGGTATACACACGGATTATTCTTATACATTTTCAATCGTTACATATAAATATACCAAACTTTTTAAATATTTGATATGATTTGCCTAATATAGTATTATTTATAGACCGACGGGTTAAAGTTAAAACTTAAAGGAATTAATTTTGAATTTAATTACGAATGTCAGAATTATCCATGCACTTATATATTTTCATGCCGTTGAAACTTTTTAAGGTACCATTCAATTTTAGTATTTTACGATGATGAGTGATCCAAGAGTCATGTAATTATTTGAAAGTTATGTAATTTGAGACGGTATATAATTTAGACATTTACAAAAAGTTTATAAGCGAATGAAAATAAACGGCTTCGCATATTTTTGTAATGCATTCCATCATCCTCTTCAGCAAACTAAAAGATATATTTTGCTAGTAATACAATAATATAAAATGCATCATATTTTATATTATTGTAATACTAGCTGATGAAACGAGAGATCTGTAATTTAAAAAGATATTGAAAAGAATCTACAACGTTTCGTGAACATCAGTAAAATTATAAGGAAATATTACCGCTTTGACGTATTGACGTATATAACGCTCGAATAACGTTTTAATAGCTCTGAATATACTTCTGCGAAAGCACGACTTGCTTTAAGTTGGCTGGGGCTTACGAGTTCCACGGCTGCTTGTGAGTTTCCGACTTTTCGAGCGAAACAAGTTGGCGAGTCATTTGACGCGCTAATTCTTCAGATTTATTTAAACTGTCCTTGAATGTCCTAAAAATGATACTCATTCTGGAAAATTGTCGAAAAGCTCGAAAGCTTCGACGCAAGCTTTTTGAGCTCGCGCAGGAGTCTGCCCGAAAGGTATTCCGAGCGTAGGTGAAATAGTCACGTTTAGAAGAACCAGGATAATCGTATCAACTTGAAAGTTATTTATTATTTAGCCACTTGGACGATACCATAATCGCTAATTAGACTACCGAGTACGAAAACCTGCCAGACAAACGAAGCGATGCGCCGTTAAAGCTAACGCAGGGACTGGCTCGGCTGGCTACTGCAGATATGAAAAATACAAACGATCAAGGAGAAACGACGAGACCGAGTCGGTGGGAACAGCGAAGGCAACTTACCGAAGTGGCAACGCGGGCAGGTGTCGGCAGAGCAGCTCCGCAGCGAGCAGCGCCAGAGCAGCGAGGAGCCCGTATCCAAGAGCGTAGAAAGCTCCCTTGCACTCGGCGAAGCCGACGCTGATGAAACGCCTGGAGCTGGCCGCGGCGTCGCACCTCGGCCTCGTGGAGTAGAGCCTGCTGATCTGGCGGGTCCTCATTCCGGTCTCGCGAACGCGCAGCGCCTTGACCCGCAGCAGCTCCTTGTAAGCGCTGAACTTGGCGACGACCATGTGCGGCTCGAAGACGTTGAGGAAGTCGATCTCCTCGAAGTCGCACTTCTCGTCCTCCTCGAAGCTCTCGTGCACGAGCTTGTAGGCCCAGCCGAGCACGGCGTGGAGGGCGAAGTGGCCGCGGCGCAGGCGGCGCACCCCCTCCTCGAGGCTCAGCCACTCGCACTTGTCGGATATGGCGCCGCGTACCGTCGGCTCGGCGCCGCCCAGGCTCTTGAAGTAGTAGCGATTGAAGACCGTGTCGTGCACGGCGAGGTCCAGCGGGCTGGCCAGCAGGTCCTTGAGCGACCGGATGGACGAGCTGGTCGACTGGAGGAGGGCGACGATGTTGGCCGCGTAGGCCGCGTGCAGGCTGAGGAAGCCGAGCAGGCCGGCGAGCACGAGCACCCTGGTGCTGGCGGCCCGGGCCTCGTACCAGAAGCCCTGCTGGGCCAGCGCGCCGACCACGACCAGCGCCTCGTCGCCCGGCCGCGGCTCGGTCGCGTCGCCCGCGCGGCCGTGCCGGCGCCACTCGAGCAGCATGGCCGGGTGGAGTAGCGCGCCGAGCAGCAGCGCCAGCGCCAGCAGGCCGAGCCACACGGACCCGCGGAACGGCAGCGCGAACAGGTTGGCCACCGACGACAGCGCCGGCCGCCGGAACACGAACCTCGAGTGCGACGGCGTGGTCAGGCCGGCGAGGTAGTGCACCACCCCGAGGCGCTCGCGCGTCACGAACGAGTGCGACGCGCCGAAGTCGATCTCGCCGCGCTGCATCATGCCCGTCATCCCGTCCCAGCTGCCGTTGGCGCGCGGGTAGCCCCAGGTGGGCGCCAGCTTGAAGCTTATCCTGCGGCGTCATCGCTCGCGTTCGAGTCGCGTTCGAGTCGCGTTCGAGTCGCGTCCGGTGCTTCCGGGCGGCCGCGGAACTTACGTCGCGTTCAGCATGCCCGCGAGGAACTTGGCCCACGGGTAGTTGCACTTGCTGCTGGTGTCCACCTCGCGATGCTGGTAGTCGTCGAGGTGCTTCAGCGACTCGTAGTCCGTCAGCTGTCGGGGCAAACTCGCGTACAGTGTACGTTGGCGGCGGCGGCGAGCGCGCTGGGGATCAACCAACCACTAGACTGGACCTGAGGTGAGTCCCCCGGAGGTCGCTGCGTCTCCGCGAGGTGATCGCCGAGCCACCCTCGGTCGCCAGGCTGCGGTTGCGCGGGAACCCGGCTCTCTCCTCGACCTGCCAGTCGCGTCCTGGCTCCGCGCTCACTTTGTACACGGCGACGAGTCGCCGCGAGCGCGCCAGCCACACCAGCACCTCGCTGTCCGGCAGGAGGCTCGCGTCCAGCTCGGCCAGCTCGTCGAGCGCGCACTCGGCGCTCGGGCACCGGCGGCTGGTCAGCAGCCACTTGTTGGGCGCCGCGAACATCCGTCCGCGCTTGGCCTCGAGCAGAGCAGCTCGCGCGCCGGGGCAGTCGAGGTCCAGAACGGCCTGCTGCCGATGTGCCGCGTCGGCCGCCGCTGGCGTTCGCCTGAAAGCGCACGAGGGTCGATTGCGACGGCGATCGCTCGGTCGTGGCGTCGACGAACCGTTCGTCCCCGCGAGTACCCACGCGAGCTGGTCCGAGCGACACTCGCGCATGCTGTTGGCGACGAGGGCTCTGGACAGTCCCCGGGCGACCTGCCACTTGTCGTCGGAGCAGCCGAACATCGTTACGCTCGAGAACGACGACAGACCCGTGGCCTTCAGTTGAGCTAGCAGTTGGACCAAGTCCTCGGCGTCGCCACTTTCGCGTCCGTCGGCGCGCATTTGGTGGCACGCGTGCGTCCAAATGAGCCACAAGCCGATGCCGTGGATCAACCGCATTTCGGACCTACGTTACGCGCCAATTGCAATCGAGTGCACGATTATTCGTGGCAGACGGCTCACCTGCCAATCTATCAAAATGAGATAGCTTTCTCTCTCCCCTTTGAGCGATACTTCGTTCCAATCTCGTGCTAATGATCGGCTTACGCGGAAGGGAAAGAAGAAGCGCGGTTAGTTTCGTCGCTCGATGCCGTCGAAGGTGACGGCGACGGGAGCCAAGCAAGTGTAGCGGAGGAAAAGTGCACGGTACGCCAAAGATTGGAGGCTTACTTTCTTCCAAATTACCGGAAATCAAGCTGAAGTGGAGATTCGAGTCTGCTATCAAATGCATCTTTCAAGCGGCGGCACAGAGGCGAATTGGATATACGTGCACAGCCCCGAACGCATTCGTTTTGGTTAATGACACGTTGAGCCGTCGACATCAACGTCGATTGCACAGCCGAGGCAGCCGTCAGTATTCATTCTAGAGCTAAGGCACACGTAGAGGCCTGCATCCTATTATTATCTTACGTACACGCGATTCCATATTTTTTGCGCGCCAGGGCGGAACGAACGCGCTGCTGTTTCTCGTTATTTTTTGTTAGCCTCTTGTATTCGAACCAGTCAACTTGGCAGCTCGATCCTTGAGTAATTTCTTAAATATCTCCTTTATATATGAAACATAATTTATTGAGTTATTACATGCGATTAACCAGTTACAGCTTTGACGATGAAGCATCGGTGCCAGAAAGGAATTTTTCAAGCAATATTTTCGAATGAAATTTCACAAAAATGACTGTTGCTCTTCCTTTTATATTATAATATTATTTATATTTGGACTCGTAATTGTAGGTCGACGATTCACTGATCAAGTTTCAATGCGAACACATTCGGCTTTTAAACTGCAAAAGTATTACCATATACGTGGTGATTGAGCCTGCAATCTTTTATACGAGTTTATTATTGGAATCCGAAAAAATTGATAATTGAACTGTAAGCTCAGTGATATTTTACCTTCACGAGCAAAGAGCTGTCCAGAGAGAAAAGATTGTAGACCGTGAAGTTGACGTTGTCCTGCAGCAGGTAGATAGAAAATTGGTTAAGCTGAAAATACACGAGCCTTGAAGTAAACGAAACTCGCGGAGTCGAACGCGTCGAGCACGCTACCTTACCTTGTCCTTGACCATTTGCATCTGCGGTTTCTGCAGCAGGTCATTGATAATCATATGAGTATTTTTGCTCTGAAAAGACCAAGGCAATTGATATCGAAGGCGCGCGCCCTGCTAGCATATCGTAAGCTATTTGGAATCTTGGTGGCGTACCTCGTTAACAGCCGCGGTCACAGATACGGTCAGGTGCACGAAAAGCAACAGATTGATCAGCGTGAACAAAATCCAATTAACGTAATCGACGCACGAAATGTACGAGCCGCCAATGAAAAATGGCTTTGCTATGAAATAGGCGAATACGGTTATAGACAAGAACTCGGTCGAGGTGAACAGTAGCGCGGGAAGAGAGTACATATTCGAAACGTCCCGCGACAGGGAGCTCAATTTCGTGTGTGCCTTCCATAATCCGATCAACCTCATGTTGGTTTCGACGACGGTAATGGGTTCCCAGAGCGCGCTGCAATCCGCGGCGATCGCCGCCAGATTGCCGTTTATCATGGCGAACAGGTGCTCGATCAACCTCAGAACCACGAAATACTGCAGCATCGTCGCGTTCAACACCAGGTGACACAGCAGCGTGCCGGCGTATATCACGGAATTGACGGACTCGTAGAAGAACAGCGTGGCGGCTATGCCGACGATGATCAGCGCGTTGACGGCGAACACGAGCATCACGGTCTTGGACGCCGAGTACGCGTGATCCTCGTAGCAGATCAAGTCCGTGACCTCGTTGAACCTATTGAACACCGCGATCGCGCGACTTTTGCGCGCGTGATAGACGCCGAGGACGCACAGGCTGCACAAAATTTCGAAGATATTCGCGGAGGTGTTGATGACGGCGTCGTGCACGTACACCTTGCTCATGTAGCTGAGAAACGCGAAGCAGTTCCACGTCGCCAGCAGAGCGATCACGAAGCAGCCGTACGCGGTGCTCGGCCGCGATTGCGCGAGCGTCCATCGTCGTCGTCGTCGTCGTCGTCTCTCCCCCCTCGAGGCGCCGCTGTCCTCGTGGACGCTCAAGCTCACGGGCGCCAGTCCGAACAGCCTGAAGTAGCAGACCAGCGACCTCAAGCACAGAGCCTCGTCGCCTCTCAGCCTCTCCGTGCACTTCTTCACTCGATTCATGGCGCGCCGCCCGGCTTCGGCCTCCGCGTTGGCGAGCGCCGAGCGATCGCGTACTCAACGGCAGCTCTCGCGGGAAGCGCGCTGACGCTCCGTTGGAACACCCGAAGCCACCGCGCGATCCAGGCGCGGACTTCCGCCCGTGGCGACGCCATTCGAGCCGCTCGGCATTGCGCGCCAGCCGAGCTGCGCCTGACGAACCGCCGCGACCTCGTGCACCGTCCACAGCGGCGGCAGAAGCACTGCCGACTCGTTGCAACGAGTGATTAATGAAAACTTGCCTCGAAATTCCCAGCGCGACGGGCACACGCCTATGTCGCGCATTCTTGCCGGCTAAGTAATCAACTGTACGGCTGCGACGAGGTGTGCGTCGCTCGTAATCGTGGCGCCAGCGATGCTAATTTCAGCATACAAATCTAATCCAAGGACGAGCTATCCGGATAAGTGCGCTTGAATGGCTCGCGAGTAACTATTTACCAATCGGGGCTTCTGAAGTTTCCACCGAGTCGAACAACCAAATTCATCATCTGCATATAGATCTACGAATCTTTATTTTCGGCTTGCAGCCGTAGATATGCATCGTCGACACGTCGTCGTCGTCGTTGCTGCGGTCTGCAACGGTTGAAGCAATGCAGCCTTGGCGCTTAGATCCTTGCAACGGTTCCGATGCGATGCCGACGGCTCGCGAACGGACGTCGGGAGAAAAGAATCGGAAACTGCGAATTTCGCGCGATCGTGCAACGTTCACTGGAAATGTTGACTCAATCGAAAACCCAACCGACCGATAAGGCAACATTTTTATTTATTCTGGATTTGCCTCGTCATTGACGGCTCGAGCGTCGGGCTTTTTCAACGAATCCGTTGAAGCAAAATGCAGCGAAAAATCGAATAAATGGGCGGGGATTTCGAAATCAGTATTGGCGTCTGCTCTGCACAGCAGTCTATAGATTTCCGAGTAGTTTGATAAGACAAATCTTAGCGCTCGCTAACGCCATTTTATTTACTATCGACTGGTTGTTGCACGTGGACGTTGCAATTGCCTTGGCGCGCTCTTCTGTAAGTACTCGAAAATGGGAGAAAGAGAAGTCGAAAAGTGTTGCTCCATTCGCGAATTTCGGTCGTTTCATCCGGCTCAAAAGTGCAAACGAGTTGAACGCTCGGACGAGCCGTTATTTAAGCAGTTATCAAGCGTGAAAATTATTCCATCCATGAATCGAGAAACTCTCGAGCCAATTGCGCTCGTCCGACGACTTTAATAGAAAATACGCATTATCATTAGCCATTAGTGCCGTGCCGCCGATTCGACGGAGTCGTCCAGGATGCGTGGTCGACGCGCTTCGCGCGCCGCGCCCTCTAATCGCAAATAGTGCTGCTCGCGTTCCCGAGCCAGCCAGCGTTATTACTTTTCTGACAACGATGATCGAACGAGAGCGCCATCCGGGCGATTGCGAGTGGCGCGAGGTACGCGCGCACGCGTCACGATCGACGACACGCGAAGCGACCCGTCGAGCGCCTCGAGGACCCGCGCTGCGATAAACGGCTCTAGTCCTCGCGGAAGATCGCCGCGGGAGGGCGCTGTACGCCGCGCCGTTTCGAGCATCGCACCAGCGAGCCGCGCGCGTTAATTGGCTTTCGTTCAAGGGTGCGCGCCATTTTTTTTTTTTCTTTCTTTCGTTTCTCTGACCTTCGAAAAGCGAACTGTCGCAACGTGAAACCGTTACTATCTTGCCTTATCAATCAGATTACGTTTGTCAGTCCGATCGATATATCGCGTCCAACGGATTCGCGTTTTCGCGCGATTGTCGCTTAGGTTTGCATTGCCCGCGGCAGTGCGTCGAACGACAACTAGATGACAACTCGCAGTCTTGCGGCGCAGCGACGCGCGAACAGGAACGACTCGAATTCAAGAAATATTCCTGCTCGTTCGCGTTTGGCAATGTGGACGCAAGCTTGGGCCTTCGTTCGTCCAAATCGCAAGTCTAAAGTTTCACGGCGTGTTGCGTAGCGAGTGGATGGACAAATTGAGGAGCTGCAAGGGTAACGTAGATTGCTTTGGTCTCCAGGCCTATGTGAGCAATCATCTACAATTTCACTTGTCGGTCGTGGTTCTGCGAAAGAAACGAAGCGTCGCGAGTACTACTCGCCGCTCGGCGATCGATCCGGAGATTAATATCGTTCGCTCGTCTCGCCGACGGCGGTGCCAACGGAAGTTGTTGGTCGCGTGGGTCGGATGTATTACAGACGCGTACGATCGAGCCACGAACGACGCGAAAACGATTGGCTTGGCCGCGCAACGAACCGACGTTACTACCTGACGACAGCCAGTAGGTCGTAAGCACGTTGAGCAGCGCCGATGCACGCATCGATCGCTTCCGCGAGCCGCAGTTCGTCCAGCAGCGTCCGCAGCGCTGGTCAACCGGCGAACTGCGGACTGCGCGATGCTACATTGGGCTCTTGCCGACTAGCCGCGATTCGCTTGCCCAGGGTCGTCGTCCAATCGATACTTTCGAACGAGCGGAACGAGCTTGGCATCGATTTATTCGCCTTTCGAACGCGACGAGACCAGACGCATCGGGAAACGTCGAAAGCCGGCGGCTCTGACGACGGTCGAACTGCTTGCAGGCTACCAGCGGGAGCTGAACTACCGACACCCGGACGGCTCGTACTCGGCGTTCGGCGCGAGCGACGAGGCGGGCAGCGGCTCGATGTGGCTGACCGCCTTCGTGGTGAAGTCGTTCGCGCAGGCCCGCGCGCTCATCCAGATCGACGAGCGCGACCTGAAGCTGTCGGTGAAGTGGATGGTGCGCCGGCAGCTGGAGAACGGCTGCTTCCCCGTGGTCGGCCAGGTGTTCCACAAGGACATGAAGGGCGGGCTGCGCGAGGAGGACGGCTCGTCGTCGGCGCTGACGGCCTACGTGCTGATCGCGCTGCTGGAGTCGGGCGTGCCGCTGAGCGCGGCGCTGGTCAACAACGCGCTCTACTGCCTGGAGAAGGCCAGCCTGTCGGACCACTTTGCCGACAACCCCTACACGGCGGCGCTCACCACCTACGCGCTGGCGCTGCTCGAGCACCCGCGCGCCGGCGAGAGCCTGCGCGCGCTGCTGGGCCGCGCGACGCGCCGCGAGGCGAGTGCCCGCCCACCGGCCGCCGCCGCCCGCGCGGCCCGCGCGGCCCGCCCTCTTAAGGCCCGCTCTGCTCGCAGGGCGTGCTCTGGTGGGAGGACCGCGGCCGGCCGGGCGCCCTCGGGCTCAGCGTCGAGATGACGGCCTACGCGGTGCTGTCGCTGCTGAAGCTCGGCGGCGAGGCCAACGCCATGGAGGCGCTGCGCGCCGTGCGCTGGATGTCGCGCCGGCGCAACGCCCAGGGCGGCTTCAGCTCCACCCAGGACACGGTGCTGGGCCTCGAGGCCCTCACCAAGTACGCCCTCGCCATGGCCAACGCCTCGGCCACCGAGCTGTCGGTGCTGCTCACGGCCAGCGACCTCGACCGCCTCTTCAAGATCAACGCGGACAACCGGCTGCTGAGCAGCAGGCTGCGGCTGCCCGCGCTGCCCACCAGCCTCGAGCTCTTCGCCGAGGGCGAGGGCTGTCTGCTGGTTCAGGTTGGTGCCCCCGCGCGACTGCCGTCCCCGTCGGCCCGTCGGCACGCCGGCTCACCGCGCTCCGGCCGTGCGCTTGCAGAGCAGCCTCAAGTACAACAAGGCCAGGGCCGCGGGCTCCGAGGCCTTCGAGCTGGAGGCGAGCAGCGAGAGCGTGTCGGTGCGCGAGGACCTGGAGGCGATCGAGGACCACTGCTCGACCCAGCGGCTCACGGTCTGCGCCCGCTACAAGCTGCCCGACGAGGAGAGCAACATGGCGGTCCTGGAGATCGACATGGTCAGCGGCTTCCGGCCGCGACGCGACTCGCTGAACGACCTGCTGCACGAGCACGCCGCAGGTAAGGCCCGGGCGCCCCCGCCCCCGCCCCCGCCCCCGCCCACCGCTGACGCTTCGCGACGGTGCGCAGGAGTCAAGAGGTTCGAGGACAACGAGGCCACGCTCGCGATATACTTCGACAAGTTGACCTGGCAGAAGACGTGTGTCGCCTTTGAGGCGACCAGGGACAGCGTCGTCGACGATCCCGAGCCCGCCAACATCAAGCTCTACGACTACTACCAGCAGGAGCTTACCGTCTCCACGGTAGGGCCGCGCGCGCGCACTCGATCCGACGGCCGTTCTCATTCGCCGACTGCCCGCAGAACTATCGGTTCGCCCAAGTCTGCGCGAAGAGGAACGACGAGCCAGCCCCGGCGGACCGCGAGCCCCGCGAGCCCCGCGAGCCGTCGCCTCGGCTGATGCAGAAGCAAATGGACGACAGCCAGCTGGACAACCGCATGTCGATAGCCGATCAGGAGCCGAGATCCGTGCGGGTGATCAACCTCAACAGGGACGTCCACGAGAGGAAGCTCGACCGGGCAATCTTCGAGCAGGAAATCGCTATCGAACGTGAGAACGTCGCCTTGCCGCGGCAACGCGAGCCTCTCCGATCGGCAGCGCCAGTGACGATCCTCTTGTCCGCGCGAACAGCGACGGATGGCAGTGGCGTTGGCGTCGACGAGGTCGACGCCCAAGTGTTCTCGCCGAGTCCGGTCCTGCCGAGCGTCGACGACGACTTGCTCGAGGAGGGCTTCTCGCCGGCCTTCGTCAACGTCGATCACGAGCTCGAGACGCCCAACGGCGTCGAGGGCCCCGTACCCGTGTTCGTCGAGGCGCCCCTCTCCACCACCGCGAGCGCCCCCCGACGACGCGACAACTCCTCCGAGCTTGACAACGACTTTGCCTCGCAGGTAACTTTCGGCGGCTCTCCTCGGAGATCCTCGACGAGCTCGCGCCTAACGCGCTGCTGGTATTGCACGACTTCGCAGGAATCCGACGAAGCCTCGGAAGCCACGGGCGCACATCCAGCGGACTGCCCGCGCTGCGAGAACGAATTACCCCCCGACATAAAACAGCTGTTCTGCTCGTCTTCGAGCGCCGTCAAGGTAGCGGTGCGACGATCTCGGAAGGTGCGGCTCCTCCTGGATCTCGGCTCGACGAACGTCGCCAAGCGACTTCGATCCACCACCGAGCTGACCCTCAAGCCCGAATGCGTCTGCCCTCCTCTCGACAAGCGTGAGTATGGCGTGCAAGTCGGGGTCGGCTTTTCTCAGGCTGCGCACCGAATCGCAACTCGTTTCAGCGGGAATAATGGCGCTGTTGCTGAGCTCCAGGGACCTGACGCATACGACCAAAACTCAGCTAGACGAGGGTAGCTCGATGTTCGGACTGTCGGCGGTCGCTGGAACGCCCCTCGAAATCAAGGATGCTTTGTTGTCTTGTCCGCGCGGACCTTAGACTCTGCGCGTTCGACCGCGCTTGCAGATACACTCGTCGAGCAGCCGATCGACACTGATCGTTCTTTTTTAGATTTCTCCTACACGACTGACATACCACTGCTTAGCGTTAAGCTTTTTCATTCCTTCAGTTTATTCCCTGCTATAATACTCACTATGATATATCTTTAACGTTCACACAATGGAATCGCTGCTATACCAAATCGTACGCCGCGTAAAATCTCACGCTTTTTCGGCGTTCGCTATTATAAGCATCGTTTGACGGATCGATTTCAACGCTGGCGTGCATATTTAACGTTTCCAAGCCTTTTGTATAGACTTGAAACAACATTCTTTAAGGCTATTCTTTCCACAATCCATAATCGCTATTTACTTTTAGTTGTATACTTTTTCTAGCTCTTTTTATTACTGTTTTTATAAGATTTCTTAGCCTTTGCTATATACTATCACTACGTAGCTTTACCTATCAAATACGTCAAGATAATTATTTATTCGTAGAAAAGTTGCCATTTCATTGATGATAATAAAAAAAGTGCAGCTCATGGAATAATTCTCATTGCGTAAAAGAAAAATGTCCAAATGTTTCGATATGTACTCAAAGAAATGCCGATTAATTCATTACATTGACAATTCGATTTTTATCTCGTTGTATAACATTTCAAAGAGCTACTATAAATTAGTTATGGCATGTTCGACTATTTAGTATTTATCTCTGAAACTCAAGATCGTTCAACGAAATCATAAAAGTCAAATAAACATTATCACGTTTTATTCCGAACCTCACGATGATTTTTTTTATTTGGTTTCTGAACATTTTGAAAAAAATATAAAAACACTCTAATTGCACAGTTTCGTCGGGCCACTGATCGCACGATATGCTGGTCTCGTCGGTAGCGTTGCTCGCTGGAAGGAGAAACCTTGGAAAAATAAAGTGGCATCGATCACAATAATAAAATAGAAAACGACATGCTTGCCCATAAAGGAATAACAATTTTCGCTTGTATGTATTTGAGAAATTTATTCACGAGATATGCCTTATCGATGTGACGTAGAAAAGTAATAAAAGATATCTGATTTTATTCGACATTGGCGCAAACGACTACTTGTGACTCTTAATGACGCCCAAAACATCTTGAACGTCCTCCGTGGAACCCAAGAAAATTGGGGATCTCTGATGAATTTGCGACGGAATGATATCGAGTATATTGGTCTCTCCGTTTGACGCCAATCCGCCAGCTTCCTTGACGATGTAGGCCATCGGGATGCATTCGTACAGCAAGCGGAGCTGAAAAAACGATTGCCGTGAGCATCGATGTCTCGAGCGGCGGAGAAACATTTGAGAGGATCGATGGTTACTTTGCCATTGGGCGCGTCTTTCGAGGCTGGGTACATGAATATCCCGCCGTACTTGATGGTTCGGTGAACGTCGGCTACCATGGAGCCCACGTACCTGGCGGCGTACGGCTTCCCGGACGAAGGATTTTTCCTCGAATCTACGTACTGCTCGACTGCCTTGTCCCAACTTCTCTCGTTGCCTTCGTTTATGCTGAGACGGAAACGAATGTAGCTTCCGACGGACCAATTTACGACATGCAAGTACGAACGCGGTGCGCGATCGCTAATGAATTACCTGTATATTTTCCCTCTTGGCGGTATCCTCATATTCCTCTCGGTGAGGATAAATTCTCCAATGGCCGGATCGTAAGTGAAGCCATTGACTCCGCCGCCAATGGAGAGGACCATCATGGTCGCCGAGCCGTAAAGCGCGTAGCCCGCCGCCACCAGGTTCTTGCCCGGCTGCAGCGCGTCGGCGACGGTCGGTGGCTTCGAGTCGTCGAGCTTCTTGTAGATACCGAAGATGGAGCCGACGGACACGAGACAGTCGATGTTGGACGAGCCGTCGAGCGGATCGAAGCACACGATGTATTTGCCGTGCTGCTCCGAGCGAACCTCGATGGCCGTTGGATTTTCCTCGGACACGAGCAGGCAGGTGGTAAACGACGACGTCAGCATGTTGATGAAAAGCTCGTTGCTCAGTATATCCAGTTTCTTGACTTCCTCGCCTTGCACGTTGGTCGTACCGGCGATCCCGTACCTTTCAAAGATTTTCATTGTCTATCGTGCAGCGCGTTCGTCAGAAATGCCCTGCTGGAGCTTCCACGCGGAAAACTCGTCCTCGCCCTTCGCGTCTACTTTCTACACTTTGTATTTTAATGCATCGCGCGTCGATTCGGTATAAAGAAATATTTGCAATGCGCATTGCATTTTTAGCTCTTCGTGCTGTTTTGTTACGGGCAGCAGATTACGACGGATAAATAAAAAGTTCGACGAAGCGAAGGCCAGCGTCTTTAAAGATTCAGATTGCTAAATTTAAAAACAGGATAGATTTGCGAAACGTCGATAGGCAGCACACTGATTTCGTTCGGCTATTTTAAACCGCAGCTCAGTTTACACATGCAGAAGCCAACGCGAACCTGAATGACTTGAGATAGGCGTGTGTTTGATAATCATCTTAACGTTAACGTCTGGCATTTCGGTTTTTCGCTCCATTTCTTCAAGCGAAACATGCAAATTGCGAGCTAGTTCGCATCTGATCAAGAAACACAGTTGCCAGAATTGTGGCACGATCACTTACATGTTAGCAATGCCGGCTTTCCTGACGGCCGAGCTGACGGCTTTCACCGCCGTTTGAATGCTGTTCAGTAGCTGCGTCAGATCACCCGTGGCATTCGGCACCTTTCGCTGCTCCGCGAGCACGAAGCGCGTCAGCGTCATGCAATTGGAATCGAACGTCTGCCCTTTGGTCGTCATGGCCAGCGAGTCGTTTCACGGCTGCTTGTCTGCAACAATTTTCGAGCGCGCGGATTTCGTGCGCGCGATCGTACTTTCTCACGGTTCGAACTGCTCGTGACGCGCGCACATTTTACTTCCGACTACGGAAAGTTTTCCGCGCTGATCTCGCTGTCGGTTCGGAGATTAAGAGTATCGGTGGCTTCTAGCACGAGACAGATTCTTTTGTGATCGACGTGTTTACGAGTGTTCGTCAATCAGAGCACCCAAAGATGAATCGGCATTTCGTTCGATAATTCAGCACTCGGAATCTCACTCACAAAAGATTCGGCAGTTCTACGGTGTAACAACGGTTGTCTTTCTTCGAACGTGTGCTTTTTAAAGGATTTTATCAAATTTATCGGCCGTTTTTTTCGCCGGTCTCGCACGCGATTTTGCAATGGGACCAGCCGAAAAATACGGGAAAAACAAAATTTTATATAACGCGCGTGCACCTTCCTTCGCGTCGGCAAAGAAGGTTGCGCCCGAAAAGAACGCCAGACGATAAACAGGCTCCAGCTGCCGCGCGCGGTCGAGGCGACGCGGTTCGAGTACGCGCGCGCGTTTTCACGAGCGACGAGTGCCCGAGGAAACGCGCGGAGAAAACACTCACGCAAATGTGGCTTGGAGCGTGCGGCGCAGGGAGTGCCTCGGAGACGGATGGCCAAACGAACGAGCGCGTCGGCTAGCACGCGCTACGGCGATCGCACGGGAAAGAAAGCACTGGCGCCGCGAGGAACGCGTTACGCGCCGACAGAGGCACCTCTCCCTTGCCCTCCCCGCGGTCGCAGCCGACGTCACTCGGTCGGCTATCGCGCTCGCCCCTCCTCCTTCTTCGCTGCTCGCGCTCTCGACGCGCTCGTCTCCGACCGAACAACGCCGTCGACGAGTATCGGACCTCGCGACGAGCCTCGATTGGTATTTCACGTCGGCTATGAATAGGTGTTCGCGTGTCTCTGCAGCCGGCGCCTCGGGTCGATTCTCATCTCGCCGCCCGGCAATGCTGATCTTCGGCGAACGACGTCAAAACGAAATCGACGACCGGTCGCACGTCGAAACAGAGCACCCGACGATTTTCACGCGTTCCCTGCCCTCAAACATCACCGATTGGCTGGAGCTTAGGCAACAGTTGCGCTTGTATTGCGCGCAGCTCCGATGTCCCGGGTCATCGAGGCGATAATCCCAGATGCTTTCAGCCAGTCAACGGCATATTTCCAGCTGGAAGAATCTTCAGAGGTTTCGCGAATATCTCTTTTTAAACAAGCGCAGCGCTGAGCGATAACACTCGCTCTTTTTTTATCCGCAGTATCCGTAGTTCGCATTTCCTCACGAGTGTTGCTATGAAAAGCCTGTAAAATTCCATGTTCTTGTTGATCCTTGGGACAAAAAAGCGAGGCGTCAGTGTCTCGAGACTCAAAAATAAAACAACGAGTTATGGCATTGGCGGTAGTCGAAAGCGTTATCAACCAACATACATCACATTTTGAATTAGCGTAGCTGACTGGTCAAACAGACATATCGAAATACGACGATAAATGATGATGAAACTGATGGGAACGAGTAGCGCGGCTGCAACTGGTGAAATTTAGGATTCGTCCTGACTCGTGCACTCTTCACTTTGGAATTGTAGTATTATGACCAGGTACGCCGTTATAGAACCCACAATCTGGCAAACGACACGAAAGAAAAATTCGTGAATCTTCATATCGTACGAATTGGAACTTACCGATACAACGAGAGAGCCGTTCAGCGAGAAGAAATCGAAGACTGTGAACTCAACGACTCCGTACAGCAGAGAAATGGAAAACTGGCGCAACTGGAACGAGCGAAATATTGACGTGCATGGGGGCTCGAAATAATCGCGAGAATCGATACTTTTGGAGCTCACCTTATCTCGAATCCCTCGCGATTGTGATTTTCTCAACAAGCCGGCTACAATGTCGCGCGTTCTTTCACTCTGAAAATAATTTACACTGAGAGAGTATCGCCGACTTTTCTGAAAGTTGGAGGAATGGCCTCTGTCCGCCTCGAATGCGCGAAAGAAACGGCGAGAAAGAAAGAAAGCCTCGTCCCCGTAGACAAGCGGAATGATCGGAATCGTGATCGACGCGTCAAACAAGACCCATGGATTTGTGGGGACACGAGGTCACTGCTTTTGGTCTCGGCAAAATCGATAACCCGAAGCCTCGACACTTTTCGCGAGGACGACCAAGTTTTTACCAAGTGCAATTTACCTCGTTGACGGCTGCCGTAGCGCGTGACGTGAGCATCACGACGGAATACAAGTACGGGAAGATGAAACACAATCCTCGAAGGTAGTCGCTTATCGCGAGGCGATCATCTCTGATCACCATTGGTTTAGCGATAATATCGTAAATGACCGAAGTCGTCACTAGCAGTGCATTCGTGACAGTGAGCAGCACGCTGAGCGAATAGAAGGCAGATATGTCGCGCGACAACTTGTCCAGCTGCACGTGCAATTGCCAGAATCGCGAGAGCTTATCCTCGACTTGGAGGACCGAGGCGAAGCCGTCCGCGTGCATCGAGCAGCCGGACAACTTGGCGTTCAGGCTGGCGCGCAGCTGTTTGGCGATCGTCACGACGATCCAGTACTGCATCGCGACCGAGGCCACGACGAAGTGGCAGATGTTCATGCTCAAGCAATACATCGCAAAGTCAAAGTCATTCACGGAGTCCGATATTGCAACGAGCAAAGACGCCAGAATAAATATCACCGGGACCACGTCGATGTCTCGGCCTGAATTGCTTCCCTCGTCGCCGCGATCCTCATTAATGCCGGCCCTTATCGCGATTAGATCGTTGTAGATGATGACCTGCTGCTCGCGTTTTATGCCAAATATCGCGACGATGCATATCGCGCTGGAAAATCCAACGACATCAGACGTATAATAAACGGAGTCGTTGTTCTGCGTTGACTTGGCAAAGTATCCGTAAGCAGTCACGCAGGTCGTTGTAACCATGAAAATTATGAGGAATAAGCTGGGCGCGACATCTTTGGCCGAATGCGAGAATCGATACGTCTCCCCGTTCGCGTCCAATGGAGTTTCGGTGTTCAGGCTTATTGCAGCGATCCCAGACGCTTTGAACAGATAGAATATGCACTTGCCGCCGGAAAACTCTCTGGACTTTCTTAAGAACTCCGCGACTCGGCTCATCCTGTGGCTAACTTTATTCTAAAATTGAAGCTAACCGTCGAAAAGTAGAGTGGCGCGTGCAGACGCGCTGAGTCCAGCTTCTCATTGAACTTCTCTCTCGCTCTCTTCTTATCTGCAAGTATCGTCAAGGGTATACGACGAGACTATTCCATATCGCGAGCATTACCTTTTCGATTGTCGTATTGCCCGACGGACAAAAGATGCAGACCGATGTGCCTGCAGTTTTGAAAGCGTCACTCGTTGCCACCATTGGCGCGAAAAGGACCGATGAAACTAAAAAATCAAACAGCGTTGGCACATAACAAGTCTGCATCTTGTCGATTGCTCTGTAAATGCGGCATTCCCTTACAAATACACATGGAAATAAAACGCTCGGCGTCTCTATAAATACAGTCTATTCTCGTCAAGTACTCGCCTTTGTCGAGACAGAAATAGCTTGTGATCTAGGCGTCATAGACTTGCCGCGTGATATCATCGAATGGAAGCCCGGGTCAAGTCCCTTTGGATTCGTTTGAAAAAAATCGATTCGCTCCAATCTAGCCGATTAGATTACGACATTTCAATGACACGTAACTTTGGCGCGGTTCGATCGTTTTCTTCCAACAAAGGTTCGACCTTGGCTGATTTCATTTGGCGAGGTCGCGATAACACGGTGACGCTTCGATTGCAAGCTATTGTCTGTCGCAACAGCCAAATATTTTCATGTGTACACTCGCCGGAGATCGATTGTGTCCTCCCATTTGGATTTTAATATTGGCTGGCTATGGGAGAAATTGAAAATGAGGAAAGAATCAATCTCCGCCAAGTGTACGTCATACACAATCCGCTTAGCTATGAAAATATCGAGCGTTAGAGTGAACGGACGCGACTTCTTACTTATTTCAAGAGATACCAAAGTAATCGGTGAGCCGACGATGTGACATTTTACCCACTTGTAAGTCTTACCTATTTCGACCATAATCCTTCAAATCAATTTATTACGTTGACTGTATTTAGCATCGAACACTGCTATGTGTTGTATGAAAGACAGTACTTGCGTAGGCATCGCTTCAATGTTCACACCTCGAGTTGCCGCCTTGCTCACTACTTTCAACGACTTTGCAAGCGAACATTTCACGTACAGCTGTTATGCCTACTTACGTCTATTGATTTTGCTTTTGTTTTTACACAATTCAGAAGTATGTGTAAACATACATAAAACTGATAAAAATATTGCAATCGGTTACGAGAAGAGATTTCCTCAGATGTTTTCATATTTTGAATCATTTCTCTGTTGAAGTATTTGTCTAAAAAGTCATTCCAGAACCACAATTGTATTGAAGTAAAAAATATTGACTGAGCTTGATAATAAAGTAAAATACGTTGGAGTATAGTAAATAATTATATTTTAACGAATCTAACTTGCTTTTACTATTATTGCCCTTTACAGCACTTTATTAAACTCACAGTATTTCATATTATTGTATCATCTGAAAAATAAATTTTGTTCAGACATCATTTCACTGCTCGTGTCCCACTTTCACGTTCTGCTCGCTCACTTCGAGCTCAAACTATTTTGCAAGCACGCAGTGGTGCTTTCTTGCTTGTAAGTATTGATTAGGTCTTTCGAATTGTTGTCTACCATCACTTTTCGTAATAACTTGAATGGAATTACTTTACACTAATTTGTTGGTATTTTAGTGCATACTATTAGAAATAAGTATGTTTCTACTAAGTTCATTTCGATTTTGGCAATTGTAATTCAACTACGTGTTGAAACAAAGAAATTACATCAGTTTATTCTGCAAGTTTCTGTAAAACAAAATTAAATGTTCGGTAGCAGTTGTTGCATCTTTTCGCAGAAATATCAACTCAGTGAAGAAAATGTATTTCGCTGAAATAGGTAACAATGACAGAATAAAAGTCGAAGGAAATTCCCTTAGATATTATCTCTTTATTTCCTGCTCATTACTCGTTAATCTTGCGTTCTGTTCTCCTCGCCATTACTGCGACATACAAGTAATTATTAATACAAATTAACAACATCCTTTAGACAATAGTTACATTAAATATAGTTAATCTTCTTACGTAGCAGATTTTACGCGTCAAGCGTCGCGAGAACACGTCGCCGTCTGGCGTATCGGCAATTCCTAACGTGTCATCTAAATAGCGGCGTTTCAGCAGTTACACTATTCGCATATATATATTTATATATATATATTATTGATACTTTTTTCATTAGTCTCCTTATATCGTTTAATAATTTTACTCCTGCTTATTGATTAATTCTAGGTAATTGGCAGTTCGTCAACTTGTTGATCGCCGATTCGCAAGACGTCGCGCGCCTTCCTTATAATCTCTTTTGCACTCTGTTGAACTTGTTTATATAATCACGAGTGTCGATCTTTTTTATCAATTTTTTCCTTTCTTCTCAGTTACTAAATCTAATTCACGTCAATGAAATGTTTCAAAGAATTATTGAAGGTGAAAGGAAGAAACTGACGCGCCCCGATATAGTAAAGGAGGAACGCAATTATAAAGGAAACAAAGTAGACAAAACAGCTGTGCTTTACCGACCAACGATCATAATTGTTTTGGCAAAAGATGCTCAATTCAAAGGGACTACGTGCGCGTGGTTAAGCATATGAATACAACTAATCGGTGAGGAAACTTTCATTGCTCGTTTTTAATACGTTGACGCATACAAAAATAGCGCTGCTATGCGTGAACTATCGAATTTCTCGTCGTTTTTTTAGGCCACCATGCTGTTGTGTATTATTTTTTTCATTATTGTTACTGAAATTGCACAAATTTTGTCAAAATAATTACAAACGTCTAACACGTTTATACAATGCATCTGGATATATCTTATCTAGATATTATGGTATGGTATAGCAGGCGTATTGTTCAATTTTTACTTATATATCGCTTGCAGAAATAATACAAAAATAGGGATTATGCGCTCGCTTATACTCTGGCAAAATATTACATATGCATGTGTGTGTATTTTATTTTTCTTCTCGTCATTTTTTTTTTCACTTTTATAATCTTATATAAGCCTCGGATACGCTAATACTCTACGTGCTACGTAAAAATTATTTGGTTAATATCACGCGCCCACGTGCATAGATCGCACGGAGTGCCTGTGAGGCTACGCAAAGTTAAATAATAAAATGAAACAAAAAAACGCACAATTAATACTAGGACGCTTGAGTGATTGAGTCGATCGATTCGGGCGTTACTTTTACAGAACTACACGCGGGAACGCTTAACTTTCACGCACCTCAGTCTCTCGTTTCGAATACAATGGATTAAATAAAAAAATGATGATTATTCAAAATCATCGAGAAATAAAAAAATCATGATTATAACGAAATGAAAGAGACGACGAGTAAAAACGATTACTAGTGAAGATAAAATACATATTGGAGGTACAGTTATAAATCCTGTCACGGACAGGTTTGCGTGGCGCGTTGTACTTGCCGCGCTCGCAGATATGGACGTTTTATCATTCTTATCGAGTCGCGAGATTCATTTTGACGCGCTTTTTAAAAAATCAGCCTCGCTTATCTCATTTCTCTTTCTTTCTACGAACAAACACAGACAAATTTGAAAAATTGATTTCTTAGTAAGTATTTTTAGTGACATGAACACGTTGCTTGCATTTGTCTTGTTATTTTGATTAAGTCGTTTTATAGTTTCATACGTCGTAAAAATCGTATTTTGATATCATCCCTTAGACCCATTATATTTTCTTCTTTGTTTACTTTGTCGACAATGACAATAAAAACACTTAATCTTTATAGTTTAGAGAACCATATATGGCCTAATCTAACACGAGTATATCATTAAAAATATAGAACATTCCGATACGTAAACCCATGACAAAGATAATCGCGCGTATGTATATGTATGTATGAACAAGGCTTAAAAAGTACTCGATAAGAAGAGCCAACTGTCTGCCCCTAGACATTAGTAAATCTTCGGCGCCGATCTGTCATTGATCGGTCCGGCAGTTTTGCGCAACGACGTACCTCTACGTATTTGATCCATTAATGAGCCTCTGACCTGTATCGGATCGAGAATCGGTACTCTATTAGCCATAAGACGTCTTACGCTTGCAGATCTCATACTGATTCGTTGAGATTGAGGTTGCTGATGAGACAGCCTTGCGTTGAACGTGTCGAGGAACTCGTTGGATGTTCTTGAGCTGCGATTTGAATTCTGTTGCTGTTGCTGGTCAACTGTGAGCTTTCTTGTGGGTTTGGGACTGTTATTCGCCGAATTTTCGCCTGTCGACGAGGAACCTAAAGTCACGCTGCTTGTCAGTTTGGCATTCAGCGCCGCCATGAAACTGTGCGCTACCCCGCCGGGTCCTTGAATTGACTGTTGGCTATTACGCGAGTCCGGACTCGAATTTCTATCGCGTGATCCTGCGTTCACTCTAGTCAATGTTTTTCCCTCGGGGGTTAGTTGAGCGTGGGCATAAGTGTGCGCCTGTACTGTGACTTTACGGCGCAGAAGGGATGGACTTGCTGGAGTGTGGCGTAATTCCGTCAGCGTTCTTACTGTTTCTGATACGGAAATGGACCTGTAAAAGAAAGAGCTCGCTTAAAAAACAAGTTGCTTTTTTTTTAAATAATTATGATTTACCCCAAAAGATACGTTTTTAAAACTATTCGACTTTTTGCGATTGAACATAATTTTAATAAGCAATGCAGTTATCTTCAAGTTTGTTATTTTTTCCCTCGAAGTCGAACTATCAACCAAAGAGAAAACATGCAAAAAATCAAGTTCCACTATGATTTCATAATTTTTTTAATAAAAGCGTATTAACCCATCTAAAACTAATTCGTTTATTGCAGTATAAGAATTAATTGTGCAAAAATGACAAAAAAAACAATACCTTCTCTGTGAAGCAGGGCTGCCAGCAGCACTCGGCGGGGATGAACCTTCTAGTAAGAAAGCTGGTGGTGGGGGCAAGCTGTCCAGATCGTCGCTATGATTACTGGCGCGATCGTCAAAGCTGTCACCCACAATAGCCGACACGCGTCTTGTTGGTGGAGCTGGTTTATTTGCTTGTTGCAGGGAGTTGCGACGTTGTACTATCGCACTCACGGATAACCGTTCGGTATACTCCACGTTACTGTTACTCACATTCGTAGTTGACGATAATATAGTATCTGTTATTTCTTTGACAGTCTTCGTTGTTTCCGAAGTCTACAATTACAAATCAGGATAGAATTTGAAGCGTTAACAAATATTGAGAGTTAAAACTCTATACCTTTGTGTTATTGTCAGTCGTTGCAATATCGTTAGATGTAGTAGTAGGAGGTGGAGGTGGTGGTGGGTGCATTTCTTGAGCTCGGCTAGCCGCCAAACTTGCCAGTTCGTGCATATTAACGTACATGGGCTGATGGAATAGGTGAGGCTGTTGCGATGCTAATTCTGGAAATTCGAAGAAACATACATCACACTCATACTTCAGTATTTACAACGGAAAGTAAATTCTCATGACTGTTCCTACCTTTTGCCAGATGAGCAGGAATTGGCAATTTAGTTTTAGCTCTGGGACTATTGGAGCCCTGATTCGCGGGATCCGAATCGACTCGTGCCGGAACAGTTGGCCTCTCTAAGCTCGAACACCTGTTTGGTATTGGCGGTCTCTCGCGACCTAAACTTCCACTGCTATTTTTTCTTTGTTGCAATCTCGCCGCGTTCAGTTGTGCATTTACTACAGGATTCGAAACCGGCGACGCTGGTTGACTACTACTTTGCTCTGGAGCTTGGAACGTGTAGACACTCAGTGCTGGCCTCTGATGACCCTTTTCATACGCTGGAAATTGTTATACTTGATTTATCTATTTTTATTAAAAACCGTTGGCAACGTATGACCCGTGCGTATGTAATCTCTTTTACTTTAATAATGTGTTGAGAATGTTGTCATGGAAAATAATGAGAAACTAAAAAATTTGGTCTATTACTTATTTGTAAATCAAAAACTGAAGTTTATTATTTCCGAAAAATTTTGGAATCATTTACAAAGAACTACTTCGTTATCGTCAGCTTCATTGTAGAGTATTATCATACATTCAAAACAATGTTATCTTCAAATTGTATGCTCAATCAACGCAGTTGCATGACTCAAACGTTCACAAGGTTCAAATGCTTTCAATGACTTAAAAATGTTAAAAATCTGTAGCTAGATTATGTATAAGAATTAATTTAAATATACATGATTTTTATTAATAGATGAACATTTTTCAATCTAGATCAATAGTTATATCAGTTATAAAAACGGCGCAGTTTTTTTAATCATTTTAACGCTAATTGCAAACATACACTTTTCGCGTCGTGTTTACATAAGTGTGGAATTTTAATTATAATTTTAACAACTGCAAATCAGCATAATGCTAAGACGTAATGTGACAAAGTACGTTAGGTACAACTTTTGAATAGAATTACCTGATGAAATGGTATGAGGTCTTTCGTTCGCGGCATTGGGATCTTGCGAATCAACACGAGCAGTTTCTTGCTGAAGATCAGGCCACGTCGAAGTTGCTGTGGGTTGCGATCCTCGATCAGTCTGTGGTAATGTGCACGACACCTAAAAACCAGTAAGCAAATCATCATTCATCCACTAAATAACGCAGTTTCTAAGAAGAAACAACACGACAGCTAATACAAAGAACACTAACGTAATTATAGCATGCAAAAGATAAATCTACGCCATACCTGTCTTCTGTACATTGGTTGCAAGTAAAGTGTCTCTTGAAGCGATGTGAAACCGGAGTCGCGCGAACCACCGTTGATAGAACGGTGACGGTGACGCAGCGTCACCATACCATTGAAGGGCTACGGATATATAACATTGACCACTACGATAGTTTTTTGTTTCGATTGACGAGAGAACTGGCTGCATCCCTCAGCACACGTGTCGCACAGTCGTGTCTACATAGATTTTTTTTATCTACGACTAGGTTCTTGTAATAATAGTGTGTGAAAACAACTACTAGACTTGCATGCCGTATATACGTCGAACTAACACATAGCTAAACAACGTCCTTTTGTGCGTGTATATATATACACACATAACAACGCAATTGGTCAATTCGAGGAAAAAATCATAGACGCTTGAATTACGTGAATTGAAGCCAATAAACAATCGTTTATACTCGATTTATCACGAGTTTGCAATCGTCTCAATTGTATTTTTCCTCCAACTCCAGCTAAGAATCTGACTAAAAACAGAAGAATAAATAATAGCACGTCTACCTGCTGTGAAACGGATCGGTGCCAAGCCGACGATGGATAGCCAGCCGAAGGGCTTGGATGGCTTTTACACGATCCGCTGCTGCTACTTGTTAACGAGCTGATTGAGCAGACGGAACTCTTACGCGAGCCAAGTGATAGCGAGGGGCTTGAGGGTGGAGTTGCCAAAGACCATTGCGACGGGTCGCGACCTTTCAAGTCTGTTATCACTTGTTCTGAAGCCGGTGGTAACTGTTGGGGTAACGCTGTGTGTTTCTCCAACTGCTCTGCTACTTCTTGCAGATGCGTCATTTCCATCAGCATCGCGATTTCTTCGTCCTGCCGGTATATGATCAAACGAACGTTCAATAGATTTTCCCAAAATTTATGGAAGGATTGTCGGTATTTCAGGCTATACGCCATGGAAAATAGTATAAATATATTGTCACAGAGATATGATTGAATGTCTAATTGTGCATTAAGAAACATCATAATGCACCTGTGTATCATTCAATCTTTTTAATTAAAAATAAAAGCAGAATGAACGCTTTGATTTAAAAGCCCAATAAGAAACAACAGCAATTTTTTTCATAGAAAGGTACTTACAAGAACAGGTTTCAAAAATTTGGCAAACTGACAAAACCGTCCCCTCTCCTCTAATAAAGCAGCCCTAACAGCCTTCCTTTCAGTCTCCTCTAATGTTTGGCGTTTCTCTTGGACAACGGCGGCCGACGATTCAAGGAGTCTGCCTAGTTCAACATCAGTGGCACTGGAAGCATTACCTTGACTGACAGCATGTGGCAATGTGCCATAAATCTGCTGTTGTTGTAAACCCTTACGGGCTTTTTTCTTCTGTAATCTTAATGTATCACTTGATGTCTTTTTCAATTCTGTTCTTGCCTTTTTATATTCTAAAAAAAGAGAAAAACAGTTATTAGCAAATCAAATTTCACTGTAAAATAATATATTCACCTTTAGCATGCTCCTTATCTAAATATACCAATGACTTCTTCCAATCTTCTAATTTGTCTTGCAGGGGAATAATCAAGCAGTCCATTATAGCACTGTTAACAATATCACACGTTTAATAAATGCGATTCGATCAAAGTAAACATTTCATATTTATTTTTACCTGGTAAAAGATTTGACTCTTGTCTCGACGGCTTTGTGCCTTAGACAAATCCGCGTGAGAGCTGTCCCAATTTCTCTGGTAGCTCCTATAAAAAAAGATTTAAAACATGAAAAAAATTATCACACGCGCGTATCAATAGACATAAATCCAATGTGGAGCAGATAACACGTAACTTTCGAACGTGAGTTCCGACGTGAAAGAGAGAAAAACGTCGATGAACCCTTTTGAATGATTGCACGCGCGCACAGCGGCAGTCTATTGACTGTTCAACTATTGTCACTGAATGAGAAAAAAGAAAAAAATTCGCTTGTCCATACCTCGAGCATTGGTGGCAGCGTCAGCAATCTTTTGGAAGGCCTCGAGGTACGCTGATATTGCGAGTATCGCGGCCCTAACAAAAAACCATATACGGTCAAGCGATCTGTCGTATTGGCAGTTGCGACACACGAAAAGTCAACAAGCAATTAGGACGAATTAAAAACTTACTTGAGACAAGTGTGCAGTTTGGTCGCCTTGGAGATGAGATCCTCCCAGAGTGGAGCCCCGTTCTGCAACAAACAACAAACGTACGCATATATATACACAGTCGTAAAGCAAAGAACGCGCGCACACACAGAGCACATATAGAGCATTGAAGAGCGTCGCCATAGGCAGCACTCCATGCAAGGGGAATTCGCTTTGTAAAACATAAAACGATAAACTTTCGTACCTTCATGTCGAGGATGATCTGTTGGAAGAGGCAGCCTAGTGCACTGCACTCTCTCTCGGCGCTCGCGTCCATGTTTGCAAACTCGCGTCTCCGTACACACACACCGTCGCCTACGGGAATCTCTTATTTACCTATCCGTCCGACTCGTCTTCGCCATCGAGAGAGACTGCGAGGCGTTCGTTCGCTAGTTCGTTCCTCCCACTCACGCTGCTGCCGTCGCGGTCATGCCCCCTTTACCGCTGTACAACTTTATGCGCGCACGCGCAGCTATTATGGGGATGCGGGGGCACTTCTATTGTCTCTCTCTCTCTCCCTCCCTCTTTCTCTCTCTCCAAGCTTTTCACCGATCACCTTTTTTCTTATTCTTTATTTTATGGGAGCACTTCCTTTTGCGTGCATGCCATTTCACAAGCACAAAGAGAAGCTGCGCGCGTCCATTGAGCTGCGCACACGCTACAATGAATGCTTCTGCACGCGCGTAGGATGCGTTAGATTTACGGCGTTCACTCGAAAATTTGACCAAATTTCACAATCTATCGATGGTTCTAGTTCGATGACAACGTTTATGAGTTTATGCTGCAAAAGATGATTGTCATTGCGTTGAAAATTTTCTGTAACAAGATATAAACGTTCTCCAAGCCGACACAAAAAGTTTTCCCTCTTTTTTTTGACAGCTTCACCCCTCTACTACTACCTCGACGGTTCTCATTTCATTAGGTCTCCCCCACCATTATTGAAACTAATATTTACTATTTACAGGCGTCAAGATACCACGCGCGCGCACCCATCGCATTGTAAACAAAAAAAATTGCGAACTCTCAACGATTTAAATAAGTATTAACAAAACATTGCAATGTAAATATTACGAGTGCAACAATGCCAATAATTTAAAGTGCCTATGAAATATTACAGATACGGATGAAGGCACTCACCGGGAAATCGATTCGGAAAAATTATAGAAAAACTGCGCGTAATTGGCTATAATAGCAAAATTCATTAATAATTCCGCGCAATTTATTTTTTGTTAATAAAAAAATTTCAAAAGTTGAGTACTCATGCATAGATATCGGTAACATTTGAATCTGCGTATCGCTTTATTATGGTTTTTATAAAAATGAATCACCAGTATAAGTCCCGCGCAATTATTCTATCCATTAAAAAATTTTATTATAACTATCTGTTAAAGAATAAATATTATTTTTTATTACAGCGATACATGCACCTGAAAGATCAGTCGGCAACATAGATCCACTTTTAAGAGTTTGTATTCATAAAAATAGGTTGTTCTGGAATAAACGTCAATGTTAATTATTTGTTAGAAGTGGATTTTTTTTAACCTAGATAAGTCTTGGAATTCTTAAAATTATTGGTTATATTGAGAAAATAACTCATACCTATCAGTACAGCTCTTATACACGCTAGCATTCTTGGGAAGGTATTGTCTATGTATAATTATGTAAAATATAGTTCTAGTTGAAATTGCTGGATATTTGAAAAACAAAACCTATATACTTTTTATATGTTGCTTACTGATCTTTTAGGTGTATGTGTCGCTATAATGAGAAATAATAATTATTTCTTTATAACGGGTGGTTATAAAGATATTTTGATTGGATAGAAAAACTAAGCATGATTTTTGCTAACGATTTAATATATTTATTTTTATAAAAGTAGAATTAAAAATGCTACGCAGATTCATTTTTTACTGATATGGGAGGGTTCAATTTTTGAAATTTTTTAATTAACAAAAATTAAATTATTATTGCGTTCAACTATTTTTGCCAATAATGCGTAGTGTTTCTATAATTTTATCGGATCAATTTTCGTCGATTTCCCGCTCAGTTTTTCCATCCTACTGATACTTATATTTGTGCAAGGTAGATAATGTACTATATGCATTGTTCAAAATGTCATTGAACTGACGTAAGTATATCTATGTATGTATACCACAAAGTATACTCTCGTGTGAACTCGTGTATTGTAACCTCAAAAAACCGCAGCAGCCGCCTTTTTCCCAACTTTCGCGCGATAATTTATGCAACGTTCGATTGCTGGATAATCAATTTATTGCGAGAAAAATAAAGAGGACTATCGATAATGAATACCAGTGAGTCGTCTACGGAAAAAGACTTGAAAGCACCAGGGAATCTGGTGTCCGAACAGGAAAGTTCCCTCGCCCGGGAAGCGCAAAACGAGTATGTTAAAAATGATTTCGTGGCCTGCAGTTATCTACTGGAAAAACTAGAGGTGTTGAGGCCTCAAGATTTGAAAGTCACTCACAATAAGATCCTTACTGACTATTGCAAAAGCATAGAGACAACAAGGATCGAGGTGCTTAGGAAGAGTCTGAATGCCATCAGTGCACAAAATACAGGAGCTGCTAAAGCGACAGATGTCGAGGATGTTGATAGAAGTGTGCTTAAATACAATCAGGCAGTGATATTGTATCACATGGGGCAGTATCAGGCTGCACTGGAAATTGTAAATATTTTGTTTGCTATCATTGAACCTATGGGTAAGTTTCATTATTGCATACTTTTATTTAAAAGTTAAATTAGGTTTGCTTATGATTGTTACGGGTTTGATTACAGAGGAAAGTTTTGTACATAAAGTATGTCTTTTACTCATCGAGCTCCATTTGATCCTGGGAAGGCCAGATACTGCTCTTGCACTTGTTAATTATATAGAAAGTCAATTCACATCTACTGCTGATACCTCAAAGTCTGCATTAGGTGAACAAGGTCAGAATCAGAAAAATGATAATATAATTAAGTCAAATGCTAGATCTGCTAACTCATCTGTAGCTGATAAGGAACAAAAAAAAGACAGCATTGACATTGCTACTGATGCGTTTCGTATTAAGCTGCTCAAATATAAATTGAAAATTTATTTAAAGACACTACAGTTGAAACTTTGCAAAAAGGAGTGGAAAACCTTAGTGTCTTTAGGAATGCCTACAGTGGGTATAATTAGAAAATTGAAGTTTTTTATTAAAATGAATATAAAATATTAAAGCAAAAACTTAATTTTTCAGAATATCTCAACAATATTTTTGAAAGCTAACTTGGAATACCTGAGAAAAAATTTTAAAAAAGCTATGAAACTTTTAAACACTCTAAAACCTGAAGAATGTCCTGAATTTAGGTCAGTTTAAGTAAATTAATAAATATATATCTTGTCAATTTGTATAATTAAACTAATCATTCCTTTATATTTAGAACTTCTGGAGAATGCATTCCTGTTCTTTATTATAACAATGTAGCTAGTCTTCATTTTGCAATGGGAAAGCCAAATTTAGCCTGTTTCTATCTGAAAGCAGCTCTAGAAGAAAATAAGAAAGCTCTTGATAGTATAAAAGCAACGGAAAATTCAAATAATTCACAATTATCACCACTGCATACTCTTGGAAAAAACAAACATTATGAATTAATATATAGTTTAGGTGTGAGTTTTTTATACTCTGGTCAGCCAACAAAAGCATTTGATTGCTTTACTGAAGCAGCTCAGCAATTCCACAACTGTGCGAGTCTCTGGTTGAGAATGGCTGAATGTTGTATACTTTGTCATAAATCTGTGAGTAAATAATTGAATTGCAAGTAAAGTTAATATTTTTAGAAAGTTAATTTACAACTTTAATTCTTTTAGTCGAACAAAATTGATTTTGATCTTACAAATAGACGTAAAGATATAGTAGAAAATGTTGTTGGAGAAAATAACGGTATAAGTGTTAGTAGGAAATTCATTTTAGCTAGTTCATTATCAAAAAATTATAAATACAGCTCAGAAGGCTTGTCATATGCTATACCACAGCCCACATTAGAATATGCAATGCTGTGCCTTAAAAATGCTATTTTCCTACTACCAAAGACATCTTATGAAGATACCAATCTACCAATAGCTAACATATCTTTAGAAGATAGCACCAAGAAAACAATAATTGGACAACAACAATCAAGTTTTCTTGTTACACTTGCATCGTCAGCTAAATTAGGTAATATCTTTTGTTTTGAGAACTTATTGTACATTTTTGAATCCTAATGCTTAGTAAGTAGCTTTTTGATAAACAGATTTTTATAAATCATTATCATTATTAGCTAACAATACAAATTCAACAACTCCAATCAATCCATCTCATAGTTCTACCAAAGCAACTCCATCTCAATTTACTATAATTGAAAATTTGAACCTGAAAATTAGTATTTTAACTGCAAGTGCTTACACTGCACTGTGTCTGGGTGATTACAAATTAGCTTTGGAGCATGCTAAATCATTGCTTAGCATTAATAAACTACCTGGAGCACATTGGTTGCTTGGTAATTTGTATGCAGCAGAGAGTCTAATATTTTTGGACAGGATATCTGAAGCTATGGAGTACTTGAAGCCTGAGACATTAGAAGATCTCAACACTTATGTACCTATTGGAGAAGTTGTTGGAGATAAGGAGAAAATAATTGAAGAAGTAATAGAACAGAAATCAAGTAAAGGTAAATTACAAAAATATTTTCTGATTCAAAGTATATTTGTAATTAAATTATTTTACTTGCATGTTTAAAAAATGGAGGATACTAAACTTGAAATATTAAATTCTTTTACTTTACAGTTTCATGGTATCCACCAAACATAGCTACAGCTAAATCAATTTTTCGGTACAATTTAGCGGTTGCTTATGCTATTCGAGGAGAACTTGATAAATCAGGAGAAATATTGAAACAGGTACATTTTCAATAAATAAATATAATACATTTTCTTTCAAGAGTAAATTTATGAAAAAAAATTGTTTTTCATAGGTATGGACATCAAAAGGTCCAGATTGCGACGTTCCTATTCATGTTATCATGTTAGCTCTTTACATTGAATTACAATTAGGTAAGTAATTACAAGTAGTAAGTGTAATACAAAAATTGAATAGTAACGTTTAATGTTATGCTTTATTGTAGGTCATATTGAAATTGCACGATCTTTGATTAAGCAGAACTACTGTTCATCACATCAGCAATAATATGAAACGATTGATTCTTATTTTTTATTTCTTTTTTTGTAAAAATTATTTATATAATGTATCAAAATGTACATACTAGATATATTTGTTGAAAGAGTAAAACAATATTATGTGATACAGATTTGTAGATTTTAGATTTTTTTTATTAAATATACACTTGTATACAAATACATGGAACAAATGTAACAAGATTAACAACATGTACTTTTATATATCCCAATAAATGGAATGTCTTTATATTTTTAACCTTAATTTAGTACCGTTTCTTTGCGAATGATTTAAGTATATGAATTTGATCAAAACCAGTCATTTATCAGTCTATAACAAATATCAACTTAAGAAGCAAATTTGTAAGCAACTATCCCAGCAATAGCCACAATTGTACCACCAAGCAAACTCCATGTAAGCTTTCTAGGAAGTTTGCGATTATTACTTGAACTCTTGATGTCTTGTTTTTTATCTGTTGGAGCTCCTAACATCTTTCGATATAAGTTCTTCTCTTTACTTGCATCTTTTGCATTTTTTTTCTTGAGAATGGATAGCTCTTGTTGGATAGCTTTGTTGTCTGGTTCAATCTTCAAAGCTAGTGATAATACTGAACAAGCTTTTGCATGTTCTCCCTTGTAATGGAGGATTTTTCCTACAAAATAATTTTACAATATTTATTTCACCATCACAGTTATTCTTTTATCGTAAAAATTACCTTTTCTAAATAATGCTTTGACATTTTGTGGCTGACATCTTAGAACATTTTCTACACTCTTTAAAGCAGCATCGTAAGCTTCACATTTAAGTTGGGCTGCAGCTAAGTTATTGTGCACAATCAGTGAATCCTCAAGCAATACTTGCAAGTCTGCATCAGAGACAGATTCTGAATTACTAGATTTTCTATCATCCATCGTATCACTTTCTCCAGTTAAAGAAAGATATTCCAAGGCTTTTCTGTAGCACTGTATTGCCAATGTACATTCATTTCGAGAAAACCACCAGTTTCCCCTTTCTTTCTTCTGATTTCTAAAAAGTAATAGACAAAATTAATTAACATTTAAACATTCATTATTTGAATTTGTCTTTCATTATACCCTATTCTTCTTCTTTCTTCATATGGCAATTCATAAATGTCAGTTTCCATGTGTACACTTTTAAGTATAATATTGTACGTAATTTTTGCATCTGGTGGTATGGCTGGTAAATTTGTTTTGCCTGATATAGCACTTCTACCTAAGGAACCATAGGCAAATCGTGGGTGAACTATTAATTCAGCTTCCTCTCCAACATTCATTAGGGCCAAAGATAAATCTAGACCCTGAAATGAAAAATTCATTAAAATATCTAAAATGCATTATCTGAATGATATAATATTTCCCATATGTTACCTGTACAACTTCAACGTCTCCTAACTGAATGGTCAATTCCTCTTCATATTCAACAATAGTTCCATCGTCCAGTCTCCCAGTAAACGTAACAACACACATATCTGATCGATTGGGTCTACAATTATCTTGACCTGGCGTTAATACTTTCTTTCTCAACTGGTCATTGCCCAGAATATCCATCCACTCATTAACAGGATGATCGTTTAGACTAGCTTTGGTAAGTGGATCATTTGGATCAACATCAAAATTCATTTCGTTTTTTATAAAATCAGCCGATGATTGATTCTCATCAGGTACTGATATTCCGTTTTCCATCGGCATTATCGTTTTTAGATTATTACTTTTTTTATTCAGATAAATTTTTTTGTTTGCAATTTATTCTTAATGGTACTGAAAAAAACACGAGAAAAAAAACATACCAGTTCATCGGACTTATCAAACGATTTGTAACGAATTGGCAAACCATTCAGAATTCAGTAGATGGAATGAAACTGCAGAAAAAATTTTCGATTCTCACCTACAAGTACTGATATCACGAGCTCTAATTAAAAATGGATTGATAAAAATGTCACGTTTTCGTATCGTTTGCAATGAAAAACGTATGAACAGAATTTCACCGGTAAAAACCAATGAGATTTTAAAACACAGTGAAAGCACACTGTTCCGAATTTGTCTGTGACTAATGTGTGTGTCAGCTTAACCTTCACTGCCTCGTTGTCTCTTTCTTTCTCATTTCAGCTCTCCGTGAACACATGCGGTCTCACCAAACACTTATTTTTTTCTGGAATAACTTGCCGTCGTGCAAGCGCCTCTGTGTGTAGAGACCCTCTATCGCTCGTGCGCGTGAGCATTTTGATACACGATACTTATATCGAGTATTTATAGTATATGTATGTTTATATATACTATGTGTACATTATGCATACATATACACGCGAACGAAGATTCAAGGATTCAAATATCAATATATGCTATATGTTCTATATGTTACCTATGTACCTATGCATGTTTGTACATACATAAAGGCATTAAGTCATATAATGACATGTGACTGGCAATGAATGCCATTCATTAACACGACGTTAACTAGTACAGATTCACTTTGCTTCCCCTGACTGTATATCTTAAAGTTTCATACTAATTTAATAAAAAATACTTCATTAAAAAACATTTGTGAAGTTGAAACAATAATACTCAATCACTGAACTATGAATATCACGATTTCAAATTTGAATTTGATACAGATATATGTATGGTGAATATATAATGTCACAAAAAAATGACAACTAATAAATTCATTATGAATCGTTTGACAAACTGCTTTTTCTTCTTGTTCTAAATGCTACATTACGTAAGATATTATATATGCTTGGCATAAAAACTTTGGTAAGAGATAGTAGTCAATTTACGATATTCAATATGTATAAATATAGTTATGACATATTACATTGTATATATACATATAATGATAATGACAGATAATACACTTAACGTCACGTATTCATTAAACCTAAACGTTAATCTTTCTTAGCTGCTCCAAAATAACAGTTTTCAATTCAAAAAATATATCTCTAATTTTGTGCAATAGTTTTATCGTGAATTAGATAGCAATTATTTTAACAATGTTTTCATAAAAAAAAAACTATTTCCGTATAAAAATTTCACTTTGTTAACATGTACGTGTAACAATTAAGATCTAGATTTCACACAGTTATAAAACGAGCGAAAATTGACAACCGCCAAGAGAAAGTTGGCCACGACGTTAAAAATCTATCAACGAAAAAAAAAATTCTCTGCATACATACACCCACATGCTTTGAGCAACCGACCAATCGCGTGTTTCCAGCGTGCGTTTGCGTTTAAAAGACTATGCGCGTCGTATCATGTAATGTACTACATATACACGTCGCTCGGTAACGGAGGAGAGTGCAGAGACAATTCATTCGGCCACTACCAAGACTCGAGCAGGGTTTCGTGGGTTTTGTTTGTTAGGCTCTCTTTTATAAAGACTTCTTTTATTGAAAATATGAGGGGTTTAGGCCTCGTATTCCTTGGCCTAATTGTCGCCGTCTCTTGCTCAGGTTCGGAGGCCGATGATTCTGGCAAAAAGGGCCCAAAAGTTACGGATAAGGTAAGTGCTAACGGCTTTTCTTTTTTTCTGTCTTTGTTTGCATTGTTGAAGCAATTGTGACATCCTTCTTAAGAATAATTAACAACAAATGACACAGTTTTGGATTTTACTCCACTCGTTGAGCTCTTCACATTATTCGACATATAAGCAGATTGAATAGTTGATAACAAGTTGTTTCCATATCGTGTATTCCTTGTAGCTGTACCGGTTCAACACTCCTGATAACCTTGACTCAAAACTTATTCGTTTTAGGTATGGTTTGAACTCGAAATTGGTGGTGAGAAAGCCGGTATAGTCGAGATCGGTCTTTTTGGAAAAACCGTGCCCAAAACTGTTAAAAACTTCGTCGAGCTCGCCAAGAAGCCTGAAGGTGAAGGCTATAAAGGTAGCAAATTCCACAGAGTCATCAAGGACTTTATGATCCAGGGTGGTGACTTTACCAAAGGAGATGGAACTGGAGGTTTGTTTATCTTCTTAAACTATGATATTTTTTAGTTAATTTAAATTTATTGTTATTTTTATTCACGCGTTTGCAGGTAGGAGTATCTATGGTGATCGTTTCGAAGATGAAAATTTCAAGTTGAAGCATTATGGTGCTGGTTGGTTGTCCATGGCTAACGCTGGAAAAGATACTAATGGATCTCAATTTTTTATCACTGTTAAGCAGACTCCATGGCTTGATGGTAGACATGTTGTTTTTGGAAAAATCATCAAGGGAATGGTAAGGATGCATAATCTTTTGTTATTTAGTTCAATGTTACGATCCCCAGCTTTAAATTGATTCAATAACATCTTTTGTTCTTTAAACAGGATATAGTTAGGAAAGTTGAAAACTCAAAGACAGATGGAAGAGACAAGCCAGTGAAAGATGTTGTTATTGTAGACTGTGGTGCAGAGACTGTTGCTGAGCCATTCAGCGTTTCTAAAGATGATGCCAGTGAATAAACATGCCAATTACCTCTTATAGTTAATTTTTTACATGTGCTCGAAAAGCAATTCATTTTTTTAACAATTTTAATAAAAAGTTTTATTTACTAAAAAGTCTGTTATTCCTATCAACAATTGCCTTAGATTAATAATGACTAATATTTGTTTAATAATGATGATGTTTGACAATATAAAAATGACATGTTATATTTTTTAATAGCATTCGAACTAAATTATATTTTGATGATAAATGTTCATTAAATCCTAAAGATTCAAATAATATAATTTTACTTCATGTTTATTTAATTTTCAATAACAAGGTACTCAAGACATTCGTTCTAGAAAATGCAATTTTACGTAATTCTTATCTCGTTATCTTATCGACAATTTTTGACTAACTTACCTCGCGATACTTATTTGTATTAATTCCTCATACCCTGTATCTATTTTACCGGTGATTATTGTCATTCGTCCGCCCATCACTGGTGTGTGCAATGCGTCACCACGAATACAAGATATATATAGTTAATATAGTTAGCTTAACCTTGAAACCAGAAACTTTTTGGCAAAAGGATCTGATCAATGAGCCAGAGTATGACGAATCTATTTATTTAAATTTTATTATTTAATATCGAAATGTGAAGCGTAGGATCTTCCTTTAAACTAACGTCTGCGTTGTTATAATTGCAATAATGCTGCTGACAATCAGAACACCTGTTGTGTACGGGCTACTTTTATCAATATCGTTAATAATATTTTTGTTATACATTGTCGGAGCAGCACATTATCTTACGGATCACGATGAGAATACATGTGATATGACATATATGTTTGAATATCCTCAATATGTGGTGAGTCTTGTTGGCTATGAGATTCTGCAATATGTAGTTTATGATTTCTAATAATATCACTTAAAATTTATTCATAAATATTTAACTCATGCACTAATAAAATGTTTGTAGAGGATAGGATTGAGTAGCAATGATGATGATATACCTCAAGATTATTTATACCCAAGATTTGGATTGTATGCTTATGGAGAAGGATTTGTCACTGAACGACTCAGAAAGATGCATTTTTCTGGTATTCCAGTGTTGTTTATCCCTGGAAATGCTGGATCCCATGAACAAGGTTTGTTACATTACAAGATTTTAGATAATAAACATTTTCTTTCTAAATATAATACTACTTTGCAGTTCGATCACTTGCCTCGATTAGTTTAAGAAAGAGTTTGAAAAGTCGTACTATGTTTCATTTTGATTACTTTACAATATCTTTTGGCAAAGATTACTCGGCTTTGTATGGAGGTGTATTAAAGGAAGAGACTGATTATGTTGCCAAATGTTTACAACGAATCTTTTCTTTGTATCAAGGGAAGGTTAAAAATATTGTATTGATTGGTCATTCAATGGTAAGTATAAACAAATTTATTTGTTCTAGTATTTGAATGAATTATACATTAAAAGTAAATTAATTTATAAAAATTTTCAGGGTGGATTAATAGCTAAAGGAGCTCTGTTGATGACACCTGAAATCAACAGCAACATAGCTAGCATTTTAATTACTTTAGCAACACCACACAAACCTTCTATTTACCCAGACCGAACATTTTTAAATTACTACCACAAATTGGCATTATCTAATGAGTATTTAAAAAATAATGGTACCACTGTGATTTCAATTGGTGGAGGTTCAAGAGATATAATGGTTCCATCGTCTCAATCTATTGATGAACATGCTGACTTAAATGTCCTTGCAACAAATATTCCTGGTGTATGGAGATCAACTGACCATTTGTGTATTTTGTGGTGTAAACAATTAATTATAAAAATTATACGATCACTATTTGATTGTGTGGATATTACTCAAAGACCACCAGGCATCTTCAATAGCCATGAGCACAGAATGAAAGCTTTCAATTGGCATTTAGTTCAAGTAAATCTATTCATTAAAATTATAATAAAATTTATACATTTGATATTAAAAAGCTTCGTTTTTATTTACAGAGATACAGTAAAGAAAAGCATTTATCACGCGTTTCTTATTCGGAAAAATATGATTTTCCCAGGGAAAAAAGCGAATGGATTGAATATTTAAGGAGACAATACAGTTGGAGTAGTAAAAATTATACTCGAAATAATCCGAAAAAACCTGTTACAGTATACCTCATGGTCAGAGTTCAAGAATATATTGACACTCTTACTGTTGATGCCATACACTTAAAAAATCGAGATTGGATTTTTGCTTGTATGGCCTCTGAAATTCGTGGACAGTCTAGAGTTTGGTAAAGTAGTATTGCATAATTAAAATATTTGTAGATTGCGTCATATATATTATCAAAATGGAGAGTTTTTTTATTGTTGATGAGCAGATATATTTTAGTTCAACAGGCTGGAATATGTCTAATCGTACAAGAATAGTGCCAGGCTTAATGAGAAAACCTTGGAAATACTCGATAGATTTGGATTTGAGTGAGATTCGTAATTTGAAGGTATCTCACATAGTCATAAGAATTCCTGCCGAAACAATGAATCGTTTCAAAGATAATGACGACGATGATGATGAGGATGAAGATGAGGAGGACGATGACGATCAAATCATTCATATAGACGCACACGCGCGTGCAGAAAGATACAAACGATTTACGAACATGAAGCCTTGGACGTCCGAAAGAGGCTATCTTCGTTATCATGTTGCTTTAGAGAGTATTACGGACGTCGTATCAGTGGAATTAAAAAGTTCGAACTGCGTCGGAGACAGCCGTAACCATTTTTCCATGGTTGAATTGTTAGAACCATGGGTTCCTGGATCGGGTCAAGTTCATTTTTTTGCCGAAAAGTATGTAATTTTTAATTTCAAATCATAAGCGTTAATCGATAAACTTATTTTATGATATTAATTTTCAGCGAAACAATTTCAAAATCACTCAAACTGCAAACTGTACATTCTCAACGACTGCGCATGATGAAATCTCAGAGTGCCGAATTGAGATTAACTTTAGACCCTGCTTGTACATATAGTATTAACGTGAAAAGAGGTGACTTTATTGAAAGAATGGCTTGTTTAGTAAGAGATCGATGGAGCTCGATTTATCCAATTACCGTCGGTTTATTGTTATTGAGTATTGGTCAAAGAATTGAAGCTCAAGAAGAGGATAGAACAAGCACTACTGCCATAGTTATTATAACTGGTATTCTCTGCGTGAGTTTGAATTTAGTCATTGAATGCTGTGTTGGAGTAGCTATCCTACATTTTATGGCCATTGGAATTTGTTGTAGTGTTGTATTTTTTGGATCAGTGGCTCACAATATTGCTGTCAGGTATTAACCTTTAAACGTCGTTTTTTGAACTACCCATTGAAGTATTTGAAGAAATGTTAATGCTTCATATTCTGCTTTTAGATTTTTGGCTAGAGCAGTTACTTTTTCAACCACTTGGTCAGACTGGGTACTGGGTGGTTTAGTCAATCAGTTGCCAATTGTAGCTGCTGGATTTTTATTATCAATGATACCAGCCACCTGTGGAGCCTTAGCAACATTGCTATCTGTTTTTATACACTTTTTAAGACTGACCAGTATGTACGAAGATTATTTAGAAGAGTTATTGTTAGCTTCAATGAGGCACTTTAATTTATTAAGAAGGAAAGATCGAGGCAGCGATGATAGCGAGTCGATAAGGGCAAATATATTGAATCAAATTTTATTGTTTTTATTCTCATGTTTTGTTGCTATACCTGCAATACCTACAGCATTAGTATGGGCTAAAAATTTCAGGTGAGAAAAGAAACCTTTTTTTACAATCAAGGCTATTGTAAAAGTTAATTTGATATCATTTTCTAGTTACAATACGAGATTAATGACAGAAGATCAAGTATTTTTGTACAGTTGGATTGTTCTAGTCGGTTGTGGAACGTCTGGCCTGGTGAAGATTCCAGCCAAGCCTTCTAATTCTTATAGAACTAAATTATTAGCAACATTACTTCGTTGTTTAGGTTGGATTGCTCTTGCAACTGCAAACGGGGCTCATTATTATTGGTGTTTCCCGCCGAGTCTTGCTGTTGTAGTAGTATTAATTGCTATAAATGCTCATCATTCATAAAGTTTCTTTTAGATTTTTCAGACGAGTGTACAGTGTTATTTTTAAAAAATTATCATTTTTAAAGTATTTGTGATTAGTGATATGTAGAAAAAAAATTGTATTCATTTATTTTAGTGAATATAGCAATGGTAAGAATCGTTACTTTTAGAAAATTTATGATGTGATTGTTAGAAATTTTTCATAACAAGTCCATTTTTATTGCATCATTAGAAAAAAAACCATTATAAAACTATCAATTTACGTAATGATTATTGTAATTGTCAGTGTGTATACGACACGATAACATGAAATTATTTTATAATTATATACTTTTATGCATAAATAAAAATAAACTTAATCTTATAATACATAATTTCGCGCATTTTATTGACTATCTCCAAGTAAAACATTCGATTGAATGAACTATTCTATAATTCATTCAATCCTAAGTAAAGTAAGTAAATGTAACAAAACAAAATTGAAAAGTAGATATCACTATAAAAAAAGGTGTTGTGCGAAAATTTCTTTTATCTTTCTCGACTGCTCAATTTTCTATAAATATCGTTTTTTACTTCTCTAATATAAACAAAAATAGATTATTTGAAAAATTATCCGTTTCTTTTCCTTATGTCTAAGCGTACTATACATACATATTTTGAGACTAAATAAAAATAAACCTAGATTGACCATGTCAAACATATAGTAATTGTTTAGTCTTTTTGTCGCCTGCATGGTTTAGTAATCAAGAGCCCATTCGTTCTCTTGTAAGAATACATCGACAACCTCTTTCATCGCAAGGTTTGGTATCAGTTGATCTTGCGTTAATCTAACACGAGTTACTGGATCAAAGTGACCTACTCGTTGAAGATGCTCTTCAATATCTTTCCTTTCATAAGTTATACCACTTGGAGTAATAACTGGTTCTTGGAGTATTTCAAAACTAATTTTACCGCATAGGTAGTCTGGCACTTCTCTTTTCTGCAATTGATAAAAAATGTCATGAACGTGAAAAAATTAAGTAGAACTAGATTCAACCAATTAAAACTTACTCTTCTATTATCATCAACCTTGGCAAACATATCATTCAATTGTGCAAGAGATGTATCTTTTTTCTCTTCAATTTCTTGTCTGAGTAAAGTAATTTTGGAATCTGTTATGCACTCTCCATCTCCATCTTTCTTATTATTATCACTAGAACATTCACGTTCTTTAAGCTCTGCTAAACTTTTTTCTGCATCCTGAACAATCAATCGATTCAAGTAACTTTGTAGTTCAATCTCTTGACTTATACGCTGTTCTTCTTTAATCTGGAAACGCTTTTTTCTAGCCTGTCTTAAGACACTTGTCATGTCATCTCCATAATTTAATTTTTGTTCCTTGGCTAAATCCACAGCTAAAAATGAAACATTATTTTGGTACTTACATATATATATACACACACATACACACACATGCACACATATATATAATAGTATATTAAAAATAACTGAAATACTGCTTATTTATCAATTTGAAATAATTTGACAGAACTTCAATAATACTATTATAGACATTGGATTCCTAGTTTACACATCAAATACTCTAAAAGCTATCTTCTCTATTATATAAAAGTATACAATACCTCTCTGAAGATGTTTGATGGCTTCATCATGCAACTCCATTCCCAGGAGAGCTAAACCAAGGAAAAAATGACCTTTCACAAGACATGGATCAAGATCCAAGGCACGCCGACAGTCTTGACATGATGATTCCCATCGTTTGAGTTTTAAATATGATAAAGCTCGATTAGTGAAGTACAGGGCCTGACTTGGATTCTTGATCTATAGAAATATATTCATTAGCTATAGTAAATAGAACAAACAAATGCTATGTAGAAAAATATAAAAGAGAATCATTACAATGGCTTTTGTGTAGCAATTAGCAGCATCCTCATATTTGTGAAGGTTGAACAAATGGTTTCCTTGCTCCTTTAGCTCTTTATCCGTGAGGTTAGCAGTCGAGTACATTTTACTCATCTTCAAGGATGTAATTACACGTTAAAAATTGTTTAATTTCGGAAAAATTGATGTTAGTACGTATTTCTCACTAACTTCTCTAATTAATCACGCTATGTTTATTCATTAAACATATTGATTTCAGCTGTACTTTTTTCTAATCTTTTTACGAGAACACAAATCAAAGTACCGTGATATCACCAATGACTGACCATTTGACTGGTGACATTTCTACAACTCGTAATACTTGCTTCAATATTGAATTTTCGAGCAATTTTGTGCACCTTTGTCTGCTTCTTTCTTTGTAACTTTTTACTGTTCAGTGCGTAAGACGAATGTATGAATGAGAAGGAATACTATCGTATAACACACACAGACGCATGCACATAACATCAGATTGGTTGGAAATGGAACTTGAGAATGGAGATTCACACAGTAGGTAATCGGTAATGCCAATCTCACAACTTAGGTTAACAACGCTGAATGAATAATCTAAAAGCAGGAAATACGAATCTGAATTTTGTTTCCAGCATTCAGTGCATGGAGACTATATATAGTCTCTCTGATTCAGTGTTATATCTAGGAACCGTAAATTATTTCTGGAGCATATAAAAGGTGTTCAGGAGAGAAACATGCACGTAACCTAGTAAAATGGGGGAATTTAGAAATTTAAATGACTCGCATGACGTGACTTTATGAAATATTTTATTTATTTAATTTTATAAAGGCATTATCGGTAAAAGATAGGTTCACCTTAGTGTTTTGTTCGTGTTTCAATTTGTAAAAAGGCAGCGGTGGTCCATTAAAATTATAAAACACTTAAAGCCAAATAAATATAGCTACAAAGTTCAGACTGAACTTGATTCTTTTATATAGTTTTTCATTATACAATTACGTTTTCGCATCTACATTTGTACTACAATTAACGATAGTCTATATAAATATACATACAAAGATTTTAAGAATAGATTATCAAAAATGTAAATTGTACAATGAAAAGTGAATCTTCAATCTTTGATATACTTTGATAACAATAAAGTAATTAACAGTTTATACCTATGACTTTGAACACTGAAATACATCACAGTTGACAATTTACCTAAAATCATTAAAGCTAGAGTTCAAATTAATTGTTGTCACTCGTATTTGCGATACCATAAACACACAATGGCTTTTTGTTGATAGGATGGATGGCTCGAGTCACCGCTAAACCCATATGATGTTTAAGGTACTCCTTGATCTTACTGGCCAGTAAACGATTATTATCGTGCACATGTGGGTGTGACAAAAACTCATCCAACTGCAAGCACAATTAAGAAATCAGTCCGAGACTTTTTGCACCAACCACTGTATAAGCAGATATCGAAAGTTTACCTTCATCCATTGACAATCGCCGATTTCTCTACTGCATTTAACAATATCGAAGGTACTGGGTGTAAGGCAGGAGATAAAGTATATGTCGGAGCACCCGAAGGCATACTGATGTACGTGTCTAAATGCAATCATGCACTTGAACTTGGCTGTGATTCCGGTCTCCTCGAGAACCTCTCTCTCGACAGCGGTGGTGATATCCTCGCCTGGCTCGACGTATCCGCCAGGCAGTTTCCAGTGTGCACTGGCACCCCCGTGCTTCTCCTTGATCACCAGTATCTCCTCCGTCTCCTCGTTCAAGACCACCGCGCCGGCGCCCAGAACGGTGTGCGCGTACGGCGGTATGTTGTTAGTCTCGCGAGTGGGCAGCCACCTGTAAAGCGTGGCCAGCTCCTCCTTGGCGTGGTGGAACCTGAAGCCGCGCCTGGTCAGCTCCGGAATCCAGTGCGCCTGCGACAAGTCGACGCGGAACCATATTGCGCGTCGCTCGCTCCTCGTCCACTCGTCGATCGAGGCTGCAACAGACAGTGTCGCGCGTTACAAGCAGCTCGTCGGGGCGTAGCGCACGGGACGCCAACCTTGGAGGCGCTCGGCGAAGGCGTCGGCGTCGCAGGGCTCGGCGGCGCTGTCGACGGTCACGCCGTTGTAGCGATCGAGCTTGCCCTGAAAGCCAGCCATCGTGGAGACGAACAGCAGCTCGGCTCGCTTCCTCAGCCGCGCGACTGTCAGCGTAAGCATCCCCACTGCACAGCTGACGCGCGACAACTATCCCACGCGCGCGCAGCCGTGTGTGCGTGCGTACGCGCAAGCTCGCAAGCGCGAGGCGCATGCGTCAGGGGCCAGCGGGAGGGGGGGCGGGGCTCAGTGTCGGCAGTGCGCGCGGGTGCTCCAGAAATCGGCGAGCCTCCGGTAGACCTTGCGGGCGCGGGGCCGCTCGGCGTAGTTGAGCGCCTCGCAGACGCGGCAGTAGTGGCGCGAGGCGCTGCCGAAGTAGCCGTGCTCGTCGAGCACCCGGTACCTGGCGCGCCAGGCGTGCAGCCGCGCGTACTCGGCGGCGGCGCCGCCGCCGCCCAGGTAGCGTAGGCGCGAGGCCAGCGAGGCCGCGTCCGCGAAGTCGTCCACGTGCAGGTAGGAGCGCGGCGGCAGCAGCAGTTCGCAGTCGGACCTGCGCGCGCCCATGATCACCGGCACCGCGCGCTTGCCGTAGGCGTTCCAGAACACCTTCTCCGTCAGGTACTCGCGGCAGTTGGAGTTCTCGAACGCCAGGTAGAACTTGAACCTCGACAGGGCCGCGCAGTCCGCCTCGAAGTGGCCCGGACACGCGCTGCTGTCGCCGTTCTGGCAGTGCCCCAGAATCGCCAAGTCCTCGCCTGAAAATCGCCCGAGGCGTTTTTTAAGGCGTTATACGAGCGCCGTTGCCACTGCGTGGCGTCGATCTGTCGGCGCTCCGAGTCGGCAGGCGCGCGCCATCGATTTCCTTCGCGCTCGTCTTTTCGCTGGCCTAGTTTTTAGTTGCTGCCACGTTTGCGCGCGACGCGGACGTTTTTCGCGAGGAACGTTATCGGCGCCACCGAGTGGATATATTCCATGACGTCTTCGCTAAGCCAACTTTGATGCCGATGATTATCATGCATAGTAACGCAACGATAGGAGTTACGCGATGCCCGTCACGCGTCCCTTCGAGTATCCGAGCTTGCAGAGCTTTTACAGCGTCATTCGAGAAGATTGCGTAAGTCGGACCGTTGGGAAGATTCGAAGGCTGGAGGTGGATCCGCGACGCGAGCTCTGGGCGAACGACGTTTACGCTGGAATAATCCAAGCAAAGGAGCAACGTCGCGAGGCGACGCGTCCTACCGAGTATGCTCTTCAGCTTGGCGACGTACTCCCAGCGTCCGTTCTGGCCCGCGCAGTTGCTCCCGAGCACAGCGACCAGTCTCGTCTTCTCGGCGACGATGTCCCGAGCGTTAAATTTGTCGTCGACCTTGTCTCGCAGCACCGTCCTGCCGTACGGCACGGGGACGTCGCTGTCGATGCGATAGGTCATGGACCAGTTGAACAGCCCGTCGTAATCCTCGAGGCTCTGGTTGCGCAGCAGAAACGTGTTGGGAGGAGACTCGTCGCTGAGGAATATCCAGCGCTGATCCGGATTCTCGCGCCGAGGCAGCGAGCGCGCGTTGGCCGTTCGGTGCAGGTGGAAGATGACCGCGTCGGCGCTGTGCAGCCGCGAAGCAGCGTAGGTCAGCCGGCAGTTCTGGACCGAGCAGCCTTCCCACGGCGAGAACCTGGCGACGTTAAAGTTAGCTCTGCTCGTTGCGTCGAGCGTTTATTTTATCGTGGACGATTTCTCCCGTTTCGAGCGCATACCCTTGTCGAGTTCTTCGCTCTACGCGTGTTCCGCGAGAGCTGTTTTATGATAATTATCTGTCGCACTGATGAATTTCTCAAGAGCACTGTCTTTCAACTGACTTTTAGCCTCTCGTATTTTTTTTTATTATTTACATTATACTTCGTTACATCAAATACTATATACTTCGTCATTATATAAAATACACGTGTGCAATATCAGTTAGATCCATTGCCACGACACGTTATATAAAATTATGATTTCGCAGCAGCTATTTCAATTTTTTGCGCGATACTCATACGTATGAAATTACTCGACGAGCGCTGTTGTCGTTGCTATTATTACTTCAAGAACTACGCAGCTCAAGTGCATTTGAACAATGACATAAGAAGAATTAACCGATAAACGTATTTTATATCGTTGCGAGAAATTCGACGAGTTTGCGTTACGCATAGACTGCTTATATTTTGAAAAAATATTACGCGAGTAATTTTTTTGCATTGCAACGGCTCACCATATTATTTCCATGCGTTTTATTTTCTTTTTTTTTTGAAAGTTACCACTCCAAAGACATATTGCCCAAACAATATATCACCTCGTATAAGAGTCGTCTTACCTGCTGTATTGAGAAATTAGCTGCGCAATAAATGCTAAATTGAAACTCGCAGTTTGGCGCAAATGGATGCAGGTTACGAGTGTAGATATAAGATAAAACAAAAACGACGAAGAGACATGCTGTTGGGCACGCAAAGAATGAAACCGCTGTAAGGATACGAGTATAAGAGTTGGAAGTGGATATAGCGGCCAGATATCGCGGTGAAATCGCAATCGGCTGTAATTATCCGCGACGGATAGCGCGGAACGATTCAGAGCGGACAGCATTTTTACCGTCCGATCGGCAGAGGCGAACAGGGCCCGCGCTGCGTCTTGATCCACTTGCGAGCGCGGCTGCGAACAAAGTGCTGTTCTCGCTCGTCTTCTCGATGAAACTCGCGGTAGTCCGAATGCGATTGCGTTGCGCATTGCCACGGGTTACGTTTCCCCGAGCGGCAGCAACGCTCTCGTACGTCGCGAGACGAATGCCGTTTCCGATCGACGCATCGTCGGCCCGATTTGCGACTGAATTGCGAGCCACGCGGAGTTCGCCTCCCTCCAAATTGACGCGCAACTACAATGCTTATTCAGTGTCGTCTCTTGGTGTCGCTGCCCCGAGCACTACCCGTCGCGAATATCTATAGCCAGTGACTGATGTTACGATAAGCAAAGCGCGATCTCTCTCGCCATTTTACGAGCAGCGGTAAATCTACTTTCATCCGATGTTCGATTAGTTTATCTTATTCCCGTTTTCACGAGTATCTACGTCGCGGAGCAAATTTGGTATCGAGGACTCTCGATTCACAACAGTCTTAACTATACGATTACCAACGACTAGCATTACCAGGTGACACTTCAATAGATTCTTTCTAAATTAAAAGCGTAATTTTATGTCCGCCTTGGCAGCAGAGTTCCGTGATATTCTTTTGATGAGCGCGGAAACTCGAGTGTGTCGGCGTGCTCGAAGATTTCACACAACTTCCTTGCGTGCGAAGCCATCTCGCGATGCTCGGAAGTGAGAGTCGGAGCCGCGTCAAAGTACTCGCGTCACGTAAAAAAGGTCCGCTCGCGTGGGCTCCTGACTGGCAGACTCGTTATCTAAAAGCTTGACACCCTGACCGAATTCTCTGTCTCGTGTCGGGGTGCGTCGAAATGGCCGAACGTCTCCGCGGAGGAAGGGAATGAAATGTTTCGACCCATCGGGACGGCAGGTATAATTTCGTCAATTTTTCGCGTATCGGCAGTCATACATGCCAGTCATCAAGACCCGCTGCTATTTTCACGCGCAGCCTCCGATGGTGCGCGCGCTGTGTCGCTCGATCTCGACGCCGCGAAAAATCGCACCTCGCTATTTACGATCGCGAGAGAGCCAACCACAGCGAGGCTGGGGAGGCGACGTAAGGACAGATACACATATATACGTACGTGTTGTCTCGAGAGAATCGCCTCAAGTGCCGTCGCTCGAGGAACGGTCCGTGCTGCCAGACGAGGATGACGAAGGGCTCGGAGCGATTGGTCGTCTTCGCCGGGGGCGCGCTACCCTCGCGGGACAGCAGCCAATTGGCGAGCGGACTGATCGACTTGGCCAGCGTGGCGCGCCGCCTAGACCACTCCGCGTCCTCCGCGCTCGGCTCGAGGTCCCCGCCGACGCGCTGCAATGATTTCAAGCGCGGAGAGCTCGCGACGATCAGTTGTCGTCCGCTCGCATGGCTCATCCGTGAGTCAATCCGGTTCGCCCGGCGAGCCAGACGTCGTCGGTTCGGAGAACGCGCGCACGCGCTCGCGCCGATAATTTGCCCGCTACCCGGGCTTCGTTCTCGTCAATTTCGCGATCCGAGCGAAAGCCCGCGATGTCCGTACCGACGGTCCACGCCGCGAGCATAAATCAACATTCCTAATTGCCATAACAAACTTTTATGATTGAGCGTGTACGAGGATAGTCGTAAAATTACGTGACGGGTAGAAAGAAAACAAAAAAAATTGAGAATTCGAGCTGTAATTAGAAAGCGATCGTAAAACTGTACGACGAGGCGTAATTGGGCAGGCAAATTGAAAACGATGAAAAAAAGAATGTCCGTTGCACGAGAATAGCGGACGGGCACATATTACGCGAATAATTGTTTCCGGCGAGAATGAAGCGAAGGTTGCCGTCGCGAGTAACAGTAACGAGCCTCGAGAGCAGCGGCAACGACTTAAAGAAAATGAACCAACCTGCCTGACGAGCGCCAAGGCCCGCGTCCGATCGTCAACGGTGGCGATAACGTAGAGCAGCCAGACGACGCAGCCGAGGAACAGGAGCACCAGCCAGGCTGCTCGCCTCATACCGTCCGAGCAGGATCTGTGGAGAGTCCGGCGGCCGCGGCGCCAAGCAGCGCTCCGCTCCCGATCCTCTTGACTGGCCATGCGCGAGACTGCATTTTCGACCGCGAACCGACGACCACGACTAACGCGGAGCGTACGATGACGCGCGTGTGACGCGTATCGCCGTGGAAACTCCCCCCGATTCGCCGCGCGCTTGCGCCCAATTCCAGCGCGGCCGCGTCAAGCCCGAGAGCTCCCCGTCAAAGCCGGAATCATTGCGGCTCCTTTGCGCCCCGCTTACTCGTACGCGCGAAACGACCCCCCCCCCCCCCCTCCGCGCCCTTTCCGCGGCACGACGTTCCCGCTGTTTCTGCGGCCGCAAGGCGGAAAATTGGCTGGCTCGCGACTTTAACGTCGATTGCACGTCATTGGAATCGCCCTTGTCAATTTACAAGTGATTCGCGCGACGTTGACAACGAGCTAATTACCTGGCTCTTTTTTCCAGCTGAAATAAAGTTTTACAAGTGAAAGCTTCGCGCGACGCTTTCTGATTTTATATCATTTAAGGGTTGACTGAATTCAATCCCATGAAAGCTCATGCCGGTACAACTTTTATCGAATGCCACAACGAAATAACATCAAGATTTAGAAAACTCGTTGTTATTTCACTGTAAACGTATGATTCGACCTTAAAGAATAAAAGGAATCAAGTCATTTTCTTTAGCGTTTGTTTCCAGTTTAACAGTTAGCGTCACAGATTGATAACTAATGGTTGGAGAAATTATTTCATGTACACTATTAATTTTATATTATCGTAAATGATAAGAAACAACGAACAACCGCAAGACTTTTAAAAGTATTCAATTTACTCTTTGTTGCAAACCATATAACGTTGTTCTAACAGTACAAACTCCTGTCGCAAATAAAAAGTGAAATTCAAACCAGTCCTGATTCAAAATTACCAGCGTTGCCGCTCGAAAAATTTTTCTCAGGGTCCCTAGAAATTATTGCATTATGTTAAATGGGTAACTTGTAGGGAACCTGAAAAAAAAATTTTCCAGCGGCAACGCTGCAGGCGGGTAAATTTCAGCGTTGCCGCTGGAAAATTTTTTTTCAGGTTCCCTAGAAATTAATCCATTAATCATAATGCAATAATTTCTAGGGAGCCTGAGAAAAAATTTTTGAGTGGCAACGCTGCCCGCCAGTGTCGTTAATAAAGTTGGCAGCAATGCCCGCGTTCAGCACGGTCACGCATTTACGCAGGCGCAATCATCCGGCCCGGCAGCTGCGCAGTTTACATATAACCGTTTGCCGCATTATCACATGGCTGTTGAAAAATGTTGAATCGCCGCAGTGTAACAAGTAGCATAATTGTTAACACTTCTGCCACATTTGTATAACAAGAAATTAACCGTAACGTTATTGCACGCGGCTTTTTTTACTGCTGCGTTTTTTACATTACAAATGACAATGAACGTGCACGGAGTTTGTTTGTAATTTTTTCACCTTGGAACGATAACAAATAATTCACGTAACGATGGACGACCAAACCGAATGGATACTCGAGCGCATCGGTCCCATCAAACAAGAAGTGGCGATGAACAAAAGCTACGTAAGTGTATTGCCGTCATTTTCTTTTTTATTTTGTCATCATTCTCTCTTTTTTTTTATATTCGTCTTGTCGCTTTCTTAATTTTTCATAGAATTGCGGAGATGCGTAGGTGAGTGGTAGTTCAAACAAAGAGCAAGTTGTGACAAGTTATAGTACCCTTATACATTTTTTATTTATTGTTTCGTCTATACTTTAACTTTGTTGAATATAGTATAATTTTTACAAACTCAAATGTTAGAATTATTATTCTAGGAATTTATGCAGCTTTTCACGTAATATGACTTCTCTGTTTATGATTATATGTATGATAAGAATACGGAATAAGAAAACAACATTCGAGAAAAAAAAATGTACTTGAAAATTCGTTTTAGTTCTTGTATATATTAATACGTACGATATGTACGCTTAATAAAATATATTTTGCGAATTTTTGATAGGACATATCTAAATTTAGCATTTAGCTATGTCTGTAAACATCGCTAATTATTTAAATTTCTTATATATGTATCTCTGTATAAAATAAATTTATACTATACCTTCCATCGCATGTCTACGAAAAAAATGTAAGCAATTGACATTTAATACCGAAAGTATATTACTTATTTCATTATTCTCATAAAATACCGTCGTTGCAATTATTGATGAATTACAATTGATTGAAAGAAACGATTAATAAAGTATTGCCAATTTTTGATTAACATAAATTTTCAGGCAACATCTTTTCAAAATATTAACCTTTATTAAAAATCTAAAAATTTGCACCAACAATTCAAAGGCATCAATGAAATTTTGTGATATACATACTTCATTTTGTGGTTATGAATTTCTCTTGGAAAGTTTAATTTTTGCAGTTTTTTTGGTTTTTTTTTGTAACTGATTTCTGAATTCTTACAAAATTATTTAGAATTTGTCCAAAACTAGTTTCTTTATTTAATAATAGTTTTATAATATAGATATGTAAAATTTTACATATGCAAAATAAAAAATTACTGGAATCACATAACAACAAAGACAGTTGATCGTTCTAACAATTCTAACATTCATTCAATATGCTCAAAATAAATATGAGCAGTATTTTCAAGCTATTACAAATTAATTTATGTATCTAAATATTGTCTTATCTTCCAGCTAACTTGTGGCAGAATGAAAGACCAAGACATTGTATGTCTGAGTTTATTGGTATCTAGAGAGCACTGTGAATTTGCACAACTACAAGATGGTTTATCTGTAATAGATTTTGGGGTAAATAAGAAAGTGATATTTTCAATTAAAATGATAATCATATCAATTATCATGCTTGATTAATTTAATAAACTTTAATTTCAGAGTTCCAATGGAGTTTTTGTAAATGGGCAACAAATACGAGCTAGACAGAGACACATGTTGGAAGAAAATGACTATGTAGGCATTGGGTGCTGTAATATTGAAGATTTAGACAAATCCATGTTTGTTTACCAAGTAAAGAAAAAGGTAAGGAAATAGTCAATTAATACTTGATTTTAAATATATATGTATACTGGAGATGCATTCTTTTGATAACATTTTCTTAGAAAATACCAAATGATAGATTGAATCGTAAGCAACAATCCAAGACTCGTCAAGGACCCATTCCTGTGCCTGCTAAGATACAAAAATTACCAATTAAAGAAGATGATGATGATAATGATATAGAAATAATTGAGCATATGAGTAGTGATTCAGCTGTTATACAGAGTAAAAAAATCAATCCTTTAGAAAAACTGAATGCCAAAGAATTTCGAAAAATTGCACATCCAATTAAGCAAATTAATGATAATGTTCATTTGAAACCAGTAGTTAGCGAGTGTTCTAGTACTTCAAATATTGACAATGAAACAGGCAATTTATCTAAAAATTGTCCTAAAATAACCGAAAAGGATAATTCATCTAAAATAATTAAAAGTAATAATTACAAAAATAGTGTATCGGCTAAAGTGCTTGACATTATAGAAATAGATATTAATGATGAGCCAGTCCCAATAAACATAAAAATTGAGCCAATGCAATTAGATGAAGTTGGTACCAGTAGTATAAATACAGCAAGTCAAGAAGTTGGTACTAATAGTATAAGTGTAGGAACAAAGCAAGTAGTACAGAATGCTCAGGTTGACAATTGTTCACCATTTGTTGATGACAATGCTGGTATTGATACAGCCAATTTGAACAACATAAAATCAGAATCAAAATATGAAGATAATAATAGTCATCTACCTTCTATGAATGACTGTAATGAAGAATTAAATATTGAAAATGACGACGTCAATAATATTAAAGAGGAACTTTATTCACAAATAGATCTAGTGGACATTGGTGATGAAGATGATGACTGTTTTCCATCTTCTCAGTTATTCAATAAAAGTAGTATCAAGGAAGAGATTGAAAACAATGATTACAATGAACAGATGCATTTGTCACAATTTCTTGATGAAGAAGATGATAATATCATTACTATCATAGATAGCGATGAAGAAAGCAATGATGAGATAAATGACATAGATCCACTGCAGCAAATAAAATCTGAACCTGTTCCAGAATCTGTGGTTGCAGAAATGATTGTTCCAGAAATATTAGAAACTGATTTTAATATGGAAGTAGACAAGTTGCCTTCAAACAACAATGAAATCGTAAATTCTTCTACAAGAGTAGAAATTGATCACACTCTCAGTTGCTTTACAAAAGAATCTGAAGTGGATACAAATAATAAAAAACTTCCTAACAATGAAGGATTACATTCTTCAGCTAGTAATCAATTAATTGGTCCTTTTGAGAAGGCATTGCAATCATCTAATGAGCTAATATTATCTTCTTCACATGATCCTTTAGAACCTTCAACGTCAAAAAATGTATCATCACCTTTTGTTAAGCCAATAAAGAAAGGTGTTAAAATTATTGAACCGCACCATATGAAACCAAAAAAACGAGGAAGATCATCCGACGATAAGAGGTACTCTTCAGATTTAAATTCTTCATTTTCTAGAAAGAATAAGAAAAGTAAAAAATATAAAAGCTCTTCAACTAGCTCAAAAAAAAGTAGTCATCATAGCAGCAGTAGTAGTAGTGGTAGTAGTAGTAAAAAAAAGAACTCTTCAAAGTCATCATCCAAAAGGAAAGAGAGACACGGAAGCGAGACAACAAACGATTCTATTGATCAAAGTGTTCCTTCATCCGAAAAACCCGAAGAGCCAGAAAAGCCAAAAAATAGAACTACAATAGTTAAAGCAAAAGTATCATCTAAATCAAGAGGAGATATGTTATGTGAATCAATGATCAATTTGAGACCAACACCAAGAACAGTAAATAAAAAGGTAGGCTCTGAATCTGCCAAAAATGTACCATCTAAGGATATTGAAAAAATTGCTACAGTGGTCAATTCATCGTGCGTAATACCACGCCGTCAAATACCCTCAGGTTCTATCAGAATAATCGGCCCACATTCAGAAATACAAAGCAGCAATAGTTCAAACAAACACGTACTAGAGTCTTCAAGTGAATCAAATTCAGTTTCTTCCTCTATCTCTCGTAAAGAAAATTCGTCTACAGTTTTGAAAAATACAACGAATCTCATGAATTTCCCATCGTCTTCAATTAGTAACAACGCCAAATCCTCACCATCAGATACCGAATCCGTTGGAAACGATTTAGACTTTCCTACAGATTCACCGCCATTAAAACCATCTTTGACCATTCCAGTTCCAAATGGAAATAACAAGAGGGTTTCATTCAAAGAAAACATCGTATCAGTGAAAGAATTTTCAATTGATCCAGGCAATAGCATGAGAAATATCAAAGATGGGTTGAAAACTGTTAAAGAATTTCCGAAACCATTAGAATTGAAAATAGAAGATTTTCTAGCTCGCGTTTTTGCATGGGAACCTTGTTGGATGGAACAACAACAAAAAGTCAAAGAACTACCACCTATAGTCGATAAAAGAAAGTTGCTTCCATTGCCAAATACATTTAATTGCTTTGAACAATATTACAAAAGAATGGAGATATTGTTATTGTTGGAAACTTGGCAGTTGTTACTTAAGGAATATGAATGCACCGGTAGCAAGTAAGTGTAAATTTTCAGAATATTCATGAAGTATTAACTAATTTTTTGACTATAATGCTTATATTTAAAAATAATTAATCAGGTACAGTAATTCGCGAACAGTATGTTGTGCTATTGAAAGGGATTCAATTAAACAACAGTTGACGCCAAACAGACTTAGATATTCAAAGCTCGATATAAAAACTATTACGACAAAGGATGAGTTGCGTTTGAAAAGTAATCCAGTTTATGGTGATATGATAATATTAGAATATACAATTAAAATAAGTGGCCAGATAAAATGGCGAAGAGCATTTGCGTACGTTGTAGAAGTGAGGCAACAAAATTCCTTAAGGTCCTTGCCATCGGCTCATCCACTCTGTGAGTATTATTGTAATTAAATGATTTTTGCCGCGTAAAATGTAAAATTTACTCATGTTAAATAAAATGTCTTTTTAATTAGTTAGAAGGGTCAATAATCCTCATGCAATAATTACGTATACAGTACAGACTAGAGTTATTGATGAACATACTATTCAGTTCGAACAGCTCGCAAGATTGAGAAGTATTTTGTATTTGAGACCTCATTTACGTGCAATTAAAGGATTGCAATGTGTGGCACGATCGGCTCTTCGTGATTCTATTTTACACGTTGACATTGATGAATACCAACTAGATCAGCCAAATTCAAGCAGCAATTATCCACTTATCACAAATGTAAGTAATAAAAATACAAAAGTTTTTAGAAAATAAAAATTTGTTATTCGTGTTTTAATGTTAACATTTTTAAGGATAAGCTCAACGAAAAGCAGAAGGAAGCAGTTATTAAATTCACTGATGCTGCTACAAATATGAAGTCCAAAATAGGCTTACTTGTTGGCCCCCCAGGTATAGAAATAAGATACTTTAAACAAGATGTTTCTCGATATTGTTTTCATTCATATATAAAAATTGGATGGCATTTCTATCTGTTTAGCTAAATTTGATAATATAAATGATCAAAATTTTATAAATGTTCTAGGAACAGGCAAATCAACAGTAATTACAAATCTTGTCACACAAATGTTATATGGAGATGGTAGGTTCGTAAATGGCAATGCTAAGCGAATTCTAGTTTGCGCCCCGTCGAATGCTGCTATAGATGAAATTGTTTTACGTCTTCTTGAAATTAGACAGGCTATTTCAAAAAGAGGTATCACAGAAAATAATACAAAATATGAGTATCAACTTTATCTTTACGCATAAATATTTTCATAAAAAGTTTTTATACTTGTAGAACATCGATTTAGAATGGTGAGAATAGGAAGGGAAGAGTGCATGCATGAAGAAGTAAAAAAGATATCAGTAGCTGATCTTGCACGTAAGGAAGCTAATAGACTGTTTACTGGAAATAAACAAAAGCACTTAGAAGATGTAGAGCATAAAGTAATTTGAAAATTCAATATTGGTATTCATTTTCGATTATTTATGTAACGTAATTAATTTATGAATGTCCTTTCATATCTTCAGAAACATCTGTTATTGAAAACTATCAAATCGCTTAATGATCTCATGGCAAGTGACCCTCATAATAGATCGAGGTACGAGATGGAGCTTGAACATAAAAGAACTAAATATGAGAAGCTTTCTCACCGAAGTCCTGTTAGTTTTTATAATAATATTAATAGCATAGAACTTTCAAACGATACAAATAGCTGCTTTGTTTATAGGAAGCAGAACAAATGGAAAGAAGTAAGTTGGAGACCAATGCAAAAACGACGATTCTACATGGAGCTCACGTTATTGCTTGCACGCTATCGTCGTGTTACAATGGTCAAATGGAAGCTATTTTTGGGTTGGTAGTTGCATTTACTTTTCAGTTATTATTAATTACTCTCTTCGCTCGAGCGTAAACGCCACACGAGACAAGAATCTACTTTCCCGCACTTGAAGTTTTACATATTTCTATATTATATATTGATGTTACAAGGAGGAGAATCTGTATCCAAGTTACCGCGCGTAACCATGTAATAATCCAGCTATCTCCTTTAACATTGATATTTTTTTAGCTTCAGTTACGATCATCATCGACTCGATTTCTAATACATGATTGTATTAGAATTGATCTTGATTAGGTTTTTTATTATTACGCTGATAATAATTTAACTTAAAATAATGAAAAATTGAAATTGTTTTAGAGGTAACACTGATCACATAGCTACTTGTATAGTAGATGAAGCGACGCAATGCTGTGAAGCCGAGACGCTAATTCCGTTGATGCTTGGTGTGAAAAATCTTATTCTAGTGGGAGATCCTAATCAATTACCAGCTACAGTCATGTCGACGGTTTGTATCGTCATGCTTATATCAAAATCAAAATAGCTTATATCATATAACTCTTGATCTACGTACTTTTTTCGTTGTAGGATGCTAAAAGGCTTGGTTTAGATAGATCGCTTTTTACAAGAGCCAAAGAAGCTTTAGAAAGTCAATTAGATAATATTTCAGATAAAGATAAAGATCCTGTGATTATGTTGAAAGAACAATATCGTATGGTCTCTGCTATTTCTTTTTGGCCCAACAAGTTCTTTTATAAAGGAAAATTAATCGATCGGGTGGCATATAAACAGTCATTTCCTTACCACCCGTATCGCATACTTAATGTTGATGGAGATCAAGATCAGACCAAATTTTCAAATACAAGCGAGGCTCTATTTGTTGGAAATCTTGTACATGCATTGATGATGTGCGACAAAATCCCGTCATTTAAAAAGAAAATTTCAATGGGAATAATTACGCCATACCAAAATCAAAGAACTAAAATTTTAGAAACAATTAGAGATCAGTAAGTTTTTACAGCATACATATTTTTATGAAGTAATATAATTTATATCTAAAAATGTATTTTCATTTATTCGAAATTTGTATGATTATTGAGAATTTATATATAGGTACGCACAAGGAGAATGTTTATCCAACACAAGAATAATATTCGTTAGCTCGTGGGGTATTTATAAAATGATCGTTGCAAAGTCACGTTATATGATTATATAAACCGTCGGTGGCGTCACCGATAAGTTTGCAATGATCTTTTTATCAATACCCTCTATGTTCTGTCCAACTAATGTTATTGTCAAAATAGTTTAATATCATTTTTATTTTTAGGACTAGATCAGTACCCCCGGAAATAAAAAATAAATTTGAAACAGAGTGTAACACAATAGATAGTTTTCAAGGACAAGAAAGAGATGTAATTATTATGTCGTGTGTGAGAAGTCATGGTATAGGATTTTTGTCGGACCCTCAGAGGCTATGTGTAGCGTTGACACGTGCCAAACACACATTAATTATATGCGGAAATTTTGCTCCTTTTAAGGTATACAAGAGACAGAAACACTATAAATTTAATATTTTGATTTTTATTTTATAAAATATGTATAAATATCTTTGCAAAACATCGCATTTTCTTGCAGAAAGACAAAATGTGGGACGATTTACTTTGTGACGCACGTTCTCGGGGATTAGTTTCAAACGTGAATAAAAATGCTAGACCAGATGAAATCAAACCTCTCGTCGTCAGGTTAGAAGCTATGAGATAATTGCTTGAGTTCGTGGTAGAGCTTAATTTTACGTTTTGCAATTTATTTGTGTAAATTCTTTTGAGTTCTACAAACATTATTGTTTCATAAAATCATTGTTACAATGCATTTTCAGTCTTGCTAGCTTCTGAAAAAATCACGATCTTCATATCATGATTAGTTTTATAAAACATCATGAAAATTAATTTTTTTTAACAGTTGTTTTTTACTCTTAGAATGATATATTTACAATTTAATTTGTTACTATTTACACTAATAACTTAATTAATAACGTATAACGATGACATTTTTGTTATTTTTGATACAATAATTTAGTGTAAAAGTGTATATTAAAAATAGCAGAAAGCTTTCTTTCTACTCTATTTTTATAAATTATTTATATATAATATATGTACAAATTAATTTAGTAGTAAAGAAATGCTTGTACTCAAAAACACTCACATCAGTATCTTTTAATCGACATTCACAAAAATCCTACATTTGCATGTATTGTCACACTCCCTGGTAGGAAAATGAATTAATAGTACATGTAAAAATAAAAACTAGGCCCAGTATCACTAATTTGTCTTTCCAAAGTGTGTCCGACGATGATCTCATCACAGGTGGCATTCTCTCAGTCGTTGTACGTCCTCCTGAAACAACATAACAAACATTGACATTCATACCGTTATGCCAATTAAATAAATACTAATAAGTTTTCACCTTTTCTCATTTCATTTGATTTCATAGTGGTCGGTAATCTGGTAGCAACTGACTTTATCGGTGTTGTAATCTTCATTATAGGAACTTGAGTGCTTGTTGTTGTTGTCGTTGGTATTGTAGGTGCAGGACTAGATGAATTGCCAAAACAATGACCTGAATCGCAAAGTTCAATTGACTTTCCATATATTAGCTTAAAAAATTAGACAAAACAAATGGAACACACCTTTTTTTGAAAGCCGCATGCCTTCAGTTCTCGGGTCTATGTTTCGTAAACATGAATCACCAGCTTCTTTAATGTAAATTTCATCGTCACTGATTATATTTCCAACAAAACATTCGTTCGTACTTGTATCATTCCTCATCGTGTAGGAATACGTTACTCCTTTCTCTTCCCATTGTCCAAGACACAAATAGGTTCGTTCTATAAAAAAATATCACGTTAGAATGATTTATGAAGGTAGCGATCAAATGAAAAGTACAAACAAACCTTCGTAGAGTTCTCCAGAATTACAGTTATAAACTTTATAGTACATAACTTGGCGGGTATTGCAATTGCTGCTCAGCTCTGCACACCATCCCGGTATGTCGATAATCTCGCCAGTATATTCTCCTGTAATTGGACACGGAGACTCCACCGTACGTTCCAGTCTTGACAATGTCCACCAAGCAGCACTAGACTTCTCCAATAAGTCATTAGTATCATTGCATAAATACGGCTGATAAACAGGGAGAGAAAAAGTGCCTGGCAGCAAGCAAATAAGTCGGTGAGTTGAAAGTTCATCCAAAAATCAACAAATGGATAGCATATGACTTACCTGCTGCAAATTCTAAAACATTTTCGCTTCGCTGCTTCATGATTAGACATATGTACGCTTCTTGCTCGCTAAAAGTTGAACGAAAATTGAAATATTCATTTTTTCAGGTTCATTCCAGAATACAGTTGATTGCCAAAACATACCACTGATCTCTAGAGAAAACAATATATTGGCCAGTTTCATCATTTGAGTCAACCGTGACAAACGTGAAACTCTTGTAGCCATTCAAATCATTGAAAGTCATCGTTCCATTTACGATGAGAGTCTCTTGCCATTCGCCTTGAGCCCATTGAGGGAACCTATAAAATTAATATAATGGTCTGACCTGAGTATGATTCTAAAAGTTGAGCTATATCCCCGAACGAAATATTGAGCTTACGATTGCAAATTCTTAATGACGTAGGGTGGAATCTTCTTCTGTGTTGTTGTTTTACTCAGTATTAGACTCTCGTAACCAGTAGTAGAATTATATAGATTCTGATTACAGCTTGAATCGCTGCTTAATGTTAGATATATTCTAGAGGTTCTGCTATCAACATGGTACAGCTAAAATCAAAATGTTCTGTTCAAATTTCATTAACTACGGGCAGATTACTTCAAGCTTACTTGATCCTAAAATATTACGCGATTCGTTGTTTGCTAATCCAATATGAATTGAATTTCATATAATTTCAAAATTGATATATAGCATTAGGCTTTTAGTATACAAATTTTATAAAAAAATATTTTACTTTACAGACTCTTCTAATACTTACACCACATCGGTATCGCGGTCGTCTCCATTTGGCAGGTCCAGCAAAATCTGGCACACCTCTATTGTCCAACAAAGCTACATACCTAGGCCCTTCACTGCTCGTATCTGAACTAGAAGCTGGCCAACTTCCAAGACATTCAAAGCTTACTTCTGAAAAAATCAACATTTATTTTTGTAGAATTTTAATTTGCCACGATAGTTAAACAAGTCGACTAATTGACTAGATTATAACGATTTCATGACACACCGCGGCATAAAATTTAAATTGTATTGAATTAGTACAAAGCCGCACTTGTTAAATCTCGGTCACGTTATGTTGCAAAAACCTCAAACGATAAGTACGAGATAGCATTTTCAAAACCAAGGAAAAGTAGTAACCTCAAATCGTGCAAATATGCTTGTGTGTCAAATGAATTATAGTCTTATTCCAAACTTGTCAGTTTGTAAATTAGATCTTTTTGCATTTGTTGCAAATATGCCATTATAGTTTGAGTCTCAGGCAGAAAGTTGAATACAGTTAATATAACATTCTGACGATCGAATTCATTTCAGTTGAATTATGAAATTCTGTATGCTTGATAATACATCACGATACAAGTACAGGAAAAAGGATTTGTCACTTGAATAGTATTACGCCACAGTATAGCGAAAACATTTTTCCGCATTCTAACTGCCAAATCACACCTTCGGTGTTTCTTTTTGATTCTCACACGAAAAAATATTGTTTTTAACCGATACGAAAAATCTTTTTGACGAAATTCGTTGCGAACTCGCCTACGGCTCGTACTGTAACAAACGGCCGTAAACCTCTCGTTTTATCTAAGAAACCTTTGCATATCCGTTAGCAAATGTATTATTTTGTATCGGCGACAATATAATACTGTAAATTACGGTGTTTAGACTTCGTATCGAAGAATTTTGTGCGGCGCACGTATTCACCAATACAGATAAAATGTTGATGAACATCCATTTCCCTGTACGAGGATTGTAATGTGCTATTTATAATACTCCTCGCACTGCGAGATATTTTGACGCACTCTTGGAAAAACAAACCTGCTTAAAATTTCGCTGCGTTCTATACGATACGTATTTGAAACGAAATTGCCAAGCATCGTAATGTGCGATTTATGTAGTTTCGGGAAGATAGGCTTTCATTACATCTTATAACACATAAAGTGATGTATATAAAGGGTTTCGTACCGCTACAATAGATTATTATGCAGTAAAATGGACTTGATTGCCGCATAAATATTTCAACTAGCGCGCGACGCAATCATTTATTTGGAAAACAAAAGAATGGATACATTGATGCTCTATGAGCGTTCCGATGCTATATTATGCAATTACGAGGCCCTTTACTTCTATTACCTTGTGTATTAATAAAAACTTAATAATATTTATTATTTCCGTGTTGCAATAGAATTAAATATGCGCTGCGTAAACATCTTAACAAATTCATTCCTAATGCTTACCAATTTTAATTTCAATAACAATTAATCTGGAGATTCGAAATTCAGTCCTGACTAAACCCAGTTTCAGCACTTTAATTATACATAAATAATGATATTTTGTTTTTAATGTCTACTCAAGAACATATTTACTGACGTAGACTTTACAACAAGTGTCATTTGTACTCACAAAGTGGCCATCGGCGATTAAAAAATTGAAAGGAAATAAAAATTTACCGTGATCCTCAAAGGTGCAGCGTTTGAATTTAAGATGAAGTAGGGAGCCGTCGGGACAATTATTCATGTCCGAGGAAAAAGCAGTGCATTCGTCTTTCCCTTCGGAATTATTATCGTCTAGTCCGTCGAATTCATAATTGACACTGTACTTGAAGCGATACTTGCCGGCAATAGGGCAGTATTCATTCCGAATCTCAATGCCGCCAATTTCTTTACTACCTGTAATTGTAAAGTTCAGTGTATATACATATATGTGAGTGAATGTGTGTGCGTGTTTAAATATATGTATGTATATGTATATATATATATGTATATATATATATGTGTGTGTGTGTGTGTGTATATATATATATATGTATATATTTGTATTGTAAGCCATTTTGTACTATTTTTTATACTCACGATAAAGAATGGCGGATGTATTGAGTTGTTTACAGGATTCGATCGCGCCGCTCTCGTTTGTGTAACATCGGTTCAGGTCTTGAGAGAATACTTCGACGATGTTACGCGAGCGTCGGATCAGTTGAAAGCACCTCATGCATTCACCGTAGCCACCTCGACTGTATGATTAGATTTTTTTCGTATAGAGTACTTTTGATTACAATATTCATATCAGATTAATAATTTATTTATTTACAGAGGTAAAGTTGACTTTAATTAATTTTGTATAATAGTCATTTGAAAAAAAAATCTTGTCAATTCTATGTTTTACTTTGAATAAAAATCTCAGTATGTTGTTATCAATTCAATTAAAAAACTTTTTTCTATATACATCATATCTTCTTTATATACTTAGTATATGGACAAGTCAGTTAACTGTTAAAGTATGTAAATTTTTGTCAATATATGGTGTCAAAACATGTAATGTATTTCTTAATCATACCGAATCATAATTTTTCAACAAAAACAAAATTTTTTTTACAACTCGTATGATAACAAAAAAGATACCCCAAGTGTGTATGGCCGATTTGAATGATATTGCAATGTGTTATAGTTCATTGAGAAAGAAGACATATCTTTCATACGAGCTTATACGCAATCTTAGGAGGTGAAATCCACTGAAATGTCACCCCTAAAAACAATTTTTTTGAAATATTTCAGAAACAAATAAAGATAGCTTAGTGAAACTAACGCTAACAATTGTAGAATAAAAAAGGCTACAAAACAGCGTTGATTTTAATTATAAGGGTAGCAATCTCTATTTATTTCAACGAGAAATATGAAATGTTTATTTTTGATATGTTATGTGGACCAAAAAGAAAAAAATTATATTTTTATCTGCTGATAAAACATTTTGAAGGGATGAAAGTTACCTTCGAAAGTTCATCACTCTAAAATAGTTTTTTTTATATTATCACTATCTTACCTATAAGCAACATTTTATCTGAAAAGTACTGCACTACTTATGACAACACATTATTATATACAGTTTTCGGTTTGTCTTGCAGCTTTCATTTATTATTAGAATAATAAAAGTGTTTCTTTATTCTCGCTTCGCTCGAGCGTAAACGCCACACGAGACAAAACTATTTTCCCTCACGTGTATCGTAATGTACTATTCTTTTACGTAGACTTAGTTTTGGGGTACCTTCCTTTAAGATCCATACTTTTGGACATTTATATGAATATAAAGTGAGTTTGTTAACCTAGTGTATTTTTCAAAATGGTACAATTTCGGTTGAATTGATACGACGATGGAATCATGTAATTGGTCAACGGAATGAGTTTCCTACTGAAAAATGTCGGCTGATTTATAGCTGATGAATTTTCGCTGCATATAATGCGAATGTATCTTGAAGAATATTATTTTTCAATTGCAACGGAGAGTGGCATGTCAACATTATTGCGAGTATCGTTTGCTTTTAGATAAGGCAACTTTCACTGTTGATTTTTATTTAAGAAAACGTTGCCATAAACTGAATTTGTCTCTATTACGGCGTCTTCGTTTTAAGAACAATATTTTCTTTCGGCATTTCGATTATTTCAATTCAACGAGTAACTACTATTTAGTTTTTAATATCGATTATCAAAGTGATTTACTACTGAAAGCTGCTAAGCGATGAGTGAGGGAAAACGCACCTGTCTCTCAGCAGCACTTTATCGGCGATCTTCTTGTGACAGTAGCCCCATACGGGTATGGCATTGAAGGTGATATTGATAGTGGAGTACTGGACGATGGGTTCACCGTCGTCGAAGGTGTTGAGGTTGCCGCGGACGTTGCCGATGCTGTTGCCACTGCTCACCTGCATGACAAACTCGCCCTGGTACTCGGCCGAGAAGTAGCAGCCAGAGCTGAAATCCTGCAGCTGCACAGTGGGATTTTGCAACTCCTCGCTGGCGATCGTCGATAAGCCTGCAACAAGCCGCGCGCGCAGAGTTTTATTTCCTGCTTGTTGCAAGTGCGCGCCGACGCCTCGTTTGTACTTTCGGTTTTGCTCCTCTCTCTCTCTCTCTCTCTCTCTCTCTTTCCTTTTTTCAATGGGAGGAAACACGCGACGAGCTCTCGCCGCGGTTCTGCAGCTCTACTCTGCCCTCGACGCCAGCTGGTTTTGCGCTTTCTTGCTCTTGTCGGGCGAGCGTGTTTTGAATGGAACGCGGCCCGCCGGGGATCTGCATCGAGGAACGACGTGGGCGTCGCTTTCGAATGCCGCGGACTCGTTAGCGCGTCCGCCGGAGAGTCGAATTCGTACGAGCGAGCGAAGGGAAAGCCAGCAAACATTTGCAGTCCCGATGTCGCGCGGCCGGTTCGGCACGGCGAAGTCCATCGATTCTCACCGGCGGGGCTGCGCCGCCGCGTTCGAGCAACGAAGGAGCCAGAGCGCCATCGGCGCGGCGCGGGCAATTAGCGCGGCTGCAAATTAATCGAGTCAGCGTAGGAAACGCAAGCCCGCGGAGCAGCAACAATGCAGCAACAGCAGCGGCGGCCGGCCAGCGAAACGCGCGCGTAACGATCGCGCGGCGCTGCTTTTCCGCTGCGCGAGAGAGGGAGGGAGCTCGGCAATTACGCAAGCGGCATCGTCGAGCTCGCGGCGAGCGAAAGAAAGTCGCGCGCGCGCGCGCTGAAAAACCGGGCGGAGGGTAATAACTAAATCCGCTCGGCATTATCCCACGCTCGCGATCGTTGGCGGCGCGCGCGCGACCTCCTCGCCGGCCGAGCGAAACGGGTTTGCTGCTGCCGAAGGTGTGGCGCGCCTCGCGAAAAAGACAAAAACACGAGCGCGCCGAGGCGCAGACGAAGAAGCGAGACGAGAGAGAGAGAGAGAGAGAGAGAGAGAGAGAGAGAGAGAGACAGAGCTGCTCTCTTTGTCGGGATTTGCATGGGTAAGCCGATACGCGTTTCCGGACTGCGGCGCGCGAGTAGGAGGCTGCCGCAGCTGCGCGTCTCGCCGTCGATTGACCGCATCGCCGCCGAGCGCGGAGCCTCGCGCGAGGCGAGTCCAGTCGCGATCGGACGGAGGAGCCGGCGCGGCGAATCGAAATTTGCGCCGCAGCCGCCGGCGAGAGAGCGAGAGGCCGCGGTCGAGCGGAGAGAGACGCGCGCGCGCGCGCGCAGGCGACTTCCGCTGGGCGCTCCGAGGGGAGCAGCTGTCGCGGCCGGCTCGTAAAAGCCTCGATTCCAATTTGCGCGCTCCTTCATTTTCTCCGGCCGTGCGCCTTTCCACTCGATCGCTCGTCGGAGTCGGCTATCCTCCGCGCACTCGGCGAGCCGGTGCCGCTTTGTTCGCGCGCGATCCGACCGGCAGGTATTTCGCGCGTGGGCGGCCGCCGCGCGCACCAAGGGGAGATCTGGTCGCGCGCGCGGGGGTTCGCGGCTGCGATGACTCACTCGCGGCCGGTCGCCGCGGTTAACCGCCGCCGGCGGCCGACCGGGCTCGCGCTCGGATCGATCTCGCGTCGCCAGCGGGACGTTCGTTTCCATTTCGGTGGCTCCGTCGGCGGCGCCCGAGCGAAGAGACGCGAGATCGAGGCTCCCCGAGCGGAGGGGCGCGAAATCGCCGGGACGCCGTCCGCGCGCAGGTGCGCAGCAGGCCAGAAATCCGCAGGCATTAGCTGCTCGCGCGCGGAGCTTTCGGCGCGTGCCATCTGTCCGCTCGGCTGTCCCCGTGCTCCAGAGAGACTCGCCGATTCGCGCGTGCGCGCCGGGGGCATCGGGCTTCCGCCGGCAGCGAGCCGACCTGTCCTCGGAGCTGTCCGACGACAGTGGATTTCAGCTCTGTCGCACGGAGGAGAGACGAAGGGTAGAGTGGAAAATCGACTTTGCGCGGAAGCTCCCTTCCGATAAGCCGCGTCGGATCCGGCGCCCGTGCGTGTCGCGACGTTTATGCCGTTTCACGCGCACCGTCGCCGCGGCGATGACGATCGTGCCGGCCGCGCGCTGCACCGGATATTGGACTCTCGGTTCTCCCCCCTTCGCAGGCGCGCCCCCTTTCTTCTTCTTTCTTGTTTTCGCGCGCGTGCGACGGGTTTTCGACTGCGGAATGCGACGAGAGAGAAAGAAAGACAGAGAGAGAGAGCGAGGCGATGTAGTTTTGGGGATTTCTAAAAAGGAAGTCGTAGATTTGTTACGGATGCCTTCCTTTTTTCGTCGCTGCTCCCTCTTCCTCTCTCGCTCGACCTCTTTCTAATTTGGTCGGAGGCCGAGGATCACGCTGCCGCGGAGCGCGTCCGTCCCCACGGTGATCCTCGCGAGAGGGGAGCGTGGAGGCCAGTGCGCCTCGCTATCTCTCGGCAACAATTGCGGAGCTCACGGAAAACAGCAGCTGTTTGCCGGGCAAACTCCGATGGAATTGTCACTCGCGTGAGATAAGACATGGGCCCCGTCGTCCTCGCGACGGCAACGTTGTTTGACGAGCACGCACGCCGCGATTACACGTAAACGCGCGCGATATCCGTTTTCCTCTCTTTTATTTTCCCACGTGCGGAACGACATCGCCGATCGGATGGAAATCACACCTCCGAATAACCGAAACGCAGAGAAGAAAAACGAAGCGACGGAGACGGCGCCCCCTCCCCCCAAAACAACAGAGACGAAGCGCGAGATCGTGTCGCCTGCATCCCTGCGGGTAAACGGCGATCCGGCGTGGCGATAACCGACTTCCGGGCGGCACGGGGTGCGCCCTCTCTTTTCAATTTGGACGCAGCCGCCGGGCGCCTCTCGCTCGACGGAATCGAACCCGACTCGACGGGGACGCCAAGCGGCGGAACGGGAGGGGCGGGGGGGACAAGCAAAACGGACGAGAAAAAACGAGCAAAAGCGCAAATTGACGCGCGATTATTCGGCCATTGAGGACGAAGGCGTCCGTGTATCCGGCAATTGGCCGAGGCGCAGAATTCGGGCGGAAGCCCGGCAGGGAGCAGCGGCGGGCCACTTGGCCGTATCGCTCGGCCGAGCCCACCCTCTCGAGCCAGCCGCGAGCGCACTCGACGGCTATCGCCGCGTCCTCCTCTCGCTCGCGTCGGCCCGCGGCGCAGGATGCGCGCCGGCTATATTTGCGCGTCGGAAGCGGCGCCCGAAGACGAGTGCGCGCCGTCTCGAGAGGTTTATTTTCCACCTCGAGGATGAATCGGACTCTCGCGCGCGCGCGCGCCGCGGTAGACGTCCGCGCGATAGCGGCGCGCTCCGGGGGCAGGACGTTGGCCAGTGAGTCACGCGGCGGCGCCGCCGCTGTCGATATATATACGTATATACGTGTGCGAGCTGCGCCAACAATGCGCCTCGCTCGCTCTGTTTTCATTTCGAAATTCAACGGTTGCCAATGCCCGTAATATATAACGATTACCGGCGACAAAGAAAACTACGCGGCGCGTCAAATGGTCTCCATTCAGCGTCCGATCCGAGCATAATGAAAGCCGAGAATTTCCTCGACGAGTAAATCAGTTCCCACAAGAATTTCGTCTCTCCGTTGTGCGATTCATCCCGTGAAAAAAAAAAAAAAAAAAAAAAAACATCTCGCCGGAGAAAAGGAAAAGGAAATAATCGTTAACTACATCTCTCAAGGCGATTATCCGTAGAATCCGAAAAACGCATTAAGATCTCCACGCGCGCATGAGCGAACGAGCGATCGCGAGCAGAGAGGGGTGGTGGGAGGGAGGGAGGGAGGGGGGGGGCGACAGCGGCAGTACGCGACACAAAAGGGTACACACAACAACGCAGGTATATAAAGCTCTCCACCTGACCTCGGAGCGCGGCTCGGCCGGAAGCTGCGCGGCGAGCGTGTGCACTTGGCCTCCTACGGCGAGCGAAAACCTGCCGTGAATGGGACTCGCCCCGGCGACGAATGCGACATGAAAGCGCTTTTCCGGGCTTTGCACTCGCCTCGGCTCACCGACGTTCTATTTCCGGACAATGAACTAGACCCGCGCTCTCTCGCCGCTTCTCGGTATCCGTTCCTTCTCTCTTTGCTTTTTTCTTTTTCCCTTTTTTTTTTTTTTCTTTGTTTTATTTTTGTTTTCGCGCGCTTTTGTGCCCCCGCTGTTTGTAGCGGAATTTCGTCGAGGCGAGCCGGCCACTTTTCTCCCTCCGGCCGTCGTCGAGCCGCAAGTCATCGCCGTGCGCGCGTTAATTCGGGCGAGCGTCGCCATTGTCGCGCGCGGGGGAGCGCGAGGCGAAAGTGACTCTGGGGTTTCGCTATAAACCGCCTGCGTCGCGTCGCCCGGGCCATTGTCGCGCGCGCGGCTTATCGTGGCGGCGACCGCGAAGATAGCGACTTCCGCCGGCGCTCGCTGCCTGTGACGAAATCGTTGTCTCCGGTTCGCGATTGCGCGCGTCGCTCGTGTTACGCGCGAAGAATAGAGAGATAGAGAGAGAGAGGAGAGAGAACGTTGGACGGCGATCGCGACCGAGGCTGCCTCGTCGCGTCAAACGATCTCCGCGAGCTGCTCTGATCCTCGAATTGACGTCCCCCTCGCCCGCTGACATGACAACGAGGCGTCTCGGCGAGTTGGATTTTACAGAGCGGACTGCGCGTTTCGTTTGCGCGCGGCGACGTATCTCTTGCGCCGCATTTCGCCAATCTGTTATGCTACGTGCACACTCGAAAAGAAAGAGCACGCCAGCCAGCTCTCCTTTGCGGTGAACAATTTCTCTCGGCTTCTCTCTTTCTCTCTTTCTTTTCCAGCTCCTCTCCTCGTTCCTCTCGATTGCGGTATCGTAGACCCTCGGACGACTGTTATCGAGCCGAAAGACAAAAACCAATTTGCCGTTTTTCAATTTCGCTCCCCGCAACGTCGAATTCGTTAAAAAAAAAAAAATAAAAAGAAAGGAACTAACGAAACGTTCGGTGCGCACTTGTACGCACTTGGCTTGAAAATAAAGAAAAAGACCTTTGTTGTCGGCGGTTGCCGATAGACGCGCGCGGTGTACCACAGAAAACAGAATGGATCGTTCACCTTGCGGAATGTCCTGGGCGCAATGCGAATCAACCTCGCGTACATCGGAGCTGGTTAGAACGAAAAGAAGAGAGAGAGAGAGAGAGAGAGAGAGAAAAAAACGTGTGCTTCTGTCTATCCTTCGCGCGTGACGAGAATCGCGATCGTAAACATTGAAAGCAGATCGCCTCCCCCTCCTCCCTGGTCGGCCGCTTCCGCCGAGGAGCTGGCGATCAGCGAAATTCATTCACAAAATCGACGCTTCGCTTTCTACTCGGCAGAAAAGCGCGAACGCGACCGGCCGGGCCGGAAGCGCGGCGAATTCCCGTGTCGGCCGTGCATTTTTCCGCAAGTTTGATCGATGGGCCAAGCGAGAAAGAGAAACGAAGAAGAAAACACAGCGATCGAGACGAGACAGTGGAGAAACGAACCTTGCGCTCGGGCGATCGCCACCAGTAACACGACCAACAGCATCGTGAACGCACGGGGCTCTCCTCTCTCTCTCTCTCTCTCTCTGCGTGGACACACTTTACGCCAGGCAACGGCGGCGGCGGCAGCAGCAGCAGCAGCAGCAACAACAACAAAAAGAAAGCTCGTGTGCAAGATCGCACGCAAGCGAAATCACATGGCGTGGCGCGCGCGCGCGTGGAATATCGGCTCTCGTTGTCACGTTGGACGCGCGCGACGCGACGGCGGCGTGATGCGCGCGGCTGGAGGCACAGGGCACGACTGAAGGTGCGTGCGAGCCAGCCGGTAGGTGGTACACGGCGAGACGACGACTACGGTGGCCGTCTACTCTCTCTCTCTCTCTCTCTCTCTCTTGCTTCGCTCGCATCGGTCTGCCTGCCCCCACCGCATTCACCGGCGCCGTCAGCTTCTTTCTCCGTCTTAAAGTCATTCAGTTTTTCGGACTTCGCGCGGCTCCATTCATCGTTCTCTCGCCGGCGAACACACGCGAGAGAGAGAGAGAGAGAGAGAGAGAGACATTCCGCGTAAACAAACGGACGTTGCCGGCGATGACGCTTGCGAAATGGAAAAAACAAATCTTATCTCGCCGATGAGACGCTCGAGAGATAAAAGGAAGAGGGACACTTCGGCTGTCGCGGCGTGGATCAAAAAAAAGGAGAACAGAAAGGAAACGCCGAGCGTCAATCTTCCCACGATAAAAATTCCCCGGACTACGAGTGACACGCACACGCGCGCGCATTCACGGGACTCATTATTGATACGTTCGGCCGAGTCATCGAGATATCGCGCGCGCGAAGCGAAAGAAAACAGATAAAAGAAAAAAGAAAAAAAGAAACCGGTTTTCCGCGAGTAAACACACGCAGCTCCGTATCTCCGAAACAAAGTTCATTGCGGCGCTAACGAGACGCAAAAGGACGACGACCCGTGTCGCGCGCGTGCGACGCTCGTTCGACGCGCATCGGCTGTCTCGCATTATGCATCGAACAATCGAGAGGGGGAGAGCGCGCGCGTTTAATTAAGCAAACGCAGTGACGAGAAAGCATCGCTGTCGAGAAGATCACGCGCAGAAGAAGAAGAAGAAGAAGAAGAAGAAGAAGAAGAAGAAGCGGAGCCGGGGCCACTCCTTGGGGCGGCGCGCGTGGGCGACGCGCGGAATTCGATTGTGCGCGCCGGCGTCGTCGCGTCCGCCGTGAGAATGCGGCGGCGGCGGCGGCCCTTCGCCCCCGGAAAACTGAGAAAGGAAGAGACCGCAGAACTGCCCCGATCTCGAATGACTGCCGGCACTCTCGAATGTCCGCGTCCCTTTGTCCCGCGCGGACGGCAGGCAGTTGCCTCTCATTGAATTTCAATTTTGCGCCGGAGGAAGCGCGAGCCGCGCGTCGCCCTGCCCCCGCGGCGCTCGCCGTTTCGTTTGCTGGCTCGCTAATTCCCCCCCCCCCCCCCCCCCCCCCCATAGTTCGCGATAGGCGCGCCTCGATCGCTAACGGCGAACGATGAATTAGTTTATGGAAATGCGCGATCTCACGAACGGATTGCGCTCTCATTACCGACCTCGTTAAATCATTTATTGCCTTTTCATACTCGACTGCTATTAGCAATTTGATGGAAAAAAAATAGGAGCTCCAATCGCATTTTCTTCCCAGAACGATAAAAAAAGAACAAGAAAAGAAGATGAGAGAATTTTTTTTTCTCATACCGGTGCGCAGTAAAAGTGTGTCATTAAAAAGTCATTGAGGCAAAGTTTACCGTGGTTTTCGGGATGAGATAGCGTGGCATTGAGAGTTATTACTAAATTTGCGGAAGTCAAAGTGGTCCCTTCCAAGAACGACGGATTGTTAAGAGAAAAAAAAGAAAGAAAGAAAGAAAAAATCTCGCGATAGCCGTAACGAGGATGAGTCATCGATTGTCTCGTCTCCTCGAGCTCCTCCTCGCGTACACGTCGAAATACATTCCGCTGCGAGAAGAAGCGGCGGCGGTGGCGCTTGCGTCCACGCCCGCGGCGCTGTCCGGTGGCCATCGATCGTCCAGCTGTCAACGCCGCCGACGGGCGCGCGGATCGGTACAGCGCGATGCCAATGCCGGCGGAGAAGCCTTTGGGCTCTTCTCGCGCACCTCCCTCCCCGGAAAGATGACACTCGCGCGCGCCTCGCCGGGCCGATTCCTTTTCATTTGGCTCCCATTATTCCGTCCGCGGAGCTTCCCTCGCGCCTGTAATTTGCCCCGCTCGCGTCGAGGTGCACGCACTCCGCTGTGCCCGCGGGCTCTGAAGCGCCGCCGTCTGCTTAGCCCGACAGACGTGCCGTGCGAGCATTGTTGCGCCGGCAGCGCGCGGCGGCGCGCGGCAGCTCGTTCGGCCCGCGATTCGCTCCAATTTGGTTTCGTTCGGAACGCCTTTTTTTCTTTGCTTCTCCTCCGTGCTTGAGAGCGGATGGGGAGTGCGCTTCTACGCGCGAGTACACGTATACGTTCTTTTCGCGACCGACCGATGGAATTCGCGCATATGTCCCCGGAAGTCCGTTAATATTGTTGGATCGAGGCGTGTGCTTCTGCACAGAATTGCACACTCGCGCTCGCTTTTATTCGATTTCTTTGACCTTCGTCGTCGTACGAGTGTCTGTAGAGTTGCCAAGGTTTCTTTGTGCGACTCAGTTCGTACAGTAAAAACCATCGATACAAGTATTTTACAGGGGCAAAAGACAATTTGCATTTCAACAATAAAGTCAATGCCATTTCAAAATTTCGAATCTTCATTTGGTTGCTCAAAAGTGGAATATATTTCAAACGCTCAAATAATAATTAAAAAACAAAGTGCATTCTCTGTTCTTGGAAACTATTAGTTTTTTTAAAAGTCACCGTTATCTTCGGGTAATTTAGCAATCAGACCCGAGACGTCATTTAATTCGTTGAGCATCGATGTGCAACGCTGGAAATGAAAAAAACGAGCACATCGTAAACAAACATCTGCTTTGAAAAGTTTTGAGGATTTACTCGTGCACGAGTATTTCTTATTATTCATTATGACCAATAAGTATAATTTATTCAAATTTACTAATTATTCATAGCATTTCTCTTTTTCCTCTGAACAAGAGTTGAGAGACGGAACGCCTAAATGTAATATGGAGAGTTTGTATCTCTCTCCGGATTATATAGACGCAACTATAATAGACCAACGCTAATGAATACTAGATTTTGTGATATGCTTGATGAATAAGCTTGTAATTCATAAAAATGCTCACATGACAATGTGATATTTCAAAGGATGGGAAACATTTTATCTCGAAGTAGTGATCTCAACCTTCCGTACTTTTTCAGTAAAATATTTTCAGTGCATTAGTGTAATACCTTCAAACGTAAATATTGACGTTCATTTGTCAAGTTAACAAGTGAGCGGAGTCGGTTTTTCCCCAGAAATTGCACTTTAGCAGACATTTAACCACGATTACAGTGTACAGACGTACTTTCGGTACGGTAGCGTCGAAACTTTTCATCGCTAGTCATTCCCGACTCGATATTCAGTGGAAGGAGATTTGGAAGCGACTCCGAATGAGACGAACGGAAGAAAATTCACTGAAAATTTCGCTTTTCAGAGCAGAACGCTGAGTAGCAATGAACGACCGACTTACAAGCAGACTTGATCGAAAAGAAGCGCGAGCTTAGGAAAGCGTGAGAATTACGGTATCGAACGATCTATGTGGCGCATTCGAAGAAGCCGTAAAGTGTATGGTTGAAGACAGTGACGCCTAAGTCATATTACGTACGTCAATTGTCGAAGCGAACGCGAAAGTTACACTTGCATATTACAACGGTCGTGAGTTTCGTACGTGCGTGACTTATCGATTGCGTTCCCTCGGCCGGTCGCGCGTCGCGAACGAGCGCCAAGGCCGTTGAAAAATGCGAGGCTCGAAGAAATACACTCGGAGATGGGAAATCGAGCAGCGGCACGCGTACCCCAAGTGCTTGTTTCGGTTTTTCAAGGTCTGCGGACTCGCTCCCATCGGCTTCCGCATCGAGTCGCGGAGAAACGCAGGCCCGAGTAGCTGGACGTTCGCTCGCTCGCGCGGAGGCACCGCGATCAACGCAACGTTGCTAGGCTTGATGGGGATCTCGTGCGGCTTCGCTTTGTACCTGTGCGAAAGACACGGCTTCGCAATTGAAAACTTGTTCTCCATCGGTGACGTTTTCGGATTTGTCAGCGCCACCGTTGTCCTCGCCTCGTTCGCCGTTAAACGCGAGAGGCAAACGGCGATATTGAACGAGCTGAGCGGGATCAGGGAAAGCGCGAGCGACGGAAGCGAGAGGTACGAGGAGCGCGGCATCGCCAAGAGAATCGCGGCAGTTTGTTGCGCGCACGTGGCCAGCTGGCTGGGATTAGTCGCGTCGACGTTCTCTTACGACAAGCATTACACGACCATCTATTCTATCTTCGACGTTTGTCACTTTATAAATAATACAACGGCGATTCAGTACTTCGCCGCCGTACTGTTCGTGAAGCATCTGCTCGCGGACCTCAACGACAGCCTGCTCCGCTCGACAGCTCGCGAGGATTCCTCGGACGGCGGCTCGGCATCCGTTAACGGCACTCTTGCGGATTTAACCGTCTTTTGGAAGCTACACGCGGACATAGTGAAAATTTCACGCCACTTGGCGCGCTACTATTCCCTCGCGATGCTGCTGGTCATCGCAGGCGCCCTCTTCAATGTCATCGCGATGTCGTGCGCTCTGTTTCAAACGGTATACTTCGACAGCTCGCGCTTCTTCGACTTGCAGCAACTTGGCAAAGTTGCCTTCGTACTCGCGTGCATAACGCCTCTGGTTTTGTTGTCGACGGCTGTTAGCGCCGCTACTTGCGAGGTACGACACGAGTTCGCTTGATTTTTGCCTTCCTTTCGCACGATTCGCCGTTTCATATTGTTATCCTTCGCGCAGAGTGCGAAAACCCTTGAAATCGTCAGCGATCAGATGAGACGATCAAAGTCCCGAGAGATTCAAGAGAAAGTGAGCAAAACACGCGTATTGTTTCCTTCGACGAATTTTCAAGACAGTTCACAAAAATATTTATGCTTTCAGTCATCGCAATTTTTCATCTATTTACTGCAGACGAGGGTTCAATTCAATGTTTTCGATGTATTCTCCCTGAATGGATCTCTTTTGACATCCGTAAGTATGCTCATCGAGTAACATAAAAAACACGATAAAATCTGATTGTTCTGCGTTATTCGATAGATCGTAAGATTTACTATAACTTATTTAGTTATAGTCCTTCAATTCCAAAA